TACAGCCTGCACAAAATAAAGACAGACTGCACAAACAGCCTACACAAAATAAAGACTGACTGCACATTCAGCTGTTTTAGAAGAGTGTATATTGTTTTATGCCTTTTGAGCCTTAAGCTTTTCTAGCTGTTTAGTGTACTTTGCCAATCCGGTCATGTGATAATACTCTGCTGTTGAACAGCGTCTTATTTGATGGTTGGTTGTATTTAAACCAATTGCAGCAGTGAACGCGCCTTTTCTCCCAGGATCTAGAAACATGGGCTGGTAAGTTTGCTTTACTTCTTCCAAGTCAAAATCTTCGAGCTTTAAATCAATGTTTGCTGCTAAAAAAGTATCTTTTGTTGTTCTTTTATTGCATACAAAATTAACTGAAAACCCATCAGACTTGACAGTATCTGCAAACATGATTTTGTTGTTCCGATTCGGAAGCAAATCATCAACACTATTCAAACAAACAAAAAAGCTACTGAGTACTGTGCAAGTAAGCAATCTGCAGACAAGATTTTACCAGTCAATTCTTAGTTTTTTGAAATTAAAACTCTACAAAACATTCTTAGTTGATCGTTGTATCCCTGTGGTAAAGGTTCTTTAACAAAAGCAGATAATGAATTTGCGCTGATATTGATGAATCGTCGGTGCAACGATGTGTTTGGTAATACAGAAAAACGTATAGGCAGAGGTAGTCTTAACATCATAAGCATGGTGCTCTTTATGTTCTGCTTCATGTGTCAATAGTATATACAAGATACAAGGCAAAAAGTACTTGGAGATGCAGATAATTCCTTTAGTATTACTTGTGTGGTTATAAGCTGCTGCAATGGCAGACAAGCTTCATCAACCGCTGTTTTTGTTCCTTGAGTGAAAGTAGTGCCTTGCGGCCATTTGGGTTCTCCTTTGCTACAGATTGATAACAGTAATCATAAACTATTTTCTTTACGCCTTAGTACGCCATTGACTATATATCGCGAATTATTTACATATTTTAGTAGAATATTTCACAAAAAAATGGAACTTGCCATAAAAGTGTTTTGAATAAGATACGAAAGGTATTTTAGCAATCTTACTTCAAAGTTCTCGACTATGCAGTTTATGTGGGTGGTCGCTAGTTATACACATGCTTCTGAAAGACATTGGCTAGTTCCACTCGCAAGCTTGTTGGTATATATAATGCATCTATGACTTTGTCTAAACAAATTCCAGTTTTCAAGCAAGCCTTCTGGAAGTGCAGTACTGTTTGCAACTCGCTTATCCATAACTAATTGGCATATTAAATACCAAAAATTTTGCTTAAAGATATGATTCGAATGGGCTCTTAAGTTCAATGTGTACTAGTTGATAAAAATCTGAGCTCTGAAAACTACTTGACGTGCGTCTTCGCATGCAGAGACGATCCTAGACTTCAAGTCACTCTGGTAGGAACTGTGGATACATTGATCAAACGGTAACTTTCTTGTGAATGTTTTGAATTATTGTCCCAAATTTCGGCTAAAAACCTCGCTTTTGACAACATATGATTAGAGCAATCTGGAAAGCGTGCTGATTTGTGACCAGTTTGTTTACAACTAGTGCAAATAACCGATGAAGAACATTCTACTGTTTTTTGTCTTTTGGCTTTTTGTTTTTCTTGCTTCACGCCTGGGCTTTGTTTTCTTTTTTTCCCAACGGACGTTCCAACTTTAATAAGAGATGTATAATCCACTTGTAACATACGACGGCCTGAGATTAGAGTTGCGTAAATTAGATGTAAAGGTTGGTAGTGTACTGTTATCAGCAGTTTGAAAAGGAAGGAGTATGGCTCTTTTATTGCTGCTCATAAACCAGCGTTGACAAAAGAGCACATGAAGAAAAGGCTTTGCTGGACCCATGAACGTATCCACTGGGTGGATGAACAGTAGCCCAGCATCATTTGGAGCGATAAATCTCGGTTCACCGTTACCGGTAACGATGATGGTGCCAGAGTCACCAAAAAATTTGTTAAACGAGATGATGCTAAGCATATTGTGCCAACGAAGAAACATGGAGGCGGTGGGGTGATGATTTGAAGCTGCTTTCATGCCAATGGTTCTGATCCTTTGGTCTTGGTTAACGGCACAGTTGATCAAGACAAATATATAAATGTTTTAGCCCAAAGCTTTCACCTTGGATCGCACAACTCTGCTAGAAAGAGGATAGAAATTTTATATTCCAAGAGGATGGATCTAACTGCCACAATTGGTGGCTATGTTCAATGATGGAAGGAAGCCCACCAGACCAGGGGCGCTGAGTACTGGCCCACACAAAGCCCTGATTTGAATCCGATAGAGCATGTTTGGGCCGCTTTAGGTAATCTTGTCAAGGAAAGAAGAAGTGAGATAAGAAATATTGAAAAGTTGAGTGTCGTGTTGAGAGAAGAATGGGAGAAAATAAACCCTGGATTAGCAGCATGTTTGGTCGGAAGCATGAAGGCTCGATACCACTATAGGAAATTTTTGGCTGTGAAATTTCTATTAATTTTTTACTGGCCAACCACTGCGCATTTACTGGCCTACAGCCGCTAAAAATTTCGTAGGCCATAATGAGCATCCTTAATTATGGCCAATGGATTTTTGTGACTGTAGACCAGTAAATGCGCAGTGGTAGGCCAGTAAAACAGAAAATGAAGATGTTGCGTTCATTCGTCCAATTTATTCTATTCTTTATATTCTATGGGTTAGAACGTACTCCCATTCTGCCATATCATTCGCTCATAATCATAGCTTTAGTAGTATTAAATACATGCTTCCTTCAAATAATCCACTATAACTTTAATTTTATAGTATATTTATTCATTCAGTATCAAGACAAAACAAAACAAAAGAAAAAGAAAAGGGAAGAAAGGCATAAACATGGCCAAATTGTTCAAATTCTTATTGAGTTTCGTACTGTTCGCCTTCTTCTTCCGAAGTAACAGTTTGTCGCTATTTTCTGAAAGCTGTTGACTTACCTATAAAGATGAATATAGTTGGCTATGCTTTTTAATAGAAAATATAGTAAATTACCTTTATCACTAAGTCTTTTTCCGAGAAGATGCCTCTGAGGACCATCAACGGTGAGCTTGGTGCTTGCATCAAAGACAAACGTGAACTCTTCGTCTACAACTGACGAACTATATAAAAGCATGTTGGTAGATATTTAGCATATATAACGACAAATTTCTCTAATACTTACCTCATCGCTTCAGAGATCACCATCCGTGACTCATTTGATGAGTTTTGGACTGCTTCAGCTGCATTATCACCTAAGAAACCAACACAAGCACGCAGAGGAATACAAGGCGATGCCTTAGCTTCCAGCTCTTGAATGGCGTCAAGCCGGGCATCACCAGCGACACTTCGCCAAATGCTGCCTTCCTTAATAGCAAATTTTCTTTGTATGCCATCAATGACAGCCTTGACAAGGGCTGATGAGGCATTCACTTTGCAGGCATCAAACATATCATCGTCAGTCTTGTCGTGCTCAGGGCCACGTACATCGTCGATGAGTCGTCGGAAAAGCTTCCAAGAAAAGGAGGCAGGACGATCTTTACGACCAGGGCGTGTATCTCTGGCTCTAGGCTCGGGGATGTTGCGGCCAGGAAACAAGTTAGCTGCGAAAAGCCCAGTGGTAGCAGCAATCTCAATGGGGCCTTCAGCACTTGGCATGCTATCCAACGAGGCTTTCAGTGTACCTACTTCTTCTGCGAGTACAGTAGCTTGCTGCCTAAGAAGAGCTACTTCTTCCTTCAAACTCTTGTTTTCTTGCAGCATCACTTCAAAATTGTTGCGCATGTCGTTAAATCCATAGTTAACGCTAGTGCTTAACTGTTGGATCATAAAGAAATATTGTCCAAAGTAGGCTTAGATGTAGGAGTAGCAGTAGTGAGCATTTTAAATTTTAAAGAAAAAGACAGGACTAAATTTTTTTATATTTATTAAACCAATAATTTTTAAAGCACATCCTTGAGAAATACCACGACACAGTTTTTCATGTTTAGCCTTAGTAATTCTTTTAGTAAAGACGTTAACTCTCTTTTTGCACTTGTTGCAGAAAAATGCTTAGAAGTAAGTCATGATTAAGCTTTTAGAAATAAAAGTGATCGAATAGTTTTTCTTTACTAAATTATCAAATAGTTCATTCTTTCCAAAGTAGATTTCAAAGCCCAGCAAGGCTGATAGCTAAAAAAGATATTTTACTGGCCTACCACTGAGCATTTACTGGACAATGAATTTTTCGGGAGAAAATTTCCCATAGTATACGAGGCGGTAATTGCCGCAAAAGGAGGGTCGACGAAGTGTTAATTTTTCTTTTTCTTTTATATTCTTTAAATAAACATGTCAAAGCTTATTTCTTATAAATATGAAATCTCAAAGCACTGAACATAAAGAGCAACGGCTTCCCAAGCATTTAACGTATAGCTTGCAGAAGATTAATTTACATTTTGGTACGAAACCGAATTGTGTGTAGCTATATTGTTTATTCTTTACTGATTTTATAATAAACGTTCATTATGTGTAAATAAATAATTAAAAAAAATGGTTTAAACAAGTTAATAATTGTCGCCAACCCAAGCACGAGCATTGCGGAACATCTTTAACCAAGGACCCACTTGTCCCCAATTTTGATCAGCAGGGTACCAAGAATTACTTTCCTTCAAGACTACTCTTTCAGGATGAGGCATCATAGCCAAGACACGACCATTAGGTGTACCGATAGCAGCAACAGCGCCTCGTGAGCCGTTAGGATTGAATGGATACTGTTGTGTTGCCTTGCCATAATGATCCACATAAGTGACAAGACCAAGACCTTGAGATTGGAACTGATTGAATTCTTGATCTGATTTGAACGTAGCCTTTCCTTCACCATGTGCCACAGCAATAGGGAAAATGGATCCTTCCATGCCATTGAAGAATATGGACTTGGTGTTTTCAATCTTGACAAGGGTAGTACGGCCCTCAAACTGCTCAGATTCATTACGAGCAAAGCGTGGCCAGTTTTCGGTGCCAGGTATAAGTTCAGACAATTGACTCAGGAACTGACAACCGTTACAGACACCCAGGGCAAAAGTGTTGTCACGAGCAAAGAAGGCTTCAAATTCAGCACGAGCATGGGCATGTAGCAGGATGGTACGAGCCCAACCAGAACCAGCACCCAAGACATCACCATATGAGAAGCCACCACAGGCGGCAATACCAACAAAGTCTTTAAGAGATACCTTGCCAGAAATGACATCGGTCATATGCACATCAACAGATTCAAAACCAGCTAAATGGAAAGCAAAGGCCATTTCGATTTGACCATTGACGCCTTGATCACGAAGAACAGCAACCTTGGGGCGACGACCATCGGTAGACATACTGAAATGCTCAGCAGGGTCAAAGGTTAATTGATACTGAAGACCAGGATCATTAGGATCAAGAACAGCATCATATTCTTGCTTGGCACAGTCGGCGTTATCACGAGCAGCTTGCATCAAATAAGATGTCTTGGACCATGCACGGTAAAGATCGATACGTGAGGCACTGTAGACAACTTCACCCTTAAACTTGAATGTGATCATGTCCTTTTCATCGTGAGGAGTTGCCTCACCAATTCTGTGCAGAGCTTTTGCGGGCAAACCAGCTTCCTTCATGAGGTTCTCAAATTCTTCATAACGAGCAGATTCGATCTGAACAACGGCGCCTAACTCTTCATTATAAAGCGCAGAAACAACATCGTCTTCATGAATGATGGTATCCAATTCGACTTGAGCGCCCACGTGGCCAGCAAAACACATTTCCAAAACAGTGGCAAACAGACCACCATCAGAACGGTCATGGTAGGCCAAAACAAGGGGTACCTTGACTTCCTTTGCGCGCTGCATGGCGTTGAAGAAGCTCTTTAACAATTCGGCATCTTCTACATCAGGTGCCTCAGATCCAATTTCCTTGAATACTTGAGCCAAAGCAGAACCACCCAAACGTTGTTTGCCATTAGCCAAGTCAATATACACAAGTTCGGTGTTGGGCTTGGAGATGAGTTGAGGAGTGAAAGTGTTGTGGTTGTTGGCAACAGTACCAAATGCAGTAATGATGAGTGACAGGGGAGCAGTTACCTCTTTCTTCTGGTCGTCTTCTTGCCACTTCATCTTCATCGACATGGAGTCCTTTCCAACAGGAATGGCAATACCAAGCTTAGGACAGAGGTCTAAACCAACGGCTTGAACAGCTTCATAAAGACCGGCACCTTCACCTTGATGATCGGCGGCACACATCCAGTTGGCAGACATGATGACGTCTCTAATATCGGTGATATGAGCAGCAGCCAAATTGGTAAGTGCTTCACCAACAGCCATACGAGCAGAGGCAGCTTGCGAAATAAGAGCGATGGGGGTACGCTCACCCATAGCCATGGCTTCACCAGTAATAATGTCCAAGCCTAAAGAAGAAGTTGTCACGGCGACATCAGCAACGGGAACTTGCCATGGTCCAACAAATTGATCACGAGCAACAAGGGCAGTGATGGAACGATCGCCAATAGTTACCAAGAATGACTTGGAGGCAACAGAAGGTAAGTGAAGAACACGGGAAGCAGCTTCAGCAAGCACGTTGTGATTACCAGGAAGGTAGGTTTGGAGAGTTGTATCAAAGGGTCTTCTGAAAGGCTTTTCGGAGACAGTCTTGCGAGACATCTTGGGGGGCTTGCCAAAGAGAACAGGCATAGGTAAGTCAATAGGAACGTTGTTCAAGAGAGGATCGCGGACGACCAAGCGCTTCTCAGCAGTAGCAGTGCCTACGACGGCATAAGGACAACGCTCACGAGCACAAAATGCTTCAAATTGAGCAAGCTTATCTGGAGAGATAGCAAGCACATAACGTTCTTGAGATTCGTTACACCAGATGGCCATAGGAGACATGGAAGCATCGTCACAAGGAATCTTGCGTAAATCGATATCGGCACCGAGATCACTATCATGCACAATTTCAGGCAAAGCATTAGAAAGACCACCTGCACCCACATCGTGAATAGACTGAATGGGTGTATCGTCACCTAATGCATTACAAGCATCAATCACCTGTTGAGCGCGACGTTCCATTTCTGGGTTATCACGTTGAACTGAAGCAAAGTCCAGATCGGCGCTAGATTGACCAGAAGCCATAGAGGATGCGGCGCCTCCACCCAAACCGATCAACATACCGGGACCACCCAAGACAACAAGGCGAGCATCAGGAGTAATAGGTTTCTTCAAGACATGCATGGGACGAATGGTACCAACGCCACCAGCGATCATGATAGGCTTATGGTAACCACGAACTTCCGATGTAGATTCGGTCACCGGAGCTTCTTCAGCAAAGGTACGGAAATAACCAGTTAAAGCAGGACGACCAAACTCGTTATTGAAAGCAGCGCCTCCGAGAGGAGCTTCCTTCATAATATCGAAAGCAGAGGCAACGTGGCCTGGTTTACCAAAATCTGTTTCCCATGGCTGAATGTTATCTGGAATAAGCAAATTGGAAGTAGTGAAGCCGACAAGACCGGCCTTAGGCTTGGAGCCTTGACCGGTAGCACCTTCGTCACGAATTTCACCACCGGAACCAGTAGATGCACCAGGGAAAGGTGATACAGCAGTAGGATGGTTGTGAGTCTCAACCTATGAATATGCTTAGTTCTCCTTATTCCAGTTGATTCTTTCTCCGCTCCAAGTATATTTACCTTAGCAAGATAATGAACATCTTCTTCAAAATGTTCATATGTGTTGTTTGACACGGGATTAGGTGCAAATCGAGTAGCCTTAAATCCCTTGAGGACAGCAGCATTATCTGAATAAGCGGATAATGTAGCATTAGGGTTCTTCTTGTGTGTATTCTTGATCATGCCAAAGAGTGAATGAGGCTTGAGTTCTCCATCAATTGTCCAGTCAGCGCCAAAGATCTTGTGACGACAGTGTTCAGAATTAACTTGAGCAAACATGAATAATTCAACATCGGTAGGATTACGTTGAAGGCCAGATTTTCCGTCCTTTCCGACAAATGCATCAATCAAATAATCAATCTCATCATTAGCAAGAGCTAAACCTAAGGTGGTATTGGCATGAACGAGCTTTTCACGGGTAGCTTCAGGATTATTGCCATTTTCATTAAGCAAATCAACAACAGTCAATGGAGCAGGTGTGCCATGTTGAAAGATGGATTCAGCATCTGGAAGAGCTAATGAAATATACTGTGTCATACGATCGTGGATCAAATTCGAGACTGTGTCGATCTCTTCGGCAGAAAGCTGGGAACCATCACTTTTAACAATACGATAAGCAACACCACGCTCAATGCGTTCGACATGATCATATAAATTGCAGAGGTGAGCAATGTTGGTCGCCTTGGAGGACCAAGGGGAAATGGTACCAGCACGAGGAGCAACCAAAAGAGTAGTTGATGAAGGTTGCTGTTGATTGGTATTCAAAAAAGATACAATAGATTCATATTCTTGATCATCAATAGGATAATAGCCGTAGGTGAGTAAGTTACGAAGGATCTTTCCGGGTTCCAAGGATTCATTCAAGGTATCTTCTTGGCCACTGCGAGGTTGAACAAAATGAATATGAATAGCTGAGACAGAAATAGCAGAAGGAACGGTCTTTTGAATATCTTTCAAAACACTTGAGCTCTTGAAGCTGGAAAGAGCAGAAGTGCCAGGAAGTACCAACATGCTGGAGCTTATGTATTAAAAAGAAGGATGGGTTATGAAGAAGAAAGAAGGTTTGAGTCAATTGACAGCCGATATCTTTTTTTTTTTTTTCTCTTTTATTCCCGCTAATCTATGTTGATTGATGGTCACCAAAATCAAGTCCCAATGAGTCAAACCCAAAGATTGACTGAGTTTGAATATCAAGCCATGATACAGTGAAGTTGTTTACAGCCTCTCAGGTAATTATCAAAACGTTTAACGGAATAACGTGCAAACTCACCAAAAGATGACTGGGAAGTTTGGTTCACCATTAAAGAGACCGCAAAGCAGTGCATTATAAGATTAAGGTCGATAGCATTAATAAGATGGAGAGCCATAAGTAAGTATAAAATACCATTTTGCTATATCTAATGCTTGAGGAGTGACATTGACACAGTTATTTGTCGAATATTGCCATGATTGAAAAAGTTTGTGATTCGGCCAAAATAATGTGTAGACCTAAATAAAAAACCAAACCTTACCCGCTCCTAAAACAAAAGCAAAAAAGGATGGAAAAAGCGTGCGCTCAGAATACCCAAAAGATAATATTGATCCTTGAATCACGTCCAATGGTGGTTGATTGTTTGAAGAACCAAAAGGAACGCTATTATCTTTGGTGCAGGAAGCCAGTTAAGCTACAAGGAATCAAGCTATTGTTTGACAAATGCCTGAGTGCCTCCGCTGTTGCAAAACAATTGGGCGTCCACGTTCGTGCAGCACAAAGATGGGCTAAGCAGTACAATAACAACACTGATAGTATCTTTGAGAAACATCGGAATATTGGTCGCCCACGTCTACACAATGAGGAGCATAAAAAGGTCATTTTAGATTGCATTGACGAGAATCCATCAGTTGTCTTGGAACAAACAATGGAGCAACTTAGGCAGACATTTATAGGACTCAAGGTACCCAAGAGTACGGTGTATGATTTTGTGAGAAAACACTGCAAACTAACTCTGAAAAAAGCCCAGCCTCATTATATAGGAAGTCACAGATTGTAGATAGCCAGGATGAAGATACATAATACATATAACAGGCACTCGGGGTTACATCAACGGTCATCGAATGGAATTTCGAGCGTAATTGCCCCATTTGATAAAGTAGCAGCATATCTTGCGCTGATGTTTGTCATTTATTTGGCAACATTGATTTTACAGAATGGATAGACTCCAGGTCAATAAATACACGCATTTTTTCCGACGGTGCAAAGTGCGTAGTTGAAGGTCCAAAGTTCACCGATTCCTTATCCAGTCGCATGCTAGATGTGACCAGCAAATTGCAAGTCCTAGTACCCAATACCAGCTTTTGACTGTCTGCTGCGTTAAGTAAACAAGTGTTCAAATAACCGTAAAGGCTACGGCGTTCAGGAAAGGATGATGGCGATCCAAGTTGCCGTTGCTCGTGGTGAGCATCCGTCAGGAAATCGCGGCTGTACGACTCAATGGTATTCAAGATGGTTGCTATCGTGCCCTCAACTAGTATAGTGCCTGCCAGTATCTGTGATCCACAGTATCGTAGCTGGAACTACTCAAGCCAATCTCAGTTCAAAATGTTACATATTTCTTCTGTCAATTCAATGTGACCAGTTCCTATAAGATGCTTAGCAGTTTTACTATAAAGGAGAATGCATAAGAAAGGCGTCATACTCGTAATTTACCATGTTCCTTTGTAAAAAAAAAAAAATATTTACCTTGATATTTTCACATTGTGAATAAACGAATTGGCATCGGTCAGCACACTGGAAGTAATTTGCTCATTTTGATCAAGAAGAGGACCTTCCACACTCCAACAGATGGATTAGGCTGTAACATGATTGCTTTAGTTTCTTGGCTTGCCATAAACCCAAATTCCCTATCACCGCAACCTTACGAAATAGTTTTCCGTTACCCAGCCTTGGTGGGGGTCAGTCTGTCATGGTATAACTGATCTAATTCATGTAATACTAAGGACGTAACCGGTCATTGTAATCGTACACCATTTCTTAAGGCTCCTAACTATGTAAACATATTGGATGGTATGAATACATTGTCGCTATCAATGAGTATTTCTTTAATGGTTATGAATCTAATGGACAGACTAGCACGTGACAGTCTAGCGCTTTCTGGCGCTTTGGTAAGGTTGCAACAGAACTTCGGAACAAATGCCGACCTAATGGTCACGAGGCTTGACAGGAATGTCTCGTTAAGAAAGGGTATCACTATGTACACACGAATAAAAAAAAATGCTCTTTCTATGAATAAGATACGTTTAAAAGTAATAAGGGATTTTTAGGTAATTTCTTTAGTGCATTATACGGTTTGAAAAGAATGTATTATACCTTTTCGAGATAAATTACCTGTATTAAAGCAGGTAATACCCGAACAAATGATGTCCAAAAAAAAATTATTTGAATGATGCCTCACTCCTTAAAATCAACAACGCAAAAATGATTAGAAAGAAGAGGAGCTTTTGTTTGTTTGCTTTTTTCTTCTTTTTTTCTCTTTACTCACTTTATGACCGATAATGAAACAAAGAGCTTAAATATTGAGTCAAATATATCCAATAAGTCATTTAATATGGCACGACAGGACGTATTCATGATTCAATATTCCATGAAAGTCATTAATAACAGTACTGCATTTTCAACCTTTAAACAAGAGCTACGATATTCACGCAGTGTCCTGACTTTTAAAATACTTGGAAAGATTGGTGGTATCCAGCATTGTAAAGACTGGATTCATTATGTTGATAATGTTTCCAACGACCTAGGGCCGTGGTGCTCTGATATATTATGGAGTATTTTTCTCAATGATATCAATCCAGGCAGTAACGAATATTCAGCAAATGACTTTGTACTGCTACAACAAGCACAGATCATATGTCGTCACACGTTCGAATTCTTTACCTCTGACTATCGAAATACAGAGTTGTTTACTCCCAAAGTGACACAGTTCATCAACTGTCTCATATCTCTTATATCCAGCAAACAGAAGTTATTCATTGTTGTTATTGTCGAGAATCGAATAACAGCCTTGGTTCTGAAACTCTTGATAAGCTCACTGGACGTCTTGAGAATAGGTATAAGCTGTGATGCTTTCTTAGACACTTTTGAGAACATTAGTGAAGCGACATATAGCCATATATCAAGATTTAAAGCTAATCAAGTTAACCTATTAATCACCACCTATGAACTTGAAGCAATTGCAATCACTGAATCATATGACTATTTAATCAGGTAAAGGGTTTACTTGACTATTCTTCTGATCTTCTTTTCATTTTCTTACTCTTTCGTAAACATACGTCGGCTTGCTTCAGATTTGATTTTTACAAAGACGAAAAAATGTATCTTGCATCAGCTGCTACTAGAAGACTAAGTTCAAAGACAATCATACTGATCAACGCACAAAATAAACGAGAGATGTGTCTGGCTAAGAAGGTAGCGCAACTAGAAGGCCGGATAGCCAATGTTCATCACTTTTCAAGCTCTTCTACTGATGCACAAATGTTATCTTGCCCTAACAAGACCAATGTGGCAGATATGCAAATTGCAAAGGTACAAATGGGATCTTACAAGCAGAGTCGCGTAAAGTTCTGGGAGAATGATATAATAGCAAAAATGGAGGGCTCAGCAATAACCAATCCTGAAAACGAAGAGAGTATCGTCTTTTGGCTATCAGGATTTGAAATTGAGCAACCAGAAATACATACTCGAAAGATAGGATTCTGTACCAAGAAGCCATTACCTGATCTACCCGCACTTGAATTCATGCTTGATAATGCCCTTCACAAAGTTCATATTCGCAATTTCCACACATGCGTTCATCTTGAACATTCCGTGTCTGATCAGTTACTAATTTACACGCTTCAAGTTACGAATCACTTGAAAAAAGACAGTATCAAGTGTTCCCTAGATGATGTGCCTTATTTACTTGTCCCACTGAAGCAATACTGCAATGATAAATCACATGATGTCGATGTGGATTGGGAAGAGATAGAAAAGACCATTAGGTACAGTGCGAAGCGTACAGTGCTTTCGTTAGACTTTCCTATTAGTGATACTCTCATATATGACCCAGAGAAACCGAATCACATGTTTCTCATCCAAGATATACCGGTGCCCGTAAAACCCATGTTCTATTTGTTCAGAGACGACAGGGTTGGTGATCAGGAAAAATTTGTCTTTACCGAATTTTACAAGAGTCGGTTACAGCATATTAGCAAGATGGATTTCTCTAAGCCATTGATTCAAGTAACTTTGGTAAAAAACGATAGCAAGAAGTCTAGCTGTCTGTTTCCATTATATTCTAAAGTATGGCTTATACCTGACTATTGCGCTATTTATCCAATAAGCGCAAGTGTCTGTCGAACCTACGAGTTGCTCCCTGAAATTATGACACAGATCAATGCATATCTACTGATGTTCCAAGCAAAAGAAATGTACAACTTTGAGAAAATTGATGACGCCCTACTCCGCGAAGCACTTTCCTGTAAAAATGCTGATTTTATCAAAGACTATGAAAGATTGGAATATTTAGGAGGTATAGATTTGAATATGATGACATATACCTAAAACAACCTATATAGACGCTGTATTGGGCTTCATCTTTTCCACATATCTTTACATCAAATACCCTAATTATAACGAGTGCCAATTAACAAATACTCGAAGCAGGGCTGTTAAAAACAGTACACTCGCACAAGCGGGCAAAAATATCAGACTGTACAAGTATATCATCAATCAAAAGACGAACCGAGATGCATGGCAACCACCAGCATTTGTCAGCTGTTACAAAAAGCGCAAGTCTGTTGGTTTTCCCTACCAGACAACGAGAAGATCACTGAGCGATAGCACAATTGCTGATGTCATGGAGGCTATTTTAGGTGCAGCGTTCCTGAGCCACTGTCTGGACGGTGCTCTTCACACGGCAACAAATCTTTTACTGCCCTTTGATGGCCTGACGACTTGGTCTGACATGTCAGAGATGTGTAGCAAAATGACATATGGAGAGAAAAGCAGCTATAACATTGATCTAGACGAGTTTTATCAAAAGATAGGATATACATTTAATAACCCCATCCTGGCTGAAAAGGCCTTGACACAAAGGAACTGCAAGGTCTCGCTGCAATATGAGCGGCTTGAGTTCCTGGGTGATGCAGTCCTAGGTTTCTTTGCCGCTCAATATCTTTATAAAAAATACCCAACTGCACTTCCTGGTGAGCTAACCAACCTTCGCTCAATGTATGTCTCCAATGCCACTTTGGCTTTCATATGCATAAAGATGGATCTGCAGAAACATATACGGCACTCTTCTCCTAAAATGGCCGTGAATATTGCCTATTATGAAAATCAGCTACGGGAAAACGCGACGAAAGAAAAGAACGACAACGATTTCTGGCTCAGCCTTGATCCTCCAAAGGTCCTTGCGGATGTTGTTGAAAGTGTCATTGGTGCCATCTTTATAGATGCTAACTGTAACCCACAGCCAGCCTACGCATTTTTCGAAACATGGCTTATTCCACTTGTGGATGGGCATATTCCTGGGATAGCATTTCAATCTGCTATTTGGGGCTTTAGATGTCATGAATGGAAGTTAAGGTATGTTACGGTAGAAAAACAAAATTAGACAGCTGAATTCAAAAACATTCTTGCTGTCTTAGGCAAAGTCAACCCTTACAACATCCTAATACGTGCCTGTCGATAGTCTATGGTCAAGCTTTTGCACAAGGTTTAGGACGTACCAAAAAATCAGCAAAAGAATCAATGGAAGTCAGTGCAATCCAAAATATTCAACAGGAATCTGAAGCATTTAGATCTCTTTGTACTTGCAGAAAGAGTCCGTCTCATCTTAAAATTGAGTCATAATAACCGCAGCACATCCAGTCTAAGATATAAATAGTAGGCAGGACTGATCTGTACCTCAATAAATATTATCTTCTCTCTATCTCCTTTGCTGCTTTTTTAATTCTCACATATTATTCCCATGGTGACTACAACTACTACTTCTGGTTTGACAGACTTTTGCAAGCAACTACCTAAAGTCGAGCTGCATGCTCACTTGAATGGCAGTTTAAGTCCTGCAACAATGAAGCAATTAGTACAACTTAAAAAGGATACTAATCCTGAATTAAGCGAGTTTCAGATTCCTGAATCACTAGATTCTATAGACGAGTAACTATTTTATAAGCTTGTATTTTTTTCTCTCTCTTATACTCATGACACAATTGCCAGCTTTTTTGTATTATTCAAGTTCATATACCAGCTGACAGATAATGAGGAAGCCGTAAAGTTGGCTACAAGAAATATCATTAATGAATTTGCTCAAGACGGTGTTCGTTACTTGGAATTAAGAACAACGCCCAGACAAAATGCTGAAACAAGTAAAAAACATGAGTATATGCCCTTCCTTGTTGATCCAATGATTAATATTCTTATATAGACATGACCAAGACGTCTTATATTGAGGCTGTCAGTAGTGTCTTACAGGAGCCCAGAGATGATATCATCGTTAGACTCATCGTTTCTATTGACCGTCGAAACACTTTGGAGGAAGCAAACGAAGCAGTTGATCTTGCCTTAGCTTTTCGATCCAAGGGTGTCGTCGGCGTGGATTTGTGTGGTGATGTGAAGAAGGGATCCTTTAATGCTCTGAAGCCTGCATTTGACAGGGCCAAGGAACATGGTTTCCCGGTGACATTACACTTTAATGAAGTAGTAGAGAACTTGTCTGAAGCCCCATCTATGCTGGCATTTAAGCCCAACCGTTTGGGACATGCCACAATCCTCGATGATTTTTGTAGAAAGACTGTCTATGAGAGTCACGTTCCTGTCGAAATCTGTATGACTTCAAATCTGCTTTGCAAGACAGTCAAGACATTTCAAGATCACCATATAAAGGAATTAATGGATGATCGTCATCCCTTTATCTTGTGTGTAAGTGATATTTGAAAAGAAAGACATCGGTATACTGAGTTGATGAATACATAGACGGATGATAAGGGTGTCTTCTTTTCTGATCTTTCAAATGAATATAGAATAGCTGCAGAAACATTCAACCTGACCTATTCTGAATTATTCAATCTCTCTTATCGCTCCATAGATGCTATATTTGGCGATGAACACTTAAAGAGCCAATTGAAGAATATGTGGCTAGCCTGGAAAAAGGACCATGAGTCCGAATTTTAATTGAATTTTTGCTCTAAAGGCCGAATGTAATGTTTGGGAAATTCGACAGTTAATAAATAAATATGATGTGTGTCTAATTCAATCTTTCCTGTCTTTAAATCAAAGCGAACAGGTACATGATGAGCTCGACGGTCCAAGTAGACATGATATCCTCTTTCTGATAATACATCCATCACTATGGCAGCAAGGTGATCATCTCCTAGCATTGGATTTTCCCTAAATATATATATGTATATGGGTATGAGTGTTTATAGTTTATACATGTATACTTACGTTCGGACATTTGCATGGCCACTGATCGCATGTCTATGAACTTGAGGAATAACCTGTTCATCAATAAATTGAATAGCCTTTTGTAAATTGTACGGTTCTGTTTGTTGATAGTGTTCTAATCTACTGATAAGGTCCTGCAGATAAAGTCAATAGGAGAAAGATATATATAATGATCACGCCTTACCTGACGTGCATGAACACCGATTTGGGATGCTAATGGAATATGTGAAATGGAATCATAGGTATCAGAATCCAATTCCAAAGAAGATTGATACTCGAATTCCTTTAAGATGATGTGTAGTACTTCCTTGATGGATCCAGTCGCATTAACCAAATCTATTATACATTATTGAATTCGCCTGTTACATAATTAAATACCATACTTACGGAAAGGAAACATTTTTGATAGCTTCAATAATGATCCATAGTGTGCTTTAAAGATTGCATATCTCTCACGGATCAACTTTAAGAAATTAATAAAAGAACAAATGACCATTGGCTTACAACTTACACTTTCGTCATTATCTGTCACACGCTCTTCCCACAAGACACCTTGACCCGTCTTCTTTACTTCCATATTATGCTCACGAATCATTCTTCCTCTTGCCAATTGTCGCTGCACCGAGATTTCTTCATCTACATACAGTACACAGATACGAAAGACAGGGCGCCTATACAAGCGTAAATGATCTACTATTTTGATGCCTCCATGCAACTTACGGGAATTGATCTCTTCTATCTGTATCCCAATACTGCCGTCTAAGCTCGGTCATTTTGTCATGAAGCAGTCTTAGTGCTTCCACCTGAATGTCTGTACGAGGAAATCCATCAACGAGTACTCCCACAGTGGGGTCACAATCCAACATGGCATGTAGCACGAGTTCAATGACATATCTGTCTGATATCATCTGTCCTTGATTGATCAACTCTTTACATTCTGGTGTTTGCAGTAGTTGAGATACTGAGATAGGAGGGTTGGTGATTCCACGTGCTCTAAGTATCGAAGGAGTGTGTGTTCCTTTTCCTGATCTAAATAAAGTAATTAGAATCAGGTCTATGTTTCCCTTTCTTAGGTTACTTGCCCTGGGGCACCCATCAAAAAGATAATTTCTCTGGGTAAATGAATATTCTCTCGTCCATAATGATCTTCTATATTTTTCCATGCTTGGTTAAATATCAATTTTGCGTCCTTTATTTCTGTAGCTCTATATTATAATTGAAACTGTCAGTTCAGGCTGAATTTTCATTATAATATGATTACCTTGTATCGACAGACTCTGGAGTTGATGAACGGGAGTTACGACTATCTTTAGGGGGGATTATGTTAATATGATAACAGTTATCTTATTATAATACTCAACTGGCTTGTTCAGCCAAGACAGGAAATCGTCTAGGCAGAGAGAAAGTAGTGTAGTATTTAGATAACTGTTTGCTATGAAGAAATATAGACCGTCTTTGCTGAAGGACCTGAACGAGGCACCGTCTAAACATATTAAAGATAAAAGAGAAAAAGAGAAAACATAGAAACCGCGGGGTTTGGCCATTGTATCTCAGCGATCGTCGATGGTGGTGGGTGTATTCATGACGCAAATAAGTGAACCAAGTGACACCACACAAGTGTCATTTTTATTATTTCTTTCTTTTCTTTATTACTCTATAAAATCTATATGCAGTATGACCCATTACTTGACAAGGCTATCCAGACCGGCCAGAGCTACACTAAGTGCCAGTCTATTCGGCTTGGGTCTTTATACATACGATTCCCGCAGCGAGGCTCAAGTGCTTACTCGAAATGTCAGAACATTTTATAATGGCATCGCATTGGCTGTGGACTACAAATTAAACTTTAAGCCAGGACCAACTGAAGCAGACAATCAGCGCATAGAGGCTCTCCATGAGCGAGTAGCCAATCGCATATTCGACGTCTTTGAGAAAAATGGTGGGCTGTATATAAAAATCGGTCAAGTTATTGGTACTCAGGCAGCGGTGCTACCACCAGCATATCATCGACGAGCCAGAAAACTATTTGATGCTGCTCCGGCTGTATCTTTTAACTCTGTAGAACGTGTGTTCATGGAAGACTTTAACGGAATGCACCCGAGTCAAGTGTTTGCAGAATTTGAAATGACACCTGTTGCTTCAGCATCCATTGCGCAAGTGCATAAAGCCCGATTAAAGAACGGAGACGTGGTTGCAGTCAAGATACAGAAACCAACGATACAGAAACAGATGAATTGGGATTTACGTGCTTTCAGAATCTTGCTCAGGGTTTATGAGTACTTGTTTGAGCTGCCATTGGCTTGGTCAAGCGATTATATTGAAAAGCATATGCGCATGGAAGCTGACTTTCAAACTGAAGCAAGGTACGAGCATGAAAATAAATGAAGGATTCGTTTCTCACCTGTATCATAGAAACGCAAAAAAGGCATGGGAGCACATTCAGCAGGAGAAATCACTAAAGGATAAAGTATATATACCAAAAGTATATGACGAATACAGCTCAAAGCGAGTGCTTGTATGTGAATGGGTGGATGGAATACAGTTAACAGATACCAAATCATTAAAAAGCAAAGGTTTAGACTATAAAGAAGCTATGAAGATATCAATAGAAGCATTTGCTAGTCAAATATTTAGAAGTGGATTTGTTCATGGTAAGCGTTGTTTTTATCTTTCTTTCATGCGTCTTATATATCTGTGTAGGTGATCCTCACCCTGGCAATGTCCTCGTGAGACATAATCCAAAAAACAAGAGACAGGTTCAAGTGGTTTTGATAGATCATGGCTTATACATACAAGAGTCAGAGGTGTTTAGACAAGAATATTGTCAACTCTGGGAAGCTTTGTTTATGCTAGACATACCTCGAATGACAGAGATTTGTGAAAAATGGGGCATTCATGATGCAAATATGTTTGCTTCTATTACTCTTCAACGTCCATTTTCAGGGAAAAAAGCTGTAGATCAGGAAATAGACGTGAAAGAGATGTATGAGATGCAGGCACACATGAAGGAGCGAATAAAGCATTTCTTGAGTGATCAAGGACTATTCCCTAGAGAGCTCATCTTCATTTCAAGAAATATGAACATTGTAAGAGCCAATAATAAAGCAGTGGGGAGCCCTGTGAATCGATTAAATGTGATGGCTAGATGGGCCGTGCAGTGCACTAACGAAAAAGGTTCATGGTTAAGCTGGCGATCCATTCTATTCGAAACTACCTTGCTACTGATGAATCTCGGCTTCTGGCTGGTACGCGTGCGGGATCAATTCAATAGACTCTTTTTTGGTTCTAATGCAAAGGGTCTAGAAGACATTTTGGACGAAAGAATGAAAGATGAGGTAATTATATTATACCAATCCTTACTCGATTCGATACTAAAAATAAGCATTAGATGTATAGGCAATTTGGAATTAAAGTAGACCCATCCGTGTTTGAAGGATAACATGTGCAATAAAGACATACTATAGACTGATTTACATCTTAAACAGGTCATCCTCCCTTCTTTGTGTCATATCCTATTTTTTATGCAGCTTACTGTCATTTAATAACCCTTTCTATACGACCATTGTTTCCTAAACTTGTTATAGTGCAAGGTTGATAATTATTCATTGTATGATGCTGAGCATGAGCAGGTAAAGCTCTATTTGTCATGTAGAGCTGCGATCAGTAACTGCTGTATAAATAATCTCTAACTCATTAACACTACTAGTGACTTTCGGTAGGGAGATTGAAAGACTTTATCAGACCGTGGTTTTGTTTTGCAAAAATACCCAATCAGGATTTACAAACAAACCCCTATAAGCCTCCCTTCTCCCTTATTTGTACTAAAAACACAATAAAATGAGCCTTGACGATGGCAATTGACCCATAATGAAAGAAGGGTCATTGATACAAAAAATAGCAAGTTACATACTGTTATTTGAAAGATAACTGAATAGCGTATGATTGCGCTGTATATATGACGTGACGGTGACAACGACATATACACACACAGCGCCCTATAATGCGCTCATTAAAAGAGAAAAAAAAATGCTTTTTTTCTTTTAATAAAATAAATTTTGACATATGTTGTGAGTCTTTATACACAAACATGACAAATTGGGTAGAAAAAATAAACGATCGGGTGGCACGATCAGTAGTTGGAAAGTACTTCCAGTTAGAATACTCTGGACATAGAAGAGAAAGAAAAGGAACAAGGTTTTTTACAGAACTTCGTGCTGGTGTGACTATATTCTTTGCCATGGTAATAGCTTAAATTATATCAATACACATAAAAATTAAGCAAAAAAAAAAATTTTTTTTTAAAAAAGGCTTATATCATTTCTGTCAATGCTTCAATTATTTCAGAAAGTGGTGGTACATGTATCTGTAACAGCACAGCAGGCGATCCAACATGCGACAATGATCCAGCCTATTTGCAGTGTGTTTATAACTTTAGACTTGACTTAATTATCGCAACTTCCATATGTGCCATGATTTCCAGCGTTTTGATTGGTATATTTGCCAATTTGCCGCTCGGCATGGCTCCTGGGTAAGGAAAAAATAATAAGCAGAGAAAGGGAAACTAACGATATATGTAGTATGGGTTTGAATGCTTACTTTACATATACGATCGTTGGTTACCATGGTTCTGGTAAAGTGAGCTACGAGACTGCACTGGCAGCTGTCTTTATCGAAGGTATCATCTTCTTCGTACTCTCTCTCTTTGGTGTTCGACAATGGTTCGCACGTATCATTCCAATGAGCATCAAAGTAGCGATGGGCTGTGGTATTGGACTTTATCTCTGCTTCATTGGTCTTCAATCTTCTGCAGGTATTGGCCTTGTCAGATTAGACTACTCAACCTTAGTCACCCTTGGCGGTTGTCCCTCGGCTGCGTTGGACGAACATGGCTCTTGCCAGTGGGGTCATATGACCTCCGCCACAATGTATATGGGACTTTTGGGCCTTATTCTCATGTCACTTTTAATTATGTTCCGTGTACGTGGTGCAATTCTGATTGGTATTATCGCGATCGCCATCACTTCCTGGCCGCGTAACAGTCCGATTACATATTTCCCCTATACGGAGCAAGGCAATCTGATGTTTGACTACTTTAAAAAAGTTGTAACAATCCATAACCTCCAGAACGTCCTCGGCCGATTTAACTTTGACCTGACGACCAAAGATATCTGGATTGCACTGATCACTTTCTTGTATGTCGATATCTTGGACACCACAGGCACCATGTACTCAATGGCCCGATATGGTGGATTTACCGACAAGGCCGGCGACTTTGAACACTCAACATGGGCATTCTTAGCAGACGCCTGCTCTGTCTCAATCGGTTCTTGTTTTGGTACGTCTTCTTGCACGGCCTTTGTTGAATCGGGTGCAGGTATTGCCGAGGGAGGTCGAACAGGTCTGACGGCGATCACTGTTGCTTTTGGCTTCTTCATCTCTATCTTCTTTTCTCCCATCTTTGCTAGTTTCCCTCCATGGTCAACTGGTCCAGCCTTGATCTTGGTAGGTTCCATGATGACCTCTAGCGTCCGCAACATCAACTGGGACTATCCTGGAGACGCCATCCCAGCCTTCATCACTATGGCCGTCATGCCATTTACCTACTCAATTGCTTACGGTGTCATTGGCGGTATATGTGCATATATCATCATTAACGGTGCTGTTTATGTGATGGATAAGGGATCAGGTGGTCGTATTCGCCCCGATTACTCACAGCGTGAAAACTGGTGGACTGCTGTCCTCAGTCGATCGTTCACTCCTACATGGATTCAATTCATCATTGCCAAAATTAGAGGAAGAGAATTCGATTGGCATCAAGACGAGTATGAATTTGAAGACGATGATGATTTGGCTTCTAGACGTCATCCAATGAGTGAAGAAGCCCCTACGGTTGTGATTGGAGCAGATAATGGCTCCGGCATAGAAACTATCTCAATGAACAATAATAGAAAACTTTAAATAAAACCTTTTTCTTTCTTTCTTTTGTATATATATTTTTGTATTTTTTTTAAACATGGAAGAAGAAGAACATGAGTTGACAAGGATTGAAAAAATAGAACATGAGCATAAGCTAGTTCAGCGCAAGTTTCATAAAAGGCAAGTTTTAATTGTTTCTTTAGATACTAAAACTAATAATAATAAAGAAATGAACCTGAAAAGGGAGGCTATGCTACACTAAGTGATTATTGGAGAGAGTTTGGTCACGTCGTTCAGCATACAATGCATTTAAAGAGTTCATCAAGCATTCAACTTTTGCTTAATCTAACAGGCGAATTTCACGATGTATGTGATGCATACGAGCGAGATGCCGAAATTTATGAATACAAAGAATGCTTTGATGCTCTTGATTTTGCATGGCAGACTGTCATTGAGGATCACCAACCGATAAGTCAAACAGATAAAGTGAGGATATTGAATGTGCTAAGAGATGGGCAGGATAGAGCTTCTTTATTTGGATTAAACCAAGTCTACCATCATGCAACCGAGATGCTAGACGGGGATTAAAAAGTTAAAAATAAACACTTTCAATGTGTTCTGGCTCCCTTTTAGACTCGACATCTAATTTGTCACTTTATTATTTGCTGTAACACCTATTTCTGTTAATTAAGGTGACCTGGGTTCCCGCTTTGTATAAAAGAATAAAGTTTTTCTCTTTTCTTTCTCTTTTTCTTTCATTCTTTCTTTTCACACACAGAAAAAGGGAGAGGACAGTTAATTTTATATACCATACAACATATATATACACACACACAATGAAGTTTTCTATCACCGCTATCTCTGCTCTCATCCTGTCTACTGCTGTTTCCATGACTACAGCTGACTCCTATAGTGACGCCATGAAGTCTTGGTGTGGAGGTAAGCGGCTGTCACGTATTATCTAATATATGCTAATGACAACTCATATATAGGCCTTGGCGTCTCTTTCCCTACCTCATCCACTGTTGTCACCGCTGGCAGTAAAACTAAAGTTACAGTTAGTAAGTGTATTCATTTATACATTAAAAAATCAAATCTAATTTTAAAAAAAAAAGCTAGAAAGCCTGATCAACGCACAAAGACAGTTACTGGCCTTGATGTAATGTAACACCAGATTATCCCTTAGAATTTAAACTAAACAAATATAAATAGTTATACTCTGTTGATTCCAACGGCAAAGCTAAATACGTCCAAAATGTCTGGTCAGGCAAATACAACCTTCAAAAGACTGCTTCTATCACAGACACAATTCCCTCTAATGTAGCTCCCGGCCTCTATTACTACCGGTAAGACAAAGAAATCATGGTTTAAAAATAGAAACTAATTTATTATAAATATAGTGTCTGGGTTACCAACATGGTCAATGGTCAACATGGCCCTGATTGTTTACAAACCTCCCATACTTTCAAGGTAACTTCCAGCTCTCACAAGAATGCTGATGGCACCATGGAGTATGCAGAATCCCTTGATGACGAAAATATCTATCATCCTGACCACTACAATGGTTGCTTCGGTTTGACTGTTGATTATCCTGCACCCAACGGCGAATTCAATGTCGATGAACATATCCATATCCAGGTCAACCGTGACTCTGCCTCTCAAACGGATGCTTTGACCAAGGTCGAATTGTACAAGGGTGATGAACTCGTAGACGTTGCCTGGACTGGTAATGAACCCATCCTGAATTCTTTCACTCTTAAAGATCACTTGAAGCTTGACAATGTCGATCCTGCAGCTGACTATCACTACAAGCTCGAAGTTACTTCACAACACTCTAATGACCATTGTACCTTCGTCTCCAACAGCTTCAAGATCAAGTCTGAATAAATTATCATTGTTGTATAATAATAAATTAAAGTCTCTTTTTCATGCCCAATCCTGCCCTATCGATTTGTGTTGCCAGCTCAATCGGTTCCTTGATGCCATGACTATCTTTACCTAAGCCTTGACCTTCTTGCCATCCTAGTCTCCTTAGCATGTTGCTACCGACACCTTCTACACGAATAATAGGTTCTGGTGGTGCCAAGTTATTTTTAGGTGGTATCACTTTAGGCGGCGCCATGTCACTCTCTATTCCTTGTCTTCTTAACTCTGCTCTGTCCACATAATCATTCTGTACTGCATTACTGGAGATATCATAATTTTCCTTGTACTGTTTTATCCACTCGTGTCGATCGACCTCCAAACTCTGCATTCCTTCCTTTTTCTTTTTTTCCTTCTTCCCAGCGCACACATCAATCACCTCATTCGCTCTACACTCGCTACAAATCGGATGTTTATGTACCTGCAGCGTTGTTGAACCAATCTCAATGATATCTTTATGTTTTAACAAATACGGCAGACTGCTTTTCTTGGCCTCAGACAACAGTTCACCATTGACCCTTGTTCCATGCTGAGAGCCAACGTCAACGAGATAAAACAACTCTGTGGTCGGATTCAGAAAGATGTGGCAATGGAACTTACTGACGGCAAGTTCAGGCAATCTCAATCGTCGATCCCACGACCGATCACGACCCATCGTCAATCCGTTCTCATCCACAAGCACTACTTGACCTGCATGATAAAAGGGGGAAGACAAGACGACGAGGCGAATAGATTCTGTGCTAATGGCATTATGTTGAGTTGTATAAAAACTGTCGTAATCTCCATTCACCCAGACTTGACCGTTATGATACATGACGCGTTTCTTGTTGTGCATCACATAGACATTAAAGAAATCGTCAAATGTCCATTGTTCTTCGTTTGACGCATCTTGACTCATATTTAAAAAATAAACTAGCAAAAAAAAAAAAAAAACCGTCTCAGGCAGGCTAAAATCTGCAACCCTTTTTTTCCCTTTTTTTTATTTATTTATTAAAATGATACAGGCGCCGCAGCAAGAAGTTCGTGTAGGCGTCGCATGTTTTGTGGTTCATAGACCATCTGATGGTATACTACGCATATTAACTAGTCAGCGCAAAGGATCGCATGGCGATGGTACCTGGCAACTTCCTGGTGGACACATGGAGATGTTTGAATCGTTTGAAGGCTGTGCTCGACGAGAAGTACTCGAAGAAACCAATCTTGAGATCAATTCAATTCGATACGTGACAGCCACGAATAATATCATGGGCGACAAGCATTACGTGACCATCTTTATGTACTCTGAGGTATCATCAGAAGAAATTAAGAATCTACGTGTGATGGAGCCTGAGAAGCTACAAGGCGAGTGGAAGTGGGTCACATTAGATGAACTTGTAACATACAAACCATTGTTCTCTCCGCTTCAGTCATTCATAGATCAACAAGATGTAAGCTTTTTGAAATAAAATAAAATAAAACCTTGTGAGCAATGTTATTTCTATTGTTTTTTGTTTTTCTTTTTTAATTAAATAAATACATACACACATTAAAATAGATTTACACAATTTTTTTTCCCTTTTAGCAGGTAAATAACGAAAGATTATTACTTTGTACCGCTCTCATCACGCGTTGAACAAACGGCCTTGTCTTTGCAATCTCGCCTACTGGTGTTCTTAACAGTACCTTGACCAGTCGAATGAGTCCTTCGAGAGCCTTGGCCTTGATGGGTGTATTCTGAGATACATGATATAACAAGATTTCACATGCCTGTTTGAGTTCATGTACGCAGGGTCTAAAGTAACAATCGACTTGAACAATCCAGGCATCAAAAAGTTCGACAAGAGCAAAGGCTGCGGCAGTACACCTCTGCAGGGACATGGGTGTTGGTAGATAACTTTGATGAATCAAGATCCAATGTCCGTGATGTCGGATCCATTGTTTATAGATGCATCGTTGGTACCAGATGCTGTCTGATGCTGTCAGGGCAGATAAAGGCGGGAGTTCCTTTTGAAAATCAAGCAGTCGTTTCTCTATTCGCTCGATCGCTTCATAACTCGTCTGCACTTCTTCAGTGTGTGTAAAGATCGTACGACGAATGTCTCGTGTGATTTGACAGGTGTGGAATTCAATCCATTGGAAAAACGCTTGGTGATCCATAAAGTTCTTTTTAAAGTAAGTTGTTGTACTCACGTGATCATCCAAATGAATCTCGTATGGCTTGTTATGGTAATGGGAGGAAGCGGTGTCAAGAAAGTACATAAACCAGAGCAGTGACCGTGCGTATTCCTTGACGACTTGGACATCAGGTTCTTCTGTGGGGAACATCGCCGCTTGATTCTCCGCAATTATCTCGAGGGAATCCTCTCGATAGAGCTGGAGTGAAAGAGCCATGCGGACAGCCATGCCTGAGTACAGATAGACAACAGATGTGTTTCCGTTTTCGATGTGATACAAGACAAGGTTACATATCGCGTGGCATGTCATCAAACAGGGCAAATCAAAATACATTCCTGACAATAGACGTTTGGCCCACTTGTAATATTGCACTGACAGCCGTGTACAGTTTGCTTCGTCCATTGTGTTTTCGAATATTTCGGGATGCCAGTAGTATGCATGTGGGAGCATATGGCAGATGATGGATGCATACAGGAGCTGAAAGGCAGGTGGTAAGCAGGTATAATCGGTGTTGATCAATATATGAGAGAAGAGAGTATCAAAGGGTTGAACAGCGCCATAGAGCAAACATGTCTTGTAAAGTGATATCAGTCGATGAACAAGGGCTGGTGGCAGAGGAGTAGGCAGATTCATGTCGTCTTCTCCATCATCTTCAAGTAACTGACTGCTTGTCGTACTCTGATCATCTTCATCATCTTCTCCATCATGAACATTGGGTCGTAAGCTAGTAAAATGACTTAGACGAACATGTGGGAATATCGAATGGTTCCTTATCAGCCACACAGGTTTTTTCTCCGGAGGTGTATAGAGTACAGTATTATCCTGAGCAAATCGTATCAGAGTCGAATAGATATCCGTAACATGAAACATGTGTGTATCAATCGAGAGACCAGCTTCCGAATGATAAATGGTCCAGCGCTGAAGAGAACGAGTTTGAATGTCGTTTGGTTGAGTGACCGTGCGAAAGATAGACTCTAATCGACTGAACTCATCAATGACTGAATGAATCTGGTTTTCAAGTCCTGCAAACCGGTCTCTTAGCGCCGTACTTTCTAAATCACCGGGAACTTCCAAATACACACATGTCACTCCAGCAATATTGCATTGCTCGCAGCTTGGCCTTGACCTTGAGCATTTCGAACGATGTTTTCGACATCTATTATATATAAAATATGAGTACATTAGAACATACTGCTTTTACTTGCTTACCTCTGACAGGATAAAGCCATACGAGCTCTTCTTTTAATGGGTCGAGAAGAAGCACTGACTGCTGTTGTTTCCATTGATAGATAAGAAAGAAAAGGAAAAAAAGAAAAACCCTCATTTTCACACACACGAATCAATCACAGCTTAGGTAGTACAATAACCAAAAAAGGAAATACCATTTTTAACAAAGGAACGGACAGTCATTGTTTATCTTTTTTCTTTCTTTTCATTATTTCTTTGTACATAAGAAGCATGTTGAAGAACCCTTCTATTGCTCCTTTGGTAATAGGAATATATGTAATATATATGTATATACTTATTAAAAAGACACGCGTATATATATATAGTTTCGCATGACAGATGCCAACCTTCAAGCATACATCTCTACCGTGTTTCAATGCACCTCTAGACGACATGAATCAACTGCTCCCATTGAAGAATGGTGGAAATTGTTACCCATAATCAACGAACACGAAAACTATTACATACTGACAGCAGAGGAAATAGTAGCTTTAGAGACTTATTGTATCAATAACCTAGAAGTTGAAATGACACCTCTTGAATTTGTTAAACTACTTGACCTTGTTCGATATTCAGATTCAGAAATAGAAGAAGACGAGATAGAAATCACGCCTCAAATGAGCATATCATCCTCTCTTAGACCTAAACATATCAGTTATTTTGATGATACAGATAGCGTGCATCATCCGGAACCATTTGATGTAAACAACTGGACGCATTCTTTAGCATAAACTCATATGTTCTTGTTAGGAAATCATGAATAATAATAATAATCGAACAAGGATACCTTATAATACACCCATTCAACAACAAGTAGAGGTATTATAACAAAAGAATGAAGGACAAAGAAGCAGAAAGAAAATGACCCTTTTGATTAGGAGATTAGGAAACTAAAGCAAGAAAAGACAAGTTTATTAGCTCAACTGAAAGAAAACGATGTCAAGATACAAAAGATGGCTAAAGAACATTTAGAACGTATCACTCAGTTGGAAACAAAGATTCAATATTTAAACCTTGAAAAGGAAAAGCAAAAATCAGTGACAAATGAGCATGCAAAGAAAGAAAGAGAACGACTGAACAAGATAGCAGAGGTACGGGAATGATTCTGTATATTCATATATCTAATCTTTATGTGTTATTAGCTACAAGATACCATAAAAAAGACAGAAGAAAAATATACAGCATGTTCAAAAAAGTTGTCAAAGAAAGAGGAAGAAGCGACAAAGTTACAGGAAAGACTGAGGCAAGCAGACAAAGAAACAAATCAGATCAAAGAACTAAAGACGACCATTTCTGAGCTAAGACATGAATTAGAAGCTCATCAGCATGAAAATGTGAAACTTATGGAGATAATTGATAAACAAAAGTTTGATTTAGATGAAGCAAGAAGTGGGTTGAATCATTTCTATGTAAAAAAGAAAAAAAAACAATAGCACCTGTATATCATTAACCCTTCTTTGAATAGAACAAAGATCAAGTTGAGCTAGAAGCAGAATACGCCGAACGATTAACACAAATGAAAAAAGAACGCGATATGCTTCTACAACAGATTGAGCAACACCAAGCAAGTATATCTGATTTATCAAATCAATTAGACCATCAGCATCAAGTTGTCAGCGACATCAAAAGTCGTCTTCACTATTTCCCCTGTCATTCCAACTTGTTCATTCAATTCATGTCATACATTGCTTGGATCTATTTATTATACCACCTATTTCTATCCGTCTGCAGCTATTATACAGATGAGACACCCTTAGACCCTATTCTGCGTAACCTGGACTTTTGGTTACAACGTTTTTCTGCAAAATAAAAAGAATTTATTTTTTTAAGCAACAATATATTTATCTGCCTTGACGGACTTGTTTATCACATTCACTTGTGCCCAAGTCACATTAGGATCAAATCCTTGGTTGATCTGCAAGTGTGAATAAAGCTCATCTTTAAGATCAAAGCGTGCAGCGATAGGTTGTGGAGAACCTTGACTATTGGTTTCGAATTGAGCCTTGATGTTGGCTTCCTCTGAGTGATCTAGTGTACCCAAATCCCATCTGATACGTTGATGGGCTAGGCTGAGTTCGCCTGGAGGAATACTTTGGGCATGTTGCACATCTCCTGTGACCGACGTGATAAAGACCACATTCTCTAATGTGCCTGCGCACTGCTTTTGGTACTTGATCAGTAATCGGCTCTTTTCTTGATCACATCTCCACATGGGCTTGATCAGCAATGGCAAATCTGTCAAATCTAGTTGGTAAGTCATGATGACCATCTCTTTCTCTGTGATGAGTGATTTGAGTTGATAGGTGTTATCTGTCAACAATTGGATATGATCTGTCAGTTCAGTTGCCGCAGATGACGGCAAGTTTATCTGGAAGCAGACCGGTCGTGTGCTTTCTCTTGGCCCTGTGTATCTTATGCGTACTTCGCCCTTGATCATTGCCTGCTCAATATGTCCAGATTTTGAAAGAGCAAATATCCTTTCTGTCACGTCAACATTTATAGCTGGTAAAGCAACATCCGGTTCTTCTTCATTCACTTCCTCAAATGATTGTAAAAAGGGTGAGGAGCTAGGCTGCTCCATAACTGAATAAAGTTGTGTAGAACGGACTCTAAAAAAAATAAGTAACCTTTTCTAGGCAAACACAAACTTACTCTCTACGACCCCTTAATCTTCGAGTACCTGGAGCTGCATTTTTCTAAATAAGTGTGTCAGTTTACGTATATTTTCTAATTGCTTATTACCTCTTTCAACAACGTAGCTACTCGACTCAAGGCTACAGCCGCGTTTGACGCGTCTTCCTCGACAACAGATTCATTCTTAATGTCTACTCTGATACGGGGATTGGCGTTATTGCTGAACAGACTATAATAAAAGGGTTATATATCGTATGTGTGGCGGCTTTTTTTTTTAAAAGAAATTACCTGCCAGCATCTGAGCTCATATCTTCGGTGTCTACAAGTGATTCAGAAGCCTCGGATGGCCATGTATGATTTCTATTGGGAGGTGGTATGGAATAACCTTCAGAATCAACGACGATAAGAGGCTAAGTATAGAATGATTTAAAAAAAAAAGCTCCCATTTATCTTTACTGAATTTACCGCATCTTGTTGTTGCTGTTGCTGTTGTTGAGTCATTGTAGCTGTTGTAAAACTAGCTGCCTTTCTAATTTGGGGTGTAGCCACTTCAATACCTGGATTTGTGTTGATAGGATGTTCATGACTATGAATACTTTCGACTAAACTTCCAGAATGGCTCAAACTTCGCTGACGGTTTTGTGTGTCTGTAGTATGTTGAAGATGACCGCTCTTGGGTTTGCGTCGTATACTGACAAGTGTAGAAAAGACTATAAGAAGGAGGTCATTAAACTGCTTTTTGTTTTTATGTCATGTCCTTTACATCTTTTCTTTTTAGTGGGTGATGTTGCATGTTTTAGACTTGATTCTGAAATAGAAGGTTCAGGGACGACAGCATCGTGTTGAAGGTGATATTCTGATACAGAATCTCCAACTTCACGATGATTGCCTGAACAAAAGTGCGCGATCTCATCTTCAATAGAGAGTGGATCGATAATAGCTGTGGCGGTTTTTGTCAGCTGTAATGGATTGTGAATAACCTTCCTCTTTTCTCATTTATTTCATTCTAACCTCTAAATTCTTTTCTAAAGCACTCTGTTGAAGCAATTCAAAGTTTTGTACAAGTGACTTTACAACTGTCCAACGATATTCATCTACAGCTTGATGTTTCTAGTAGATGATTTAGTCATAATGTAATATGGGACATTTGTTTATTTACTTGTAAATAAGCAGGTGCTTCATTAATCCATTCTTGATACTTCTTCTCTTGTTGTTTCGTACATTCTACTACCTTTGATTCTCCTTTTGGACCAGCCCTTTTATGCTTTTGTATCTTGGCATCCAATTCGTCATATTCTCTAGCAATCTTTGCAAGATGATCTTCCATGGATTGAACTTGGTTATAGTCTGCATTATTAATCATGCACTGTCGCAAAGGCTGTTCAATATTTTCAAGAATCTTGTTTGAATAGTCTGAATGGATATTACACAATGTAGAAATCTCTTGATACAATATTTCCCACATGGGAACAAAGGTTCTTTTTATATGGTTTAGTGAAGAACTTTTTCTTTTCTTTATATATTTACTTGCCCAAGTGCTGCCTTGTTGGATATATAATGCTTTCTTGTCAATTTCTGTAAACTTTTGACATACAAATCTTCTATCTGTGCTCTATTCATTATAGATTAAGCATATATAATACTTTATATCAACAATATCATTTACCGATCTCGAAAGTAGTCTGCAAGCTCTTCATTTAGTTTTACTGCAGAGTGAAGTCTTGTATGTGTCGCATTCAGCGCATGCTTTGGTCTTTCATTCTTTTTATTGTTGTGAGTGTATAATATAAAAAGGGTCACATGAACTTACAATAAGAGTATTCAAGTACATATCATTTTGAAGCGTCATTATATTAAATAGTAAAGAAAAAAAGAAAGAGGAAGAGAAAATAAAATAGGAGACTAAAATACAGTGAAGCTATTACCTTGACCATAACAGGTAATTCATCTGGCTTTTTGCTATTTATGATGTTGTACTTGAATACAGTGAAGATAATCTGAGATTGAAAATAGACGCTGGGTATTTCTTTGGATGTAAAGTGCAGATCAATCTATAATAGCCTTGTGACTATATGGTTTAAAAATGGATTATACAACAGCCGTAATTTACAATTGTATTATATGCCTTGTAACAGAAATCCCTATATGCAATGACTGCGATGATCAAGGCCACACGTCAAAAATATGCACCAAGCACCGTCTTTACGTTTCAGTTAAATATACATGTATATATACACCAAGTGTATATGGAATAAAACTAACTCCATATATTGTTGCAAAAGGAAAATGCTTCTTCTAATAATTTCATGTTGTATCTTTAGCAAGCATGCTACCTGTTGTGTTTTTGACTTGTAACTTATATCTAAAATGGAGTAATTGATATCAGTGATAAACTCCCCCGGGTTACAAATTGCATAACTTGGCAACCATGTTGAAAGCTTTATGAATATCCCACTACAATGACGACAGTTGCAAAAGAGAGAAGGCTAAAGCCCTACGTGATACTAATTTTTTCTGCCAAGTATTCTTTACGCTCTGGTACACAGGTGCTGTGTTTGAATCTTAAATCACTGTAAAACTGGGACATCAGCCTACTTTCTTTTATTTATTGTTCTCTTTTTAACGCAAAATAACAGTAGCCCCCTCCCCTTTTATATTAAGAGTGCGTAGACGACAAGAGTAACACACTTATTATAAAATACATTTATTGAAATACATAAACAAGATGAGATTACTTGACAGTTTATTTGACATATTCAGTTCCTTTGTTGTGTGTTGTATACCGAACCCAAATATCAGTATCAATGGAAGAGCATATCGTATTATCAAGCTATTAGGAGAAGGGTAATTGACAGATATATATATACCTCTTGAAGAAGTATTAAATATCATATATCAGTGGTTTCTCTTTTGTTTATCTTGCACAGGATGGTTCCGGTAACCTTTATGCTTTAAAAAAGATACGATGTACACTAGGCACAGAAGAAGCAGAACTAGCACAACGTGAAGTGGATGCATATCAGATGTTTTCACATAAAAATATAATTAAAATGCTAGTAAGAACAAATATAAAAAGAAAGGGAGAGAGCATATTGTAACTTGTTTAAAAAGGACTCTAGTACAATAACTGAACATGACGGAAGCAAAACGATTTATATCTTTTTACCTTATTATAGGGTAAGTAGATGGATAAGGTATCGATAATCATTAACTCTTTAAAAGAGAGGAAACTTGCAAGATGCAATCAACAAGAACAACATGAACAATACACACTTTGAAGAGATAGAAATGTTTAGATTATTTCGAGAGATATGCGTTGGTGTACGTGTCATGCATACGTTCCGAGGCCAATCTGCTGCTAGAATTCAATATGAACCAACGCATGCTATGACTCATGAAGAAGAAAGCAGGCAGGACCAAGCTTTGTTGGGTGGAAGCCATCAAGAACAATCCACTGGCGGTATTGCAGCGGAAGGAAAAGGGGAAGTTGTGCCTTGGGCTCACCGAGACATTAAGCCAGGGTAATAATAAGATTCAAGTCTAAAGTGTGTTTATACTAATATCTTTTAGAAACGTCTTGATCGCAGATGATGGGCAAACTGCGGTACTAATGGACTTTGGCTCAGCATGTCAAGCACGAATTCATATTGAGAATAGACAAGAAGCGCTGGCACAACAGGTAAAAAAATAACATTTTCTACATCTCTTTATAACCCCTCTTTTATAGGATCTTGCTGCTGAACACTGTACAATGCCATACAGAGCACCGGAGTTATTTGACGTCAAGACAGGAACCACACTTGATGAAAAGGTCGATATATGGTCATTGGGCTGCACTCTCTATGCCATGGCATATGGGCAGTCTCCCTTTGAGATGAATACTGATCAAGGAGGCTCTGTTGCACTCGCCGTTTTGAATAATCAATACAAGTTTCCAGAGAACAATGTATATTCACAGAATGTTAAAGACCTTATTCAGTGGATGTTGACAACAGACCCATCAAGCCGTCCTGATATTCATCAGGTAAGCCTTCATTCTTTTTTAGTACAAATCAGTCTTATATAAACCATTACAATAGGTATTGAGCAAACTAGATGAAGTACTCAATACACAGCAATAATAACCAACCTCTTTTTTCTTGTAAAATATGAATGTAAATCGTCCCTCTCATCTTTTTCCCTTTCTCGATAACCATATCATAAGAGCTGCTTCATAGCCAATAAATACACGAGCTTTTTGTTTGTAACATCTTGACATATAAAAACTATCAAATAGGAAACAATTTATATAAAGAATTTATTGAAACTATGCAGATGACGGCCAATCTTTAATAGAGCATGTATTACATAGCAAAGGCTGATCAAGCGGATACTCTGATAAATCCTTTGATCCCGGTAATCTTCGATAACAGGATACACACATTGGAACATCTTCACCATTCTGTCAAAAGAAAGTAATCAGAACCTATCTTTATCTTAATTTTAATTTTTACCTCTTTGGCTTTTTGTAGCAACATTCCTAGTTGATCCCGCAGCTTTTTATTGCTTATACGTAACTGATGTAATTCATATTGCCAATTCGCGTTTCTGTTGATATCCAGTTCATCAATCATCCTTTCAACAGAGATCGCTTTTTGAGCTGCATCGTAACCCAGCAGAGATTGATCAGAACGGCCCTTCTTTTTGATATCAGTATCTATGGATACAAAAACAGGTTCCTCATCTGTTAGTATTGTTTCATCATCCACAACCCTTGTCTGCATTAAAACAAAAGATGGTTCTTCTTTACAGGATGGTTTACCATCTGGATAAAAAGTGGTGGCTACCATCACTTCCATTCCGGCATTGTTCAGCAGTGCATGTCTCAGATAGGCAATCTTGCCTTCTTTCACTTCTGCTAGTGCGCGTGTAAGATCAGTGGTTCGATTGCTACGCATCAATTGATACAAAGACGTGCCGACGACTTCAACTGGGCGTAATCCAAGAATGTTTGTACACGTCGAGGTTATATAAAGAATCAGACCATCCATACTAAGCTTTCCCCAAAATTCATGATCTTCTGCTCCAGGTGTTGTCTTTTCCGTATTATAGGGTCGACTAGTATGAGTTTTGTTCCCAACATCAAGAGCACCACGTGGGAGTTGGTAGATAGATCGTTCTCTCCCGGACAGCACCACATACTTCCTGCCTCGTCCATCTTCATTACGTAGCTTACCACAACATTCAATCCACATATATCCAGAATTTTTTCGGCGTATGCGATATATCAGATTCACTGGTTCGTTTGAATCATTCGACGACTGCTTTAATTCTCGCATCACTGTGGTTATATCGGAAGGATGACAGACCGCTTTCAAGGACTTGCCTACTAGCTCTGTGGGGTCGTATTCTAGCAATTGTTGCGAAGAATCAGAACAGTAAAGAAATATTCCTTTAATAGTCAACACATGGATAAAGTCAGGACTCTGATCCAGTAATAATTCATGCCAACATCGCTTGAACTTTCCTTCGTCAGTGCTAGATTCTTTCACCAGTCCTTCTATATTCAAAGGTCGCTCATTACCAACGAACGGTTCACTCACTGTATCTTCTATAGGTAGCATCAAATCGTTGTTGTTGGTTATCTGTTTGTTTGTCGATGCTTGAGGTCGTCTCCATTCTTTTATATCTTCACTATTGAAGTCTTGCGTTAAACCTTGATCAAATCGTTAAATTTGACAACAAGTTTACCGACAGACAATTTACCGTGTATACTTTGTGGAATAGAGCTGCTTCTATAATTTACAGCATAGGTTCCATCTTTACCAAAGTGTCAATTCACTATCTCGTATTATTTACTCCTGTTACCTTTCATATTTTGAAATATAGCATTTGGCTGTTCAACCAAGTCTACTTGCAGTCCCACAAAATAATCTATTTCATCCGAATCCCAAGAGATAGGTATTACAGTTAACAGATTGACAAATGGCTACATAGATTAGATACGAGTCAGATGCAACTTATAACAGTTTGTCTTACCTGTCCAGTCTTTCGATAATTAATAATACTCGACTGAGACTCCTTTCCTTGTATCAAATGAGTCTTGATGTGATAAACTGTCGTATTATCCGTATATTTTCTTCTTGAACCAATGGCTACGTTTCCATCAGGTGCTTGTAAAAACCGACAATTGCGGCCGATAACCTCACTTGGTGCGTATCCTGTCAATTTTTCAAACATAGGCGAAACATAAACAAGGGGAAAATCATATTGTTTTGCGTCTACAACTACGAATGCACATGATAGATCGACGGGCCCCAAGTTGATCTGAGGGTTAGGTCTGTATGTAGATGAGCATATTGGTTAATAAAATATTTTACAACCCTCACCTATTAGCTACACGCGAGAGAATAGACAACATGTCAAAGCCAGTGTTTGCGTACATACCAATGTATCGGTCTCCGTTATTGGTATTTGCAGTGGGGGGTATAGATGCTGGTGGAGGTATTGAAGAGGTGGCTGCGATCATGGGTTGTTGAAAAGGGTATGGAGGAACAAAAGGAGCATGAGATTGCTGCATCTTATGAAAGTTGGCATTACTGCTACTGCTACTACTATTTCCACCGCCACCCTCGCCATGACTGCCACTGCCACTGCCTGTCATTAAGCCAGCTTGATAACCACTGAAAGAGAATAACTTGTCACTTGATGGTGGAACATTGCTACTTTCATATAATTGAGGATTAAACTGCGCTGAAAATGTCTGAAAAGGATCCATTATCGAAAAAAAAAAAAAAAAAAAAGAGATAGCCCTTTTTATATGTGAGTTTCAATAAATTAAATATGCTGGAGTATTTGCAGCATAGAAGGGGGGCTGCTTTCTCTCTATGGTAGTTTTACATCAAAACATTGGAAAATTACCTAATATAGAATATAAATGGATTTCTTAGATCGAGATCGCGCATATAAATACAAGATACAAAAGGAAAGGGGGGATTAGCCCAACAAAGATATTTTACCCACACACCTACACCCACACAAATATATATATATACATATACATATACTTTATGTTATTATACCCACAACATACTTGTCATGAATGCTTATTGTAGGTATACATAGAAAAGATAAGTCTGTTCTCTATTTTTTTTTATGCAAAATTACATATGGAAAGTGTGACTGTAAATGAGAGAGAGACAGACAGACAGACGGCATAATTTCTTTTTTCTTTTTCTTGCATACATTTTTTTTATACATGAATTACTCTTGGGACACCATTCGTGACCAAGTGAGGGAGTTTAGAGCAAATCTTCAAGCTATTTATCCTCTTCAAATATTATCAACAGTCAAGGAATTTACAATAGATGCTTCGAACCAATTATACTTTCTTTCTGATCATCTCGCCTTGACGAATGAAATATCACCTAGTAGAAACTTACAACTCTATCATGTAGATTTGAACAAAAGTAATATTGCTCTCCAAGTATAAAAGGGATGAAATGGGAAACATGTTTGGCTTAGTGTATATATAGTACCTTACTCAGACTGGTTAAATAAGTCCGATAGAATGACAGAAGCAGAATATCTAGCAGCATGTAGCAAAGCACCTTTATTAGAATGGAACGTACTATTTGAAGAGTACTGTAACCCTAAAACAGGAACGCATTTTCGTCTACAGGGCATAACTAGCTATGATATTAAAGATGATACTGTCATGTTTACATCTCATAATGGCATTTTCATTAGTAAAATGGGACAGGCAAAGTATAAATATATTTATAGAGAGAGAGAATTTATTAATAGTGTATACCTTAGATACCTAGGCTAGTTTATAGTAGATCAATGCACGTTTGCGACACACAATCAACTGAGCGACATCCTACATCTAAAACACTCCTATTAGACGGAAGACTGGATCCGAAACTAGGCGGAAACCATGTTGACAAGATTGCGTTTATCAAAAATAGAGATATCTGGGTGATGGATCTTGAAGGGAATGAGAGACAGCTTACGTTTTGCTCACTAAATACCAAAGATCCTACATTAAACTGTGGCGGTGTAGAATACATGATGCAAGTAAACATGACAGCAACACGTGATTACACACATATGTATATACTAATAGTTATAACGTTTAGGAGGAATTTCACCGGTTCACTGGCTATTACTGGGCACCATCGGATCCTGATTCACCTGTAGATAGAATAGTGTACCTAGAAACCTCTGAACTAGAGGTCGAGCTGTTAAGGATATCAAAACCAGCCATCTCATTTTCTGGATCAGATACTCTGCTCAATCACACAGAGTGCATGCGATACCCATATGCAGGAAAACCCAATGCTACGAGTAAAATAAGAATTGTAGAATTTAGCGATACAGAAATCATACATAGAAAGCTGTTGGATCATGATGAACTTCATATTGCATTTCCTTGGATGGAATATATCGTTAGATTCGGTTGGATACCAAATGGTCAAAGGTAAAGAATTTTTTTGAAGAAAAGACGTGAGAGGCTTATCCGTATATAAAGTGTATGGGCCCAGATACTATCGAGAGATCAAAAGAGGACAGCGGTAGTGAAATTAGCATTAGAACAATTCACTAGCCCATCTTCATCTCTACCAACAGAGATACTTTGGGAAGAAACGAATAGTGCCTGGATTAATGTGACAGACGCATACTATTTCATGAAACAGACGGATGCGACAGTAACAAGGCTGATTTGGAGCTCTGAAAAGTCAAATGGATATCGACACCTTTATCTCGTAGAAAAACATATAGATCAACCCGCAGTTATCACTCAACTTACACATGGTGAGTGGTGCTGTCTAGACAAGCCTATTTATGTGGATGAATCGCGTGGCCTTGTGTATTTTTCTGCCAAGGCGGATACCCCTTTGGAACCTCACTTTTATGTTGTATCGTACCTCAGACCACAGGACGGCATCAGACGGCTGACTCAACCTGGATTTAGTCACACAGTCACCATGACTTGTCCAGACTATTTTGTAGATTGCTTTTCTAACCTTCGTCATCCGCATGTCTTTTATGTGCAAAAGATTGACCATAGTTCATTACTACCCTCACCATCGAGTTGCAAAGGACTCATCTTGCCTGTCTGTCGTATCACTCCTCATCAGAACTGCTCTCCGTGTATAGCCGATACCATCTTTCTTCACACAAATTCATCAGGAGCTGAAAATATTAAACACTACCAGGAAGCGACGCTAATATTTGAAAGCGTCTTATCAAATGGACACTTGTTTAGCTTCACAACGTCAGATGGTATATATATAGTTTGAAAGATAAATGCTATAGATGACTCACTCCTTTTTTTTTTGTAAAAGGCGTCGTTTTGTACGGATGTCTATATAGACCACGATCTTATCAACCTGGATACAGTTACCCTACCATCCTTCACATCTACGGTGGGCCTAAATCACAAATGGTAGTCAACGAATTCAGGCTCCCGAGACTCATGCGATATTTGATGTCCGTCTATTTTGGATTTGCAGTTGTCATCATCGATGGCCGTGGATCTAGCGACAGAGGTCTTCATTTTGAATCACATATCCAGTATCGACTTGGTACAGTCGAACTCAAGGATCAGATCGAAGGATTACAGTTCTTGTACAATACTAAGTTTGGAGCTGGCGTGACAAAGGATGGAAGAAAAGTAAGCGTTGTCGATTTGAACAAGGTGGCTATCACTGGATGGTCATATGGGGGATACCTTAGTCTTATGGCATTAGGACAATATCCTGATTTATTTAAAATAGCAATTGCTGGTGCGCCTGTTACACAGTGGGAACTCTATGATGCTGCTTATACGGAACGGTATATGGGGCTACCGTCTGAAAACAGAAAGGCTTATGCAAAAAGCTCTGTGTTACAGTATGTACGAGATTTTCCAGACAGGTAAACTAAAAGAATGCCTTGTGTATGCGACCCTGTTAATAACCATCATATGTAGTGGCAATAGGCTATTGATTGCACATGGTTTGATTGATGAAAATGTGCATTTTAAGAATACTGAGGCACTCGTAACAGAATTAGTTAAACATAACAAACACCATTATCTTCAAGTATATCCAAATGAAAAACACGGTCTTCGGCATGCTAGTGTCAATGAGCATTTCGAGACCCTTATGTTTTACTGGCTGACCAACTATTTGTAAATAAATAAGCCTTGTCAGAAAATGTAATTATTTTATTTTGGATCTTAATCTAATAGACTATTAGAAGGTGGTCTATTTTGAGAAGCGTAGGGCGGTTGTTGTTGTTGTTGTTGATAAGGTGGATATCCTTGTTGTTGTGGATGATATTGTCCTTGAAAATTAGGTTGAGTAAAGTTTTGTGGAGGAGCAAAGTTTTGCATTGGCTGTTGAGGATAGGTTTGCTGTTGCAGTGGCATAAAAGCTTGTTGCTGAGGTGAGTAGTAACCTTGTTGTTGTTGTTGTTGTTGTTGGGGAAGGATATAGCCATGCTGCTGGTGCTGTGGCTGTTGTTGTTGTTGCTGTTGGGGAGTAGGAGGAGGGATATAGTTTGGTTGAGGTACCTGAGTAGGGGTATAGCTCTGTACTTGAGGAGATGCGTAATTTGTTGGATACATAGTCTGACCATTGTAGGCAGGACGCTGATTAGAAACTACAGGCGTATAAACAGGAGATGTATATACCGCAGATGATGGCTGCTGCTGTTGTGGTTGTTGTTGTTGCTGTTGTTGAGGGTAGCCATATCCACTGTAAGATGGTGTCTGCTGCTGAAGGATACCTTGAGGTTTAGGTGGTGGCGTTGGTGTGTACTGATAAGGAGCGCTTGGTTCATTCAAGGATAATTGTCTTGTTTGGTTTATAAGCTGTGTTGTTGTAGGCACTGCTGATGGGAGTGGGTGCTGAGGAACAACTGGTGGAGCCGAATGTTGAGGCATTACTGGCTGAGATGGATGCTGAAGAATTGCAGGCTGAGATGGCTGCTGGGGAGCCACGGGAGGGGCAGTATATTTGTTTAATGTTTCTTTCAATAGAGTCTGCTCGCGTGTGCTCTTTGTGCTCTCAATTTCTTCTATCAAGCGACGCCTTTCTGCCGTGCGTTCATTAACAAATCTTTGAACGTTACGTTGGAGTGAATCAATAGTGTCGTGCAATCCACGATAAAACTGTATCCCTTTACCCAATCCTTCTCTCACTTCATCATAAACAGACTTTGCTTCTTTCAAATCCATCACCAAACTCTTTTGAGCCTTTTCTGCCTTTTCATGTTGTGAGTGCAGTTTTTGTGCCTCAGTTCCCTCCATCAAATCCTTAAATGCTGCAGTCAATTCTTGAATAGCTTGCTGCTGATGCTGGATAGTAGCAGAGATGCGCTGTTGATGTGGTCTAAATTTCTCGAGTTCAGATGCAAAAATCTGCTGCTCTACGTTTGCCTTCTTATTTAAAATTAATAACTGTGAGATGTCATCTTGCAATGTCTAAAGAAGTATATGAGGCTTTTGCATTTTTGTATAAAAATGACTCACCTTTTCTTTGAGATCCTGGAAGGTTTCATTTCTATCACTTTCAATTTTACGCAACTTTTCCAAAATGGATTCCACTCGCTGAACCTTCTCGTTCAACTTGTTTTTGTTGTCCTCGACACCAGTATCTACATCCAACAAGCTCATGTCTGAGGCAACGTTGCTTTTGTTTGATAAGTTGATGATAGTGTCTGTAAACGCTTTTTCCAAGGCCTGCGGTTGCTTCAGGATATCAAGATGATGCTGAACAGAGCTATACTTTGCAAACAATTGTTGGTCCGACTGGTTCGCATTTTCTAACATTCTACGATGATTTAAGATGTCATGACGAAACTCGGTTGTGAGTGATGCAGAGGGCGCCTGAGTCCAAAGATCACCATGTTTGACTCGTTCTTGTTCACAATCCCTCATTTCTGTATCAAGATTCAGGTTGATCTCATCCAAGGTTTGCCTTGCTTCCAATTTCGCTGAATTTAACGTGTTTAGTAATTCACCAATGGACTTGGTGCGCTCCTCCAAGACCACCTGATCTGCCCATTGTTTCACTTCGGTAGGTGGTGAAGCATATATATCCAATGTCTGCTGCTTAAATTTTGCCAAAGACCCTGGCAGCTTCATATAGTCCAAGGATGTGTTGAGCTCGGCCTTGGCAAGGTCGCATCGCTCATTCTCCGAACGAAGTAACTTGGCCTTTTCTTCAGAATACAAAGAAGCGCTTTCATGAATACTGATAGGAATAAGTTTCGAAAACAAATCAACACCAATGACCTTTTTGATTTCGTCAGGTCCATAGAGTTCAGAGATAGGAATCGTCTTGACAGCTTTTAAACGGTCGATCGGTGTCAGAATGGATTCTTGAGGTACTGCATCATGATAAATCATATCGTTGTCCCGAGTGGCTGATGTTACTTTTTCTGTGCATGTAGCACTCAAAGTCTTGCAAAGCTCTTGAAGGGCGTTTGCGCATTCACTAGGAACCGTTCCATTCGCATGGTTGGAGATCAATAAGAGTGAAGGCAGACTATTGGATAACTTGACTGCCTCTTTGGCAGCAGACTCAGCAGCTGAGTATCTTGCTACACATTCACCATACTTGGCTTCAGCCTCACACGCAGCAGCCTTATGCTGCTGAGCTGTTGCAGCATAATACTTTTGCTTGATTTGACATATAGTCACCCACGACTTGTCGACGCCCACACCGCGCTGTATGGCATCATTCACAGCATCCACAAGGTGTCCATAGGCCCAAGCTGCATGACTAGCTAGTTTGGCAATCAATCCCTCCTTCTTTTTTTCTCGAATACTGCTCTCCAAAAAGCACTCGTGAGCCTGCGCCAACATAAGCTCGCACAACATTTGGACTGTCTCTCGACTCAAGTCTTCGGAAGGAGCGTGTAGAAAATTGTCATTGATATACTGAAACATTCCTGCAGAGGCCTGGAAGTAGTGGAACGCTCGTTTTCGTCCTTCTGCCTCGGCTCGGTTTTGTGCACTTGCAATTGCTGATAGTGTAGATGCCTCGTTGAATATGATACTGGCCTTTTCAAATGCAAGAGAATATTGGGCAACGGCCCTGTTGTTAAAAGCGTCATACCTATAAAAGCTCATATCAACATTTGCCTTTCTAGTATGTTAATGTTTTTTTTTTACCAGTTGAATAACACCTTGACATGCTTCTCATCAACAGGGAAACGCAAGTCGAGTAATTCCAACTGTCCAAAATAACGATAAAGCAAGTCTCTTCCGGTAATGTCCTTTCCTGCACCACGAATATCTTGGCGTAACCGATTAAAAGACTGAGTTTCTTCTTTATATTTTTCTGGGTCGTCTTGATAAAAGCGAGCGATATATTTCTTTAAAGGATGAATCCAGTCAACATCATCTGTCTTTTTGAAGGGTGCCGTAATAAACGGAATTTGTGGTGTCGTCATAAAGTGCAATTAATACAAAAGAAAAAAGTGAAAAATACAAAAAAGGTCACAGGATACACAAAGACATACAGAGAGAGAATACAGAGACAAAGACGGAGAAAGGGTGCACGCGTCGCTTTTTCAATTTTTGTTGCTTGATAGAATATTAGAGCATATGATCTTGGCAGAATATTTGTACTCATTTCATGAAGAGAAAGAGAAAAAGAGAGAGGGAGAGAGGGACAGTGAGAGAGATATTTATCCTTGTTGGAATATGCCTTTTCAGTACATATATTCAAGTATCAGTCTTTTGGGACCATTAATCTGATAGATTCTCTGACATACAGTATTGTTGATCTACTTTTATGCAACTAAATTCATAACAAGGTTCTTGGTTGATTTGACATAACTTTGGGCTTTCAAAACTTGAAAAAGGGACACTGTGGATTCCATCCGAAATCTAACGTCATTTGGCAGTTTTCTTTAATGCACACAAAGTGTTTGTGTTTATCGAAATATTACCACTATTAAGAAGAAAGACGGCGTATTTGATTATACGATATCACATTGGACAAAATGCTGTAATAAAAACTATGAAGTAAGAAAGTAAGAAAGAAGAAGAAGAAAAAGAGAGGTTCATAGAAAGGACACTTTAATTCGACCGCCAGAAATGCGGTAGTAAAACATCAAGATGATAGACAAGGCAATTTGTTGTGCTGAAAGGATGCCTGTCATCACGATATATGTGTCTTCATTTACTCGAAAACCAGCAGAATTCTCTTGTGGGGATGCTACCCTATAAAGACTATATTATAAAGAGAAGCAGAAGGCGATGTGGGGACAGCCTCCTTTTCTAGCGTTTCAATTTAAAAGTCAATTCTCACTGTATACAAATGCAAAGAAGAGATATTCTCGGATATTAACTGCAGAATAGTGCTTCAGAACTTTTTTTCATAAATAAAGTAGTTTATGTGAAAATAATAAATAAATGCGATGATATTGTACTTCATAGGCACTTCTTGTTAGATTTATAACGAATTACTGTTATGACTAATATTGATAAATAAGCCTCCAGATTGAGAATTATCTCTGGCGAAGTAATTTTTAAGGTTTGGTTTTCTAAGCAAAACATAATTTTTCTGTTTTACAGAACAAAAAAGAAACAGAAAGAACACTCAAAAAAAAAACTCCGTCTGTCATATTGGTTCTTTGTGTGCGAAAAACTCGCGGCTTATGCTTCTGGTCAAAGCTGGATTACGCATATCAAAAGATAAGCATCTAGCTAATTGCTTCATCTGCCCAATAAAAAAAGCCGCTTCTCACTAAGCTATCAAAGTGCTAAAAGGAGTCGTTATCTTGCTTTCCATAGTCAGTCTCTCTTTAACCTCTCTTTTTATTCTCTTTCATGCAGTCATGTTGATCTCTAAATCCTTTGGTCTTTTTTTTTCTGGAAGAGCGAATTTATCTAATCTATTCCCAAACAGGAGCGATTTACCAGGGTCTTGGTCCAAGCGGGTTTAGTTTTCTCCTCATTACTCAGAGATAACCAAGTTAGTAGCAAAAGAACATACTTTCTTCTCTTGTTTCTTTCCTCAACGGCACATCTCCGAGTTTCCCCCTTTTTTTGCCTCAACTTTTCTTCTTTTTTCTTATTCCGCCAGCCAATACCATCGTCTATTAAGCTGTTCAATATTGGGAAAATAAGCCAGCAGTTTATGATTCGACTTTTTTGTTTGTATATCTAATAAATACCCCATCCTATCAAACTTATGCTCGTACCAAGCCTAAGTCTTTTGTTTTTTATATTCTTGTTTCTTTACAATTTAAATGAGAAGCTAACGACAGATAGTGCTTCGGAGTAACAAACAAGATGAGAACAAATCAAGTCAGATCACAAATTTACGCAGATAAAGACAAGTATATATTGCAAGTAAAAAGATTGGCACTGCATTTATTTTTATGGAGAAATGCAAATTTGGCTATTTTACTCAAATGTGGGTAGTGATTTTGACTAAACGCTTGGTAATTGATTATAAATAGCAAAGTGGTACAACAGTAAATCCAAAAAAGGAAAATGTTCGACGGTTAATTTAACGATTTACATCATTTGTTGAACTGGTTTAAATGGTCAAATAAAAATGATCGGATTCTTCCATTTCTAGTAATTGTGATATCATAAATACCTACCAAAAAAGGTTTGTTCCTAATGCCTTTTTTAATAAACAGCACAAAAGTATATATAAACCTTGGGTTCTTTTTTGATTTTCCCTCTATCTCTCTCAGCATTTCTTTTTCTTCTTAACCCCTCTTGTCAACAATACACATGTCTCCTACCGTCTTACCCAACAACAACAATAACAATAATAGGATGATGACAAGAGACGAAATCATGAAATTGGCAAGAAATGAATATGCTCGTCAATTATCAAAATATACCAAAGCACAATTGCTGAAAAATAATATTCAAGTGAACAAGACATCCGAAAGTGATACAAAGTTATCTTCGTCCAGGGGTCAGCAAGCCAATCTCACACAACAGTAAAAGCTTTGGCTGCCTTATTTGTAAATAACCGAAATTGACTCTCAACTCACACATATATATCCTCTCTTACACTATCGCTACCGCTGCAATAATCATTTTTTCATTGGGCATTTTTTTTTCTCTTTATTTCTTTCTTTTTTTTTTGTATATAAAATATTTTATATTCATAACGCATATATAAATATTCCCATAAATAAAAAGTCTTTTTTCTTGAATTAATAAAAGATCTCGACCTTTTTATGAAGTCATTATACATTGAAAGTTATTTAATTGGATGTTTTATGCATATTGACACATTGTATTGTTTTTTGTTTAAGTCTGCGGGCTTTTTCTGCGGATAGTAATTGTCCTATTTACCCTATAAATATTTAACGAGATTACTCTAAATCTATATTACAAAAGACTAACCACAAAACATGTTATCATGGAATGCGACATGTCCCAACTCTCATCGACCATAATTAAATCGAGTTGTCATATAAAAGAATGTTGTTCATTCTTGTTCTGAATAAAGAGACTCATCGACATACGTCTTTATTATTCAAGAGATATCACGGCAAATTTAAGACATCTTGACAATAGATTGAGTTAGAAATGTTGAATTCTTGTTACAAGATAGAAAAAGGTAATTAGGTATTCATGGCATGTCAAATATACATTTCGACTATACCAGAAAATTTCAAAACGTTTATTTTAGTTAAAAAAAACATCTTGAAGAGTCTTTTTATGACAAACGCAAGCGCACTACTTAAGCAAGATCAAGATGAAGAAGCTTACGAATATTACAAAAAATACCATATATATCGATAACAATAACGAATTTCCATATGTGTTTATACTCCTGCAAAAAAAAAAAAAAAAAGCCAGTGATGCGAGCGAGCAAGGAGATGCTGACTTATTGAAGTGAAAAAATGTTTAACAGGAAGAAATCTCGGCTTTGTTGGCTAAAAGAATCTTGCAGGATTTACGAAAACAGCAACAAATGCCCATCCTTTAATTTGGCATGTTTTTGATATGTGTCTGTTGATGAATGACATTGCTGTTCTAATTAAATAAATCACTAAAGGCGGGCTATCCCTGATGGTTGTTCAAAGCTCTAGTTAATTAAAGCCGAGCTTTCGTTCTGGAGTAGAGAAAGACATCAACTGTATTTAAAAAGGCAGCTGCTACCTGCACGAGATTTTTGTTATTATCTCTTTTAGTGTGCCATGAAAAGGCGTCCGTAAACTTAGAGTAAAAGATCAATAGATGCAATCGTGGCATATGCGGCCTGCACAGTATTCTCGATTATTTTTAATTTCTCATTTTAGTTCACAGAGCATTAATAGATAAATAACCGTGTTTTTTTTTTTCAAACTAGACAGGTTACTATAGTAGCGTTTTTTTTTTTAAAAAAAATCCTCGGTTCCTATAGAGACAAGTATGATCTCACTTTTGAATAGATGACATTCTATCTTTTCTCGACAAAGATGACAGAATGGATGTGGGGTACAGATAACCAATACATTTCTTTGCTGCACATGCTATTTCCTTAAATGGTAACCTATGATGGCATCAGTAAAAGAACGTGGTTCAACGTTGTACATGATGTCTTTGTAGTCAATGCATTTCCTTTACAGAAAAGGAAAGAGCTACAGCAAAAAGTCATTCGGTATACACATTTTGCCAATATGATGCCACAAGGAAAAAAAAAAAAAAATTAAAGTGTCGTGCTTTTCAAAAAAAAAACAATATCATATGTTTTTAAAAAAAGAGTATCGCTATTATACATATAGCATATAAGAAAAAGGACATGTTATTACCATGATGGGTTTTATTTATCTAAAAAACCATTCAGCTTATGAGAATGATATCGATAAAGGTGTAACATGGAAAAAGAATGATCAACAAGGACACAACTACCGCAGCTGTCGATCACAATACAAATGTTGAAGATGCTCCATAACATTGCCTTTAATACGTGCCAGATGTTTACCGGGAGCTTTCAGCAAGTGAATTGAAATCAAATTCAGGATCAAGGATTAAAGGAGAAGAGGGATATTCGTGCTGTTCCAATGGATGCGCAAGCTCGCTGACAAAAGATTACAATGTATTCCAACTTCTCAATACCCTGTACTCTCCTTTTTCATTAGTTTGGATGTTCTTCAGCACTGCAACCGTTCTGAATGCATGCAAATCTGCCGAAAAAGCAGGAGTGGACAACGAAATCATCATTGACATTGCCAAAAATAATAAGAAACAAGGTGCTAATTTGTTAGCCAAGTTTGCGAATGTACCATAGATTTGACTATGATGTGATATACCTCGAATAAATAAAGAAGTAATAGGGTAAATATGTATTGATAAGTCGCCACACATAGCCTCTTTATTATAAATACGAAGAAAGTTCATTATTACAATGTCGTCATTTTATATGGCAACTTGATTTTATTATGATCAATAAGAATCGAGTATGCCGCATTATATGTTATAATATATATTGCTGTCAGCTTATTCACATTGTTCATCCTTAGAGCATAGATTCATAGTAATTTCACCAAATATTTATAGAGCAAATACGACAACGTTCCTCCGTAATTTTAAATCTCCGATCCGTATAGCCATTGAGTGCTGTACAAACTTAAAAGGTGTGAACTTTTTTGAGAAGAAAACGTTGTAAACATGTATCAGTAAAGCTTGCAACCAGATTCTTCAAAGCCATCTTTATGTTTTCATTCCGAGTCATGTTTAAATGGCTGCTTGAATAAAAAGCTCTCTTTTAAGCATAATTACGTGTATTTTTGTTATATGAGATAAGCGATAAGTCCGACCAGAGAGTTTTTAAATGACGACATATTAAAAAGCACAACACTTTAATTTTTTTTTTTTCCTTGCGACATCATATTAGCAAAAGTGTAAGATGATCATTGGTTGTTTTCGGCAAAATAAAGTTACAAAAAAAAAAGGAGAGAAAAAGAAGAAAGGGGCTATAAAGATCATCTATTCATAGCGGGTCGATATCATTTGTAAAGGGAACTAGAACTTTTATTCCTTTTTATAAGGAGAGATGAAAAGAGATGACTTCATCTCTCTCTCTCTCTTTTTCGTTCCTGTCCCTCTTTTTCTTTGTGTGTGTGTCTTTTCTTACCGTTCCTGGACAAAAGTATCTAAAATAAGATCAGGCTACAAAAACTCTATCGGCCATATTCCAATTTAGGAAATATTCAAAGTTTAAGGTTATTGAATATCCGATTAGTTTCATGTTGTCAAAAAAAAAACCATCACTCTCCGATTTTATCAAGATGTTGAATATATTAACTCATAGAGTGTTTATTATTGGCTTTAGCTCATTCATTGATGTAATGGGCCACTGTAAAGAGATGTATATATTATTTGATTTACGAGATCTTGAATCGCAGCAGTAGCAGTGGATAATAAATGTATCTTACAAATTTACCCAATAAGGAATATGACATCATAAAAATGATAAAAAAAAAGTCTATTTATTCCTGCTTACGGTCATTATGCCCCTTCCATGCGAGCCTCATACCACTAAAGGAAGTGTAAGTACACCATATATTATAATGCCTTCAACACTTGCCTATCATTCCAGTAGACAGTTTCCCTTTGCCAATTCTTTTCATCCAACTCTAAGTTAAATCTATCGTAATGTTCTTGTGTCCAAGCATGAGATGATTTTAAGGCATCTATATAGTTATCCCAATGCAAATCTTTGTCTATCTTTTCTGTTGAAATGATGTCATGAAACTTTAATGAGTGGAGTATTGACTTGACAAAATCTGGTGACCCAGCATCTTGATGAAATAAAATCCACATGGTGTTTTTATGATAATTTAAGAGATAATTTTCGTGCTACAGCAAAAAAGTTAGATCTATTTAAAGAAGAAGTGAAGATTACCATCAGCACTTGAACCACGTCTTGTACTTCATGCGATGAACTGTAAGCTTGAGCAGCACTGGATCCCATTTTGATCTTTACAGACACTGAACCTTGCTTGTTGCGTAATGAAGGTTTGATCCATTCACCAAACCCAATTTCTCGGCTCCTTAGTTTTTCATAGGTGGCGACTTTGCCTGTATCAATATATTCTTTGGCTAACAGTGTCAGTTTAGCTTGATTGAGGATTTCAAACTCTGCTGCATGGAGCATCTTGATGGTTGACCAGATATTGATAGGTGATAGTAAAGCAAATGCACCAAACAAAAAGGCAGGCGAGTGTGAAATTGTGATTAATCCGACACCAGAGAGCATACCCAAGAGATGAGCAGTAGACATTTGTGCGTCATCTTTGGCAACAATATCACCAATATTACCATTAGGCTATGATAAAGTTGTCAGCTTATGGTACAAGAGACAATATTCTACTTACAGAGAAATGCTTTGTAAATGTCATATGGCTTGCAATCCAGATGCTTTCATGAATCAATTCAAACATGTTTCCCACAGCCGCAAGTGGTAAGAACAGCTTTGGACTGACCACAGATGTACATAGCTGAAGAAAGGATCCGACTGTAGAAAAGATCTCACAGACCTACCAAAGGCGGTCAATATACAATCCTGATGGAATGCGAAGAGACTTACAAATTTCCATGTTTTTGGGTGTGAATCAAATGAACTTGCGTACTTTTTGATAAAGAACAGTTTACCAATCTCTCCGAAACCATCTTTAAGCACCCTAATTCGATTTACTTTATCTCTTTCATTTATCTTTCATTCAACTGACTTACCACTGAATGGCCACTGCTCCACCTGTAGCTGCTGCAGTACCTAATCCTAAGGATGCCAACATCGCTTGGGAACAAAGCACACCAATCTATTCCTCTTTCCATTAGTCCCGTTCTTGTTCTACAATTCATTCTTTTATTTCTTACAGCTGATCCAACATATGTCTCTAAAAATAGCCAGGCATGGAATTTTTTATAACAACTGTGAACACTGTCAGGGTATCTAGAGCAAAAACTTGAGTAAAAAAAAAAGGAAATAGTCGATCTCTTCTTCTTATTACCCTACAGGTAAGAACATCTCTGTCAAGTTTTGCTTGACAGCGCTGATCACACCTAATCCGCTATTCTTTTGTTTACTGGTTGCATAGTAATTGCCTTCTTTTTCTTCAGACGGATGGATCCACTCCCAAGACAATGGTGAAGATGTTACAGGCGATGCTATTCGACTCTTGGAAGCTGTAGCTGATTTTGTCTTTGCGATGGTTGGTAGACTAGTGTAGATGCGTTTTCGACCATGTACAAGCTCAGTTAGAATAGGCTGACCATGATCTGTTGTGTAAAATCGAATCGGACGAAAGACATGTCGATATGAATGTTTGGGTAGTTGATGAATACACCTGAACATAAGAAATGACCAGATAAAAAAAAAGAAGAGGGGGGGGGGGCTTGAACTTTGATTCGTAGCTGTCACACACACAGACATTATAGAAAGACTATGGTTTTTATTATTATTATTATTATTAGAATTCCATACTATCTTCATCTCGCTTTTCTCTTTTTGTTTGCAACATGATTGATTTAGCATACTTGTCAAAGTACTCAATGTAGGGCGCCAGAGACGTCTTTTTATAATCCGCTACATTTTTATCTGTAGTCGGGTTATTGTTGTATGCATAAATTTCATCATTAAGTGAAGATAATGTAGGCACACTCAGAGGATCAAAGCTCTCGCAGTCTTCTATAGGAATAGGCACACATACTTTCACTACATAGTATAAGTAAATGACTTTACATGTACACCAAATGCTTACATGTCTGGGGATGCACACAGAAAGGACTCTTGAGCAAGTGATTGAGATTGGTAGATACGCCGACATCAAGACGAGGGTAGGTATATTGAAACATTATATCCCGACCTACATTATCTTTAAATCGCTTCTTACTTTCAATCTTTTCAACCATCTCATTCATGTAATCCCATTTCTCCTGTGCTGTTGATCTTTCAGGATGATCCAGCCACATTTTTTCCGTCTTTTCTTTTGCATGTCCATCAGGAATGATATCTAGCACCCTGCGACATCCTTCCTCTGTGTTCAGTATACCCATGCTTTCTAATATGAGATGATCAAAGTGTTGACTGATTATATCAAATGATCGTCTAAAGAAGAGGATATAAATCATCTATTTTGTCGCTTTCCTTTGTTCTTACTTGAGTGATGGATGCAAAGCATTCAGCCTGACCCTTCGTGCTCTTTGCGCAGAATCCTACACCATATGTGAATATGGAAACACTCGATCGTGATACATTACCTTCACGACATTCAAGAAATTAATTACAGCCTTTCGACCTTCATTCGACAGCTTTCTTGCTCTTTCATCCGATACCCAACAATGGACGCCACGTCGGCCTGAGTAGACCCACAGGATGTGTTTGTATCCAAAGTCTTCCTGTAAAGCAGCATGAACTGTCTTGATAGCAACAGTCATGAACTCCCAACATAGATGACATATATCCCCTCCACTATAGAGTGTAAATATCTCTCTTTTTCTTTGGTTATTTAACCACACACCTGCAACATGTTCTTATATCATCATAATCTGTCATATCAATATCAAGCACAAATTCTTTTTCAACAGGTTTGAATGCTTTTTCGGGGACTGTTTTCTTTAAATTAGGCTACAAGCATATATTAGATGATCATCCCCATATATACAAACATATGCATACCTTGATAGAATAAATAGCACCAATATGAATCTTGGTTGGTTGAATTCTTTCAATCTCTTTCTTTAAATCATCAATTCCATTAAAAGACTTGAAACGAATATAAATATCAGAAGGTAGCGTAAAACCGAATTCTCGATGTGTAAAGCTTCTAGTTGGTGCTATCATGCGTATATTAGATCCATACTTAACACTTGTATATGTATATTCTTACTTGTGTCTTGGTTGAGCCAGTAGAAATAAGGCTTGTAAGGAAATAAAGAGTTGTAGAACATACGATATAAAAACACTGTATTTTCTGATTCAGATCTAATATGGTTGATTAATATGCTGCCAATGACTCATTATTGTATATTCTAACCCTATAAAGCTATTATATAGTCCACTGGTTTGAATATTGACCTTGGCAAATTCATCGTCCATTTCTCCCATCAATTCATCGTCTGAAAATAAGTGATCAACTCCATCAAGTTCTAAAGAACAAAAATAATCAACTTCTTTTGTTGCCTTGTCTTTTTCTTTATGTTTTACCATTACTCTCTTTTACTGAAGTCATTATTGTTGTCAAAAAAAAAAAGGGGGACGTGAAGGTGTGTAAAGACGCGAGGCGCGCTCTTTTTTTATTTTTTTTCTCCTTCCTTTTTATATTAACACAGTCACTAATGGATTTTGGATTGGAGAGGACGAGACGATTGTTAGATGCACTTGACAAACCAGATGAACGAATCAAGATTGTTCATGTGGCTGGAACAAATGGTAAAGGCTCTGTCTGTGCTTATGTTGCATCTGTATTACGCACATGTGGATATTCTGTTGGTAGATTCAATTCACCTCATCTCATCGAGCCACGAGACAGCATCAATGTGAACGGACAGGCTATAAGCCAAATAGATTACAATCACGCTGTTGAAGCAATCGATAGACTAGACAAGAACGAAAAGATAGGTGCAACATCCTTTGAAAGGCTTGTAGCCACTGCCTTTTATCTGTTTGATCAACACCATGTCGAGTTTGTCGTGTTGGAAGTGGGGCTCGGTGGACGTTATGATGCGACAAACGCGATTGGTCGACCAACGATGTGTATCATTACTGCCATTGGCATGGATCATGCAAATATATTGGGAAATGCGATTGAAGAAATTGCATATGCAAAGGCAGGCATCATGAAACCGGGTTGTCCAGTGGTCATTGCACCTCAAGATGATTCTGTTGCTCTGGATACCCTCGAGGGCTATGCTCGACAAGTTCAATGTCCGTACAAGCTGGCGATGGCTGCGGAATGGATAGGATCACAGATGTGCTCTCTCTCTGTAGATAAACAAGAGTACACATACACCATTCAACTGAATGGAGACTATCAACGCATGAACTCTGGTACGGCCGTCACCGCACTGGACTGGCTCCATCAGTTAGGTGTCATTCAACTGACAGTAGATCAATTGGCAGCAGGCATGGCCAAGGCTCTATGGCCTGGTAGACTAGATTGGATCACAAGCGCACGGGCACCAAAATTAAAAATGTTTCATCTTGACAACATTCTCGTGGACGGTGCACATAATCCACCCGCAGCCGCTGCCTTGCATCGTCATGTTGAATCACTTCGAAAGAAACGAGTCATTTGGATTATTGGAGCCACAACAGGAAAGAACATCAAAGACATGCTTCATCAACTTGTGAAACCAGAGGATGCCTTACTGGCTGTTCCCTTCAGTCAGCCAGAGGGTATGCCTTGGATACAATCTATTGACCCTTCAGAGATAGCAAATCATGTCAAAGGCGCTTCCAGTTGGTGTTCATTAGAACAGGCTTTAAAAGAGGCAGGTACCTTACGTCAGCCTAAAGATATCGTCGTCCTTTGTGGATCTCTTTATCTTGTTGCCGATTTTTATCGACTTTGTGAGTCAAATTTGATCTGAGCGAATAAAAATGAAGTCTCTGTTTCTGTTTCTGTTTTAAAAGAAAGAGTCCAAATATGGAAATGACTGAAAAAAAAGGGGGGAATAAAAAAAGCTATTTTTTTCCTTGTTTTCCCTTTCTATATTTTTTTTTATATATATGCTTTGTTTTGCTTAAATCAACCACAAGCAACAAGCAACAGCATAGGATTGAAATATACATAAACGTACATCATTAAAGATCTAATGTTATACCATGCTTTTCATAAACTGCCCATTATGCGTCCGTGGATACAATGTACAAAACGAAGCATTGCAGCAGTTTCTCAAGAAAAGACACGCAACAATCTGAATGTGATTGACTTTTTCCACCCTTCTTTATCCTCTGTACTCTATCGATATTCTCTTAGATTAGGCGTCTCCGGTTATCCGAAAAGAGGCAAACCCATCGAAAGTCAAGACGAAGGTGTGTACACAAGTAGTCAAGTGGGCGATGATGCTTATTTTAAGCGACACGATGCTCTTGGTGTCGCAGATGGCGTGGGAGGTTGGAGGACACATGCTGGTAATATATAAAAAAAAATACACAAAGGGAGTAGTTTGTTTACCCTTTCAATGTAGGAGCCAACCCGGCCTTGTACTCTAGAAAATTGATGCACTATGCACAATTAGAGTTGGATCGTATCAAGACGAATGTGAGACCACAACAGTCGCCGGTGAATCCTGATCCGATACAGATATTAGAAAGTGCATATCATCTAACGACAATAGATGCACAAAATGAGGTATTATATTTTATATATTTATATATATTGATATGCAAGCATTAAAGAGTATAAAGGGTATTGTGGGATCAACTACAGCATGTATAGCCGTACTATGTCAGGATGAACTAAGAATAGCCAATATTGGCGATTGCGGAATCTCCGTGATTAGGAAAAACAATTATATTTTTAGGTCTGAAGAACAACAACATTCGTTCAACTTCCCATTTCAACTAGGAACAGCTTCCTTTGATTCTCCATCGGATGCTCAGGTAAGGATGATGATGTTGTTTAATGGGAACTAAGCAATAGAGTATAGCAATTTACAGTCAAGATTGAAGAGAATGATATTATCGTCTTAGGATCAGACGGTTTATTTGATAATTTGTATGACGATGAAATATTGGAAGAAGTTAAAAAATTAATAGATCAGACTGATTTGGATCCAATGACTATACCTCAATTGATATCAGAAGCCCTTGTTCAAAGAGCAAAGATTGTGAGTGAAGATCCAGATAATCCTACTTCACCATTTCAAGTTAAAGCCATGCATGAAGGTTTATATTACCAAGTAAGGGCACTCTACAGTATACAATAGATTATTTATCTTTTTAATATAGGGTGGGAAAGCAGATGATATTAGTGTGATTGTAGCTATTATAAAAAAGGACGATCAATTACCAGAACCTTCACCACCACCATTACCTTGAAATAAGCATTTCATTCATTCATGTAAATAGTAATTCAATCTTTTTTTCCTTTACTGTGTGTGTATTTATTCTCTCCCCTTTTCATATTATAATCCTTGTCGAAACTACTCACAATAAACGTATACTTTATTATTAATAGATATGAGATTCTCCTTACCCTTGTGACTTTTGATCAAAAGTGTAAAGATTGTATTCTTTCTTCTTTTTTTTTTTCTTTTATTTATAAAATCATGTCTTCTCCTTCTGCTTCACAAATATACAAGAAATTAAAAAAGGTCGGAAAGGGTGCTTATGGCTCAGTCTACAAAGGGTACAAAAGTGAAATACAATAGACACCATGACTTATATTCTATTAGGATTAATACACAAACCAATAAAATCATTGCCATCAAAGTACTTAATCTAGATACAGAAGAAGACGATGTGGATGACATTCAACGAGAAATCAGTTTATTGTCACAACTAACACATGCTCGTTCACAAAATGTGACACCTTATTATGGCAGCTTTTTAGTCGGAACAAAGCTTTGGATCATTATGGATTACGCTGCTGGTGGTAGCGTCAGAACGATCGTAAGAGAGAAAGAGTGTTTTAGTCATTACCCTGACACACATACACATATACAAATACATATACATATACACACTTGATATAGATGAAAGCAGGCAACATTGAAGAGAAATATATTGCTGTTATCATCCGAGAATTACTATTGGCACTTTCTTATTTGCATAAAAATCAAATTATACACCGAGATATCAAAGGTAGAAAGAGTTTGTCTGACAACAATATATTCAAGAGGCGTTAATTTGTTTGTATAGCTGCCAATGTCCTCTTGACAGCAGAAGGAAATGTGCAACTATGTGATTTTGGTGTAGCAGCATCCAATTCGTTTAGACAGAGTACATTTGTAGGGACACCGTAAGCGTATATCCTTTATTGAAATAGCTTGTATTCATTGGTTTGTTTTAGTTATTGGATGGCACCAGAAGTGATCAGAGATGGCACTTCTTACAACTACAAGGTATTATAACACTCATTTTATATCTTTACTTACAAGCTAGCGAACAATATAGGCCGATATTTGGTCTTTAGGAATCACAGTGTATGAGATGGCAACGGGTAACCCACCTTTGGCTAATGTGGATCCAATGCGTGCAATATCAATCATTCCAAAGTCAACACCTCCTAGGCTACCAGATACATTTTCACCAGCAATCAAAGAATTTGTTGATTCATGTCTAGCAGAAGACCCTAATGAAGTACACATATCATACACAAAAGGAGAAAAAGAACTAAATGATGTATAAATATATAGAGGCTGAATGCAGATGAATTGTTAAAATCCAAGTTTATAAAGAGTGTGAATAAGGTACCTAGATCTGCATTGAGGGATTTGATTGCTAGATATGAAGTATGGAAGAAGACGAATGATGCAATCAAGAGATGCAGTATTATTTCAAATGATATTAGTGAAAGGTATGGTCATTAAACAGCATAAAAACAGGCATATGCTCAAATAGCTTTCCTTTTTTCTAAAGTGAAGAAGAAGATGCAGAATTTGAGAAAATAGTCGATAATGAATGGGAATTTGATGTAAGCGCATCTTTCCAGCTTTTTTTCATTCACATCTCACGCATATATATATACTAGATGACCAAAGACGTCAACAGCGACAAACCAATATTATCCAGTAGCCCTTCTGCTGCAGAAAAGACACTGGGTCAGACATATACCCGTAACCCAGAGACATTACCACTTGTGCGTATGTTTATGAATCCAGATCAGTCACCCGATCTATTAGCTCCTCCTAATGTCAACTCAGTCACTCCTGACATACGTCTGCCTTCACCCATCTTGAATCCAAAAGCTGAAGAAGAGCAAATCCAGCCACCTCGACCGTCCATACCCAAGATTGATCTTCAGAAACTCGAACCGAATAAGGCGCCTCGTAGTTTACTCGGTTCGCCTATCTCAAAACTAACGCCAATGACACGGTCAGGATCAAGTGAAAATGGCAAGCCGATGATCCGAGCCCGCTCTCACTCGGACCAACGACCTGACCATCAACAGCAGTACGATATACCTCCTGTTCCTCAACTTCGAGGCAATGTCGTACCACTTGCGCGTCGTGTCAGGTCAGCAACCACACTTCGGCCTGTTGAAGATAAATCACCCACTCAAAAGTCACCCAAGCCAACGGACAAAAAAAATAAAAACACGGAATCACACAGAAGGAGCATCAGCGCTGATAATACGGAAAATACCAAAAAGGTAAAAGCATAATCCTTGTCTTTCTATTTCTCTAATATTGTTTAACGACTTTTTTTATACTTTATAGATGGTTCAGGAAGCTTTAAACAGAAATACATCGTTTACATCTGAGGCAGAGATGTATAAACAAAAATTAGAGGGACATTTGTACAATCTAGATGACGCACTTTCGATTCGACCCCTTGTGCTCGACGGTATACAGAGCCAGCAACAGTTTTATGATGCTATATGGTCAACCTTGGGAGACTTGAGCGGTTGGTTAGAATCAATGGAAACAGCTTTAGAACATGTGAATGAAGATTATTTATCATGAATCTCTTTATTTGTTTGTTGTTGTATTTAATATATTTTTTAATCATATCTTGAGCTCACTCTCATGGTGCATTTCGTTGGGTTGCTGTTGCTGTGTGCTATTGGTATGAATGCTTCCAGCACTATCTACCATGGCTCCATATCCATTCATTCTTATCTTAAATCCCGTCGACTCACTACTAGGTGACTTGGGCAGTTGAGGGTAACTAGAGTGTGCGGATAGCAGAGGTGTTACAGGCTCATCTTCTCTGTGCACCTTTGTTCTTTTGCGTTCTAGGCACACATACACAAATATTTAAGGTTAGTAATGTTGAACAAGGATAAGTTGTACATTTTACTGTCAACAAAGATGTCTGTTTCATCTACAATTTCCTATACAAAGAGTCAAAACCAATACAAATCACTTTTTGTTATTATACCTCTCCAATTAAGCTTTCAATGACATCTTCTAGGGTAATCACTCCTAATGGCTTTTTGCCTGGGTATTTTGTAATAAGTGCCATATGGCCTATATGTTTGTAAATAATTTAATACACATCCTTTCTTTATGTCTGCTGCTGTGTTACTTTTCCCCTCTTGAAAGAAATTCAATATATCGAGACAACTCGTATTGGGACTTGTTTCAGGTAATTGACTCAAAGGAAACTTGGATACCGTCAGTTCGTCTGAGCAGTCATAACTGATGAGTCTCTTGACAAGAAGCATACCGACATAATGTTCCTTATCATCTGCTGCTGTAACTGGTATACGCGAATAACCCTGTTTGAGGATCTAGATTGGAGTGAATATAAGACATGAATAGATTTTGTATACACATACTCGGTGTACAAGTGCCTTATCTAACACAGTATCAAGAGATAATGCAACTACATCTTTCAAAGGAGTCATAACATCACAAACACGCTTCTCTTTTAGATCAAGAACTGAAGATATGATGTGAACTTCGTCCCTTGTCAATCCTTCGGTATCATCCGACTGATGCATTGATACTAAACATTTAAGTCCTGTATGTGTATGGTCAATAATAGGACTATGTGATAAAGTAAAATACTTGCCGGCTTTCTTATAAGTGGTGCCTCGTGTTGTGCCCAAGAAATAGTTTAATACAAGCGAAGTAGGATACGCAATTGGGTAGAGTAAATACATGATAACCAAGACAATTCTACAACAGTTTAGATATATTCTATCTTTTCAATTAAACTTACTTGGAACATTTTGCACCAATGGCCAAGCCATATCTCACACAGATGGCTAAATAGATGATATGTTTGTAAGCAGACAAGTCCTATTTAAAATACTCTTGCTCTTACACTGTGGTATCACTCTATTATTTTATAAAATATGGATTAGGAAGGTTCATGATCAAAAATATGCCCCTTACTCTCCAAAGATGACAATTAAAGCTGTTGATATAAGTATAGCCCAAATTCCGCCACCAATGAGCGAATCAAGTACGATCGGCAGCGTTTCGTTCACAATGACGTTTGACAGCAACAATGTTACGAGAACCCAATATTTCCCTTTATCTAGTAATGAGAGTACTTGAAGTGCATGTTTCTTTTCTGATTCTGATCCAGTTTCCACCATGACCTGAAGGTGAGTCTCATCGAGACCCATCAAGCCAAGAGTTAAGCCTATCATATATACGTGTTGGATAATCATGTTGTTTTGAATTAGAACATACCAGCAAAGAATCCACCTGCGAGCACTAAAAGTGAGGTTGCAATAAATCGAATTAAAGTTATTGAAAAGTCATTGTCTTGATATAAGACTATTGGGCTAGCCATGACGTGTTTAAACATAATCATCCATATCAATATTGCATAGTTGATATCTATCATGATCAATTTGAGATTGATGCAGAAAATAAAGATTTAGCTGTGTAAAAAAAAAAAAAGAAAAAAGCATTAATTTCTCTTTCTCTCTTGCTTTGTATTTATGCAATAGCTTTTTTTTTTGTTTCAGATGGCGCCTTTTCCTTTTTTGGTTATGATACGGATTTTCCAACCAAGAAGTTACTCTTCACTTTTTGATAGATGGATAGTGTTTATAATTAAATAGGATCTTTACATGAACAAACCTCTTTGTTTTAATTCTTGTTGAATTGAAAGAGAGATGCTAAATGGTGATAAAATGCACCAAAAGCTGCCACTGATGCGAAAACGTACCTGGACTATTAGTATCTAATAAGCGAGGCAATGAACAAAGAAGGGGAGAATTACTACTATACGCACGCGTAATAGTAAATATTTTTATAAAAAGATAATGTACAGAAATAAGAGATTGAATCTATGAAGCTACATGGTGAAGTCTTTTAACTTCTTCAGGTGAAAACTTTAGCATCATTGTTAATACAGGAATAAGTTGGGCCTAAGAGAAAAAAGTATGATCAGTATTTGTTGCTCCTTTTTTTCCTTTTCTTTTTTTACTCTTGTAGATTTGGATTCTAAAAATTTTATAATAACATTTCTAAGATATTCCATATTGATCGATCCTTCTTCATCTTTTGCAGTAAGCCCACTTAAAGAGGATATGGATGTTCTCGATGAAGAACGAGGGAAGCCTTCAGAGTTATTCAAGTTTGGATTTGGTGATTTGGGAGAATCAAATGTCACTGGCTGTTGAGCCTTTGAAAGTTTTCTAATCTCGTCCTTTAATGTCTAAAAAGATATAAGTCATTAAGTAATAAGCTTCATAGCAAATGATATATACCTTGTTTAGTGTCTTTAGATAACTTTCTCTAGTTTTCAAGTCCTCAATTTCCTTATTTTGTGTACTTTTAATCGTCTCAATCTCTTGCTTCAGTTGACTGATTTGAAGCTTTTTTTTGCGGTTATAAATATTAAAACATATGCAAAAATGCAGTATACACAACTTACATTCAGTTCTTCCTTCTCTTTTGTCTCTTCTGCGCTTGTTTTTAAATCATCTTCCATTTTCTTCAGTTTATTCAATAGCTGCTGTTTATCCGTTTCAAGTGTTTCTATACTTGCTTGCTTTTGTTTACTTTCAGTCTGCAGATGTTCAATCTTTTCTTCTAATGACTTGACTTTATCAGTTAGACTCGATATCGACTCCTTATTTTGTTCATTTGATGCCTGCAACTTGCTATTTTCTTGCTCTTTATTGCTCAATTCCTTTTCTAATCGCCTTTGCTCCATGTTCCAATGTTTTTGACGCTTGTCCATCTCTTGCTTGGATTCTTCAGCTATCAGACGAGACTCTTCTAATGCAGCAATTTTTTCGTTTAATTCTTCAATGATACGTTCACTCTCTTTCAGATGATGCTGCAGATTTTCAGACATACTTTGTGAACTCTCGAATTCAGCCTGTTTAATCTGCAATTCGTCCATGATCTTGTCTTTTGCTTCTACAGCTTCTTTTCTTTCTTTTTGTAAGATACTAATCTCAGATGCATTTGATTGTATCTTGGCATTCAACCGACTTACTTCAGCCTTCAAGTCAGTTTTCACCTTGGATATGGCATCGTGCTCCTGACGTATTTGCTGAAGTTGAGACTTGTACGAGTCGCACTCTTGTTTTATACGATTCAGCTGTTCCTTGGTGTTTTCAACTTCGGTTGACAGATCTGATTTTTCCTTTTCCAACGTGGATACTTGCTTTTTGGCCTTATTAAGCAAATCAGACATCTTTCTAGATTTCTCTTGTTCTTCCTGTAGTGACTCTGCAGACTTACGTGCTGTCGCGAGGTCTTGGTCACGTTCATTCAGCAGATCCTTTGCGACTTTAAGAGCTTCGTTGGTATCTCTTAGCTTATTGTTTAATGTTTTCACTTGAGTCTCAGATGCTGCTAGCTTTCCTGATACTTGTTCGAGCTCTTTTAGTTTGGAAAATGCGTCTTCTAGATTTGCTTCTGCCTCAGAAAGTTGTTTGCTAAGATCATCCTTTTCCTTTTGTAACGCGTCTCTTGCAACAATCATGGTTTGAACTGAGGATTGTGTAGTTGCAAGCTTTTCCTGTAACTCTTGTTGCTTTTCTGAGAGCTGGCGAATAACATCATCCTTTTCTACTTTCTGTGCATCAAGCTCTTTTGTCTTTTCCTGAAGCAAGCGCTGAGTTTCATCTAATGACGTCTTTAAACCTTCAACATCTTTCACAGACTGCTTTATCTGATCCATCTCCTTCTTTAATCTGTCCACTTCTTCCTTTGACTCTGCTATCTTGGACTTTAACTCATTATTTTCTTGCTGAATGCTATCGTATTTTTCTTTCAGATCCTTCCTTTCTTGCTGTATCCTTTCTAATGCATCACTCTTCTCTTTTAATTTATCTGATAACTCTTGCTTATCTTTGTCATTTGATTTTTTCAATTCTGTCACTATTTCTTGAGCTTTCTGTTCACTAGAGCGAGCTTCCTGTAACTCCTTTTGGATAAGAGACAGTTTTTCGTCATTGCCTTGATCCTGGGGCAACTCGGATAATTGGGCTTCCAAGGCTGATTTCTCTTCAGCCAGTTTTTTCTTTTCTTTTTCCAGTTCTTCTTTTTCTTTTAGTGCAACCTTGAGTTTAGCTTCCATTTCGTTCTTTGCCCTATTTGCAGCATTCTTGGACTTTTGCTTTGGGGTTTCTTGTTGCTTCTTTTCTAGGTCCTTTATTTTTGCCTCCAATGTTGCCTTTTCTTGTTTCAATTTGGTTTCTGTACTTCTTGACTCCGCTACCCCCTTGGCTTGTTCCTGAATCTTTTTTTCCAAAGCCTTGTTCTGCTCTGTCTCTATACTCAATTTCTCCTCAAGTGTTGCCTTTTCTTTGCTGAGACTGTCAAGGTTCTGCTGAAGACGGTTCACTGCTTCTTTCAGCTCATTGTCTTGTTTATTCAACTCATTCTGCAACCTAGCATTCTCTTTCTCAAGTTGTTCATGTTTTGTCTCATCTTGGCTTGCCTGTTCCAGCACCTTTATCCTCTCTTCAAGCTCGTTTCGCTCCAGTCTTGCTTCCTCCAGCTGTTTCTCAAGACTTTCCTTAATCTTTTCGTGCTCTGTTCGTTCTCTTGACGATCCTTCGAGTTCCTCTTGAAGCTTTTGCTTGGCTTCATCAGCACTGTTCACGAGTTGGATCAGACTTTTCTTCGTTTCTTCCTTTTCCAGAAGTAATTCCTCTACTTGATTTTTGAGTGTCGCGATGGATTTCTGAGAAACGGTGTCTTGTTGAAGTAGACCATCCCGTTCCTTTTCAAGTGCTTTAATTTTCTTGACCAAGCCTTTTACCACATTACGATCTGTAGGCTTGTCTTCCTCTATCGACTTGGCCATGGCCGTAATTTAAAAGCGCTATATATAAAATAGAGAAAGAGAGAGAGTAAATGAAAAAAGGGCAGGTGTGTGCGCTCTGTGGAGTTCAAATAGTTTGTTTCACATGAAAAACTCGTCCCTTTCCAAAATGAAGGATATGAAAATCAATTGCAACATGAATAGACTATTAACAATGCCTTCGTCATACAAAGGATGACTACAACGAGCCTTGACTTTGATTCAGTGCTTCTAGTCTCAAATGAAAGATAATTTAGTTAAATGATGGCTTTGGTTTGTAGTCAGTTTTGTTGCCACTTTTTGAACGCAATTGTACATTTACCCACTGTTTCTTTTCCACAAGGTGAAATCTTGCTTGCTTAATGAATAAACTGCATTGAGTCTTCATGAAATTGTAAAGAGTACTATGCGAAATGTTCATTAAGACAACAGAAGGATTCCTATAAGTGTAAAAGAAAATGCTTATGGTTCTTTCCAAGGTGAAAACAAATGAACAAATATTTATTTATAGATATAATTTGTTTCATATTCAGTATTGTTGTCTGTAGTTGATTACTAGAAGTATTTACTTTCAAATCGTAAAAAAAGCCAAGTAACAGAGGCATCATACGCTGGACTTGATGGGCTTCCTCTGTTGCTGCAACTTTGTTTTCTCGATTGAAATGGAAAACTCCATTACTGGCATATTGAATTAACCAGAGACGTATGTGCTCATCTATTGGCAAACTAGCTTTTCTCTTCTTGTGTAAGATGTGCTTACTTGTCGCTGGCGTAAACGAAATACAATTTCAGTTTTTGAAAGTGTATTAAGTTAACTACAAACAAGGTAGGTTTTTTAAGAAAAAGGAATGAATACTGTTAAAATAAGACACATGTGGGTTTTATAGGAGAGACTTAATGTCGTCACTGTGTTGATTATGCTAATATCGTAGAGCATATGCTCCTACTGTAAGATTATGAAATCTAACTTAAGTTTTAAAAATTTCTCTTTACTATGGTTAGTAAAGCATGCATTCTCTTTATGTCGTCAAAGAGAATACTTTTCCTTCATCCTTCTTTTTTAAAACAATCTGATATTTCCACTAAAAGGTCTCCAGAATCAGATATTCCTTGAAAACTGATTAAGCTATCAACACTGCATGTCTTTCTATTATCTACTTTTTTTGAGCCTGTGATTGTCAATTGTTCAATCATTGCCCGTAACGGGTCCCCGACAAGAGGGTAAAATAAGGTAGCTTTTGAAGCAATGTGACTAAAGTATGATTAAAAGCAAATTCTTACTATGGCATAGAAGGTAACTTGCTATCCATTCAGAGGCTTTTTGCTTTCACCAACTAACTGATTTTGAAAATCTGCTACGCATTGCATTAAGTTATCTATCCTTTTTTGGATTAAGAGAGGGAGAAAGGGCGCATCTAGTGATTCTTTCCCTTGGCAACGAAAAAATTCATTTATAATACAAAATATACAAGGAAAAAATGTTTTTTTTAATATTCTTCCTTGCAAGAAAGTCTTTTTACTATTATCTTTTTTCTTTTTTATTTAAAAAGCAAGTACTTCATTACAGTCTACTCTATACAACTTTACTCTCTTGTATATTTGTGTGCTCATCTCACTTCATCTCTTTTCATCATCAAATTAAGCCATGGTTACAACATTCCGAGTAAGAAAAATTACAGCCAAGCTCCCATTGCCTATCTTTAGGGAATCCGATCTACCCGATATGGAGAATATACAGAGGCATGCGCCAGAGATAGAAACAGGCGTTGAAAAAGAGGAAGAGACAGAGGTTTGTGCGCAGCAATTAAAGTTTATAATACAATTATACTAATTTTACTGTAGCATCATTTACAAGCCGCTCTATCCGCCCATCAAGTCGCAGTGAGGACGGGTGCTAAAATTGAAAGTCATATTCCTGTCCCTGATGCATCTTTTACGATTGATAAAAATGAATATGAACAATTGTATAACAAAACTCATAAAGAAACAAGTGCACTAATACGCTATTCGTGCACTGTTGAAGATGTTATTGGATGTCCTTACTTTATGGATGAAGAGGACGAAAGGTTCTTGAAAGCATTGAATGTTGATCTATCTGAAGATGACTTTGAGAAAATAATGAATGAATTTGAGCATTTGACAAAGGATAGTCTAATACTAACACCTCAGTCTTTGGTATATTTACTTGTTTAAAATCATAATGATCATAGTTAACCTCTCTCTCTCTCTCACTATATCTCTATCTTTTCTCTCTCTCTCTATATATATGCCATCTTTTTCAAATGATAAGGATCTACCTGATTTTACGCATTTCATGGAATCATCAGTACCTTCTAACTCTCTATTACATGCCTTTACTTGTCTTGAACCGATCTATGATCACTGGAAACAACGTAAACTAGCCGTCAACAAAAATCCTTTGATACCCCAACTAAAGACTGATGATACCATAAAGAACAGTCAATACGACCCCTATGTCTGTTTCCGTCGTCGTGAAATCAAATCAGGGCGAAAGACAAGGTTGACCGATCAGCGATCTTTGGAAAAGTTACGTCGACTTCGACGTGATATGGAGACAGCCAGAACCTTGCTCCAAATGGTTGTGCGAAGGGAAGAAATGAAAAAGGAAGATATGATCGTTGATCACAGCGTGTTTGATAAAAAATGTCAAGTGCTTGAGTATCAAAAACTACTGGGTATACAAGAGGATCTCTCGTCATTGTTGCCCAAAAAGAAAGTTAAACTGTCTTCCACAGAATCCACTCCTAAGTATGACAAACCCATAGAATAAGTGACATGATTAAACCTTTCTCTTTTGTATAGTGCAATTATCAAGATCCCTATTGGTAAGCTCAAGACGGATTATCCAATACAAATTCCTGTAGAAAAGAGTGTAGAACAATTGGCTATTGAATCAGAGCTGAACAAAAGAAAAGCAATTGAGGAACAATTTGATACGGTAACTTTATCTTATACATGAAATTACTTAAAAGCTTGTGACTAATGTCCCTCCTAGATTGATTATGAACCATTTTTACCCGCTCTACAATCACAGTTCTATCAAGCGCTATCAAATCAAAATCCTATTAGATATAGGAAGCGTATTGGCCGAGGTGGACGACTCTTTATTGATCGTGTAGGCTACAGGCATGTCTTCTCTCCAAGCATCTTTGATAAATACAGGTTTGATCAATCTGATGAAGAAGAGGATGATGACCCTATCGAAGTGGATGAAATGGACGACAGGTAAATGATTATAGAAAAAACGGAAAGATTAATAATAACGAAATTAGGTATTTGAGACACAGGGCACAGCTTCTTTCTGATGCGAAACTTGGTTACTTTGCTACAAATCATTTATCAAGACCAGCCACACAGCTTCCAAGCACAGTAGAGGCATCTGCTCAACGACTCTCTCTTGCCACAGGGGCATTTGGATTTAAGAAGCAATCTAAGAAAAGGACATCTGATGAGACCGCTCTGGCTATGGCAAATGATATGATTGCTGCCAATGTAGCCGCTGCTATGAAAGGAGGGTCTCCTGCCGCTCGATTAGACATGAGTCCTCAAAACAATGGAATGGTTCATTGAATAGATAATATAATTATACATATTTCATTTTCTCTATACACTTAGCATATTCATAAAAAAAAATCATTCAAATAAAAAGAACTCTTTATTATGAAATCCTTATCATCGATGGACTTGCAAACACGCCAGACGAAGGTAATTGACCCTTCATTTCAACTACTGCTGCCATCGGCCTATCTACAGCGCTTTGATACTTTATGGAGACCATATTTCCTTGCTGTGTGACAGTGCCGTTGTGAACGCTTGAGATTCTGGTACCTTCGGCTACTTTGAACTGGATCCTGACGATCCTTCCAAGCGGCTGTGACCGACACTGGGATCGACAGCGAGCGTTTATTGTGGCTGTGAATCCACTGTGGGAGTCGGATTGAACAAAAGAAAGTTGAGCAGTGACCTTGCTGCTGTCATATGGCTTGGCAATCGGGACTTGTTCGGTCTGTCCCAAAGACTGAAGAGTATTCTCACGAGGACAGGTTGAGTGGCCCAAGGCACAATAGACGGAGCTACCGTCTGTAGAAGATAAACAGGTAAGGCTGTTGGGACATGGCCGGAGGAGCCATTTGCCATTCACACAGGTTGCGAACGAATGACCAGAACATGCAAAGCCTTTAGTACAAGACTCCCCTTCCTTTACACAATGCTTGGAGGGCGTAGAGGTCGTTGTGGGAGCAGCAGATGCTTTGGATGTGGTACGTGACGCTTTAGTACTGATATGGGATGACTTGGTATGTGTCTTGGTCGAATGAACAGCTGATGTTGTTTGAGATGGTTTACCATTGCCTAAACCATGCACCAATTTGGCAATAGCCGCTTGGTAACTAGGAGACACATCTCTGTTACCATAGCCAGCTGACGCATCTATTATCAGACAAAAAAAAAATGAATATCTGTTTCAGTTGTGTATGTTTCAGGTTTACCCCACAGCATAATTCCACCAAAACTTGAATAGGTTGTATACAGCTTGTTGACAACAGGAGGTAGAGACCGATAAGGTACATACCCACTTCCGGCTGCAGCACTTGATCCTGGTAGGCCCAAGAACACCTTGATATTTTTGTTAGGTGAAGAATGTCTTGCCCAACGATCCCATGTTTGAAAGTTAAAGCTGCTGCTCAGGGTGGAACAATAGTTGTTATAAAACTGAACAAACACAGCATCAAACCCGACTTCCTCTAAGGCAGGGCCCAGCATGGCATCAGGGAAAGGACATTGAGGAGCACCTGTGATGTAATACTTTTTGGATTTGTCCTTATTAAAGTGACTTCGAAGACGTTTTACCAAGGCCTAAGTATCAGAGAGATTAGACAAGAAAAGAGATGAATGCCATCGTTTGCTTACTCCGTAACCGGTAGATCCACCACCTTCGATGTCCAGGTCGAACCCGTCGACCACAGCATCACCAAATGGTCTTGTCTTACTCTTACCACCACCAAACGTGTTCCATAAGGTATCAGCAAAATCACGAGCGTTTTGATCATTAGAGAAACCATAAACACCTGCAGCACCACCCAGTGATAAGAGAACTATCTTGCCTTTGTCTTGACAACTTTTTATATCTGGAACCACGTATATTTTCAGATAAATATATTGATACAATAATGTTTATTTTACCTCTTCCTACTTCGGGGCATTGCAAAAGATTGGTTCCTGAAAAACGGGCACCATCACATGAATTAGCCAAATTAAGTTGGGGAAGATCCTTGTCTTTAAAACTATAAAGGAAAGCAAGTACGACGACATCTGTGTTGCCGTCACAGTAAGAAGCGAGCGATCGCTGACTGTTGGCTGTTCCTCTTGAGTTCTATTTAAGAAACTGAGTTGGTTGTTATTTTCAAATATATCCCATTGATCCGTACCTGACCCCAATAGGTTACAATGGAAGGTGAATCAGGAAAACGAGAGTAAACCTGTGAAGTAAAGAGGGTGAAGATTACGAATAGATAATAATGATGCCAGATCATAAGCCTAGTTGTCCTTTAGAAAGAGAAGAACGCCCTGTAAAAGATTACAATCGAATATTTATACTATTTGGTTAACCTGTTACTAATTATCTTGCAGATACACTTATTATCGGCTTTTTTTAATTACTTTACTTTTACAGAAATCAATTTATACAATGAAGCCATCGAAAACAATACTCACTAAAATACTACTTTACCGCCCAATTATGATCCTTATTATACCTTTTATCTACATTTTGCTATCTTTGCTCAGTTACAAAGGATATAAATTGGTTGTCAGTTTGTAATTAAAGACAGGCTTTATTTCCTCTTGTTACACTTGATATTAAGCTGCCTTAAATGTAGACAATTGAACTTGAACTCAGATATATTTTGCAGAATTCATATCTGAAAACCAAATTGATAAAATTGATCTAATGAAGCGCTCTAATAACAATAATACAGCCTCGAGTGTCCAATATTAGACTAATTCTATTTGCTTCTGTCTTGTTAATTAAGTCAATTAAGTATTTCTCTTTAAATAGGATCTGACATTAAGTTTTTCATAACTGGACCTGTAGCAATTAGCAGATGTATCTTTGTTAGACCAAGCGCTCGTACATTTTATGTTTGTATGAAATGCAAACTCATCAAGGAACATACAATTGCTCAATAGACACACATCATCTTATTCTCACTGTAGGCTCGATCATGTCGTTCCTCGATCTTTTCTGGGCTACTTTTCTCCACAGAATGGTGCTATAACAGTGCTGTAGGCGCCTTTAAGACCATCGAGCTGCTGCATTACATGATCGGTCGCTTCAATGACAGAATTATCAATAAAGATAATCCTTCTTTGACCTGTTATAAAAAATGTTATCGGGTACTCCTCGTATCTTTTAAACCATTTCTGTTCCTGGTCAATGATGTAATGGGCTCATGTCTATTGTTCTCACTGACAACATTTCTTTCAATAAGCGGTGTTTGTTCCCGCAAGCAGAACAACATCGATTCTCAGTGCCCACGATTTTACTTTTTTTTTTCTTAAAAAAAAACTGTATACAGTTTTAACATCAAAGCATAAAGTGGATTAATATGGTCAATGTTAATGGGTTTGCCAGGAACAAACCCACAGGGTCCTAATTCGGTATTGCCTACATCACACAGTGTTACCATTAATTAAGCACAAATGCTTTTTGTACGACCTAGTGTAATGCGTCTGATTAACAATAGATGATTTTACCTTTCTTTTTCTCTTTTCTTCTTTTGTAACATGCTGCTTCAACAGATCCTTGCTCTACTGGCGCTTCCTACTATAATAGCAGTATATGCTAAAAGCCCAGTAGAGGAGCCCAAGCTACTGAGGGTGCCCTTAAAGAGAAGAACTAAGCCTTTACATCAGCTACTTCAAAGGCGTGATGTATTCAGCTCCAAAATATATAATGATCAAGGATCCTTGTACTTGATCCCTATATCTATCGGCACGCCGCCACAGACATTTCACCTTGCACTTGATACCGGAAGGTAGTTGCTATCATTTTTTCTTTTATCTCTTGCTAATTTTATTTTAGTTCTGATTTATGGGTCCCTGGAGCACAATGCCCAAATTCTGTATGCCCATTTTCCAAATTTGATGAAACAAAATCAAATTCTTTTAAACCATCTACAAAGATTTTTGATGTTACCTATGGATCAGGCACAGCAGCAGGCGTCTATGCCTTTGACACCGTTACTATAGCTGGTGCCACTGTACAGCAACAGCAATTTGGATATGTTGTTCAACAAAAGAACATTTTAACACAAATGGCGACACTCACAGGTCAATCATATACACCAAGCAACGACAGTAAAAACGAAATTCAAGTCGATGGTATTTTTGGATTAGGATATCCATTCATTACTGCGGCCTATACCACTGCTCCTTACAACCCATTCTTTTTCAATCTCAAACAGCAACACCAACTTTCTCAAAACATCTTTTCTATTTATCTAAACAGCTCTCAAGCATATGGTTACTCGGGCGAAATCATTTTTGGTGGAATTGATAATTCAAAATATACTGGCAGCATGTACTACCTGCCTGTTGCGCCAACCATGAGAACTTCTCGAGGCGCACAAGCCAAAGCTGACTATGGCTTCTGGCAAGTCTATGGTCAAGGCATTGGTGTCGTCAACAGTAACAACACACTTACTTCTGTAGTCGCATTTCAAGATACAGTACCCTTCATTTTTGATACAGGCACAACAATGTCCTACTTTCCTACAAAGGCCGTTGAGACAATACTTGTGCAATCTATAGGAAAGCCAAATTTGGCTTACGATATGCTCAATAATTATTTTCAAGTAAATTGTTCTGTTGCTAGACAAACCAATGCAATGATTCAGCTTCAAATGTCTCTCACTAATGCAAAAACAGATCAGCCCGTTACCCTCAATGTACCACTAAAGGATCTCATTTTACCGCTGGACTCTAATTACATAAACACAGCCACAGTATGTATGGTTGGAATAATACCAAGCGAAAACAACATCTTCATTGGTCAGTCCATGTTGCGAAGCGCCTATGTTGCTTATGACGTCGATCAGAATCGTCTTGGTGTTGCAGTTGCTGTGGGATCATCAGCGGTCATATCGGGGCCGTCTAATGCTGCTTCCTCTTCCCCCAATACCCCCAATACTGGTGTTGGTGTGTCAGGTACTAACCAAAATCAGGTGCTTCGCAATAGTGGGTTGGCAATTCGACCCAACTTGGCTCAAAGCGTGTATTATATTGTCATTACTATTCTTATTTATTTACATTTATAAATAAATCTCTATTTAATCTCGGTTGATAGTAACAGCAACAATTCATCATTTTACTAAGCAAAAATACGCTGATCAAAACTTACAATGGAATACTTTATTGTTTAGAAAATATAATCCATGTATCAATAGGATAAATAAATAAAATCACAAAGAATCATTTACAGTTTTACTTTGCCAACGTCGATTTTCGCATAGTCATCTAATGTAAAAGGAACATATGTATCTCCCTTAAGCCAGTAAACAGGCTCAGATTCAGGAATTTGTGTAAGATCAATACCTTGGTTACGGAACTGCACCTTTTGTTGTTTAAAGGTACCTGTAAGGTCCATAGCAGGCACAAATCTTATGAAGACTGGAATAGCATACTTTGGTAACTTTTGACGGAGGTACTGATAGAGCTCTTTGAAATCTAACGATACTCCTTCTTTCAATACGAGCGCAGCCATGCCAGCGCGACCATCATGGTTAGGAACCGTGACACCGTATACGTTGGCTTCTGCGATGCCAGGATACACTCCGATTGCTTGAGCAACTTCTGTTGTAGCAACATTTTCAGACTTCCAGCGGAAGGTGTCTCCCACACGGTCACCAAAATAGTAAAAGCCATCTTTATCCATCTTTAGCAAGTCACCGCTACGAAAGTATCTATATCGTTTCTAAAGTGTTAACAAAAGTTCTTATTTAAGATAGTCGTTGTCTTACGCATCCCCTTTCTTAAACACATTTCTTAAAATCTTTTTCTGTGTAGCTCCTTTATTCTTGTAATAGCCACCAAATGTGACATGGCTGCCTTCATCCATACGAACAACTAATTCACCTTGTTCATCATAGTTGCTCTAGAAAAGGAGGAAGGTATAAGCATGTGTTCATTTATTTATGCTTATAAAAAGCTTACCTTTACACAGAACCCATTCTTATCTCTGATAGGTTCTTCCGTAATAGGATCAATCTTAATCAACTGAACTTCTGAACGAATCGTACGGAAGACAATACCTCGAGAACCTACCGCACCAGCTCCAAGTTCTCCGGTATTTACATTAAATAAAGTTGTCGGTGCTTTTTTAAATTAAAAAGGGAGAATCAGCATACATGATTGATAACATAAAATAAACAATTTTTACCTTCAGTAGCGGCATAAAACTCGCAGACTTTGGGGATGTTAAATCTCTCTTGGAACCTTCTCCAGACATCAGGTCTCATACCGTTGCCATAAACCATTTTCACCTTGTGATTCCTTTCTTCGGGATGAGGTGGTTGGCTTAGAAGATATCTACAGAATTCACCAATGTACTATAGTTCCATTAGCGTCACCTGCTCTTATTGGAGAAATGAATACATACTGTGAACACATCGACCTTGTAATCCACACAATCGTTCCAGAACCGTCTTGCAGAAAACTTACGGCCAAGTACAATCGTAGCTCCAGCATATAGGGCTACAGAGGATGCCACAATCACTATGCAAAAAAAAAAAAGAAGTTGTTTTAATAACAGGCATGATATCGGTATCATTTCACATTTACTTCCGGAGCTATGATAAAGTGGTAATACACAGTACACTCTATCGCCCTCTTGAATACCAGTAACATTAGCATACATTACCAGTCCAACTGTAATAAGAAGTAAGTAAGCATTGATCTTATAATGACAGTAATACTTACAGCCAATACGAGAATGTTGACTAATGGCGGCCTATTTATTTTCATTTGTCAATCAATCTGCTTGATCAATGTCATTTTCGTACTTTACCTTTGGCATTCCCGTAGTCCCACTATGGGAAAAATGATTAGTCATGGTTACTATAACAGAAAAAGCTCACTTTCAAATCGTACCTTGTGTAAATCAAATAGGCGGCATCTGATGGCTTTACACCTTTAAGCGGCTCTTCGCTTGTATCTGCATCAGAAAAAGAGGCCAAGACACTTGGCGTGAGAGTAGATGCAAAGGGAAGAGGTGGTAATTCATTTTCTTCCGTGGATTCACCATAAGCAATCAGGTTAACATTAAGCTCACGACAGGCATCCAGTATGGTTGCGACTTGCTTTTCGTACACGGGATCAAAAAGAAGTAATCTCGTACTGGCTATTCTTAAGCAGTGCAATAATGAATCATCCATTAGATTAGTGTTGATTAATGAGGGGATAGCACCAATTTTGCTAATGGCCAAAAGAGAGATATAAAAGGTAGGATGATTCTGGAGCATCATGCACACGATGTCTATTCACCTTTATTAATCATACAAACGCACACATGACAAGGTCATCTTGAGCATTTCCTTACCTCCTTTCTTAGTGCCTTGTGCAATTAACCAATGCGCCTACAGTCTCTTGTTAATACGTGATAAACGCTACAGCACTAGTTACTTACCAATCTATTAGAGGCTATATTCCCCCAATTAAAATAACCAAAATCGTCAGATCGACTGTGTAACAATATTTTTTACTGTTTAGGAAAAATTACCTTTTTCTATATGACGAAAGGTATAGCCTTTTCCTTCAAACATGACAAAGAGCTTGTCCGGATTAGCCTTTGCCTTTTCTTTGAAGCGAAAATAATAATGGGTCTTGTCTTGAAGTTCCCAAAGTCGAATGCTAAAGAGTTATTCATATCAGGATGTTTGTCACACACATCATATAAAAAAAATGAGTAACCTTAAATTCGCTAATAAACCTGCTTTTAGCTGATGAAAGTCTCTGCTAAGAAGATATCGCGAATCCAGATACATGGTGCCAAATAAGCCGCCTAAACCAGCTGCTACTACGGGAATAACGTCTAAATGAAGAAGTGATGAGTAACTGTACTATATTTGGACAAGTATGAACCGTACCAGGACTCATAATGAAAAGCTAGTAAATATATAATAAAGAAAGGGAAAAAGAAGGAGTTTGAGTAGTCTTTTAAGAAAAAAAAAAAGAAAAAAGACAATCACAAGTCAGACTGACATGAATGGTTAATGTTCTGACAAAGGCTTTTCATTACAAATTTGGAAAGTACTATATTTTATTGACATAAAAGCATAGATCTCTTAACATCCTCCTTTTCTTTTAGTGTACGCTTGTGATAATTTTCATTTATCCATGCCTTCATTTGATGCAAAAGCTGTATATGTTGATAGTATCGGCTTGATGTCTTCGGGTAAAGAACGGTTGTCGCTTCTTCAGTCGGGGAATTCTTTAATGATAATTTCGAAAAGTCACTGATAATGAGTTCTCTTAGTCTATCTACGTCCTTCATTTCTTTTGGTTCTATTTTTTCTCCTTCTTTTTCTATGAATACATTGTTATTGATAAGAGACTTTTTATGATCTGCAATTGCACTTGAAAATGTACTGAGCAGAGTAGCCATGTTCTTTTTATCATCAAACGTAGTCTCGGACTTTTTGGGTTTGTATGAATCAGCGGCTGCATCTTTACTACTTTCACTGTCTTGGGGATTGTTTGCTTTTGTAAAATTGGTTGCAGTTCGAAGTTCTGGTTGAAAGTGCTGAGAAGAGACATTGGGGACAGTCGTATAGTGTGGGCGTTGACCTGTAAGTACCATGGGTTTATGCTGATACATGGGAGGACAATTCATGTAATCATTAATATTCTGGCTGGGCACGATAATCGGCTGAGATCTGACGTATATGTCGCTTTCGGAAGAATACATTTGAGATGGTACACTAGGATACTTGGCTTGCTCTTGAAGCGTTGCGTGTTCTACAGAATTAAACGAGGATACTTGCTCAGAGTATGATAAAAGATCATGTTGTTGTTGCTGTTGTTGATTGATAGGAATGCTGTTGGATAACCCAGTTAACCAAGCATTCATATTTTCAAGCTGGTTTTCGTTGCTGATATTGAAATTAAAGTTTGATTGAGTAATTGTACCTGCGTCAATCAAGGTTTGTATTTGGTCAAGTCGATTTGCTATGTCTGTATGTAGATGTGTTAGGTGATGAAGCAGGGATAAATATATATACATATATAAATTTACCTATATTGTATGTTGTTGCTTTTGCTTCCATTTCCATAGGGAAAAACAGGTCTTGTAAAACATAATCTGGAGAAGCATATGCGTTATGATCAACAGTTTGTGGCATAGTAACAGGGTTCTGATAATCATGGTATGGGGTCTTTGTGCTCATAGATAAATTATTGAGATAAGTAGGCATTCCCATATTGGAAGTGATATCTGTGTACATCCAATTCTCGCTTTGTAGGTCTACTGTCATATTAATAAACAAATATGTAGTGAACAAAAGATGGCTCTTACCGTCAGAATAGATACTTTGTGGTGGTGAAATGGGATGTGATGAGTTTCCTTCTGATAGCACAGGCGAAACGTCTCTGCTGGTATGGTTGGGAGGAGTCAGAGGATGAGATCCACGATGATGTGATCGAAGCTGTGAAATATGTTGTTCACTGTGGATTTTTTCATGTTTTTTCAAGTCTTGAGGGCGCTTAAATGATTTAGGACAAAACTATATACGAGTGAGATTATGAATTCATATTATATAAAAAATGGTTTACATGGCATCTGTGTGGCTTTAATGGCACATGCACTCGAAGATGACTTGTGATATGATCTCTTTTTATCACTTTTACATCGCATTTGTCCCAATGGCATGCAAGACACAAATTTCCTGTTGACTTTCTGCCAACATGATCGTTTGTCAAGTGTAAATAAAGCTGTTCAGGGTCGTCAAATATAGAGGTACAGTTTGTCCATTTACAAGCATGATTTTCATTATTTTCCAAGGTTAAAGCTGACTGCATGGTATGAATAAAGAGATGAAAAAAAAAAGAGAGAAATAGAAAGAGAAGAGTTCTTTTAATGTATGAGCAAAACAAAAGGATGCATGATAGTGTTTTTACCGCAAAAGGTAAATTATCTTGGCATTACCAAATATGAGAATGGCCCTTGAATTTGAGACTGAAATACAAAGCCTCTATTTTTGAATGAAAATAAAAACCATTGGTTGTGAATGGGTCTATTTGGTGTAAAGGAATCCAGCTGTCACACGAAAGCCAAGAAAACTCGAATTAGAATATACATCAAAGTGTGAACATCCCTTATTGTTGTAGGCCGCAACGCCAAGCCATGATCATTAAATAGTATGTATCTGTCAAACTTGTTTTGATATCATTTTATTATACATGGAATCAAGTAAAACCTGGTTGCTTTGAAACCGTAACTACGTTCAAACACAGAACATCAAACGATTTGTTTGGAGTAGCTGTTATTTCTCCGAAACACAGTGAAGATCATGGAGTTTAGAGTGATACACCTTACGTGACAGGTTGAACATGACGATCCGGCAGAGAGTATTTCAAACAAAAGAGACATGCTTCTTTTGAACTACAGAGATGTCTTTAGTTAACTCAAAGAGATGTTGTTGATCTTGTTATTCATTAATCTTTATATTTAGCAAAGACTCAGAGCATATCTATGCTCCCTTTTTCGCGTTCATACAGTGTTCAAGGTTAAGTAGTGGCATTTCTAAGACTCTATTCATAATATTTAAAAGAGTATATGCTCTTCTGTAAGAAACACGCCTATGGCTTAATAAGGGTGTAAGGCACCGACAAGCACTAAATAAATCACAATTTATTTTGCTGCTAAATATAGTGCTCCTATCCAATTTACCAGCGACAAGATCAATTCATCATTGATCAACCCATCGTTTACCAGTTGATATTAACCAATGCATAAAGTAGTGCACTTCTCCGGAGCATCATCCAACATGTGGCACCTCTCCGTGTGAATGAATTTAAAAAAGAGCTTTTCATCAGGGGTAACATAATGTTATGCAAAAATGCTTGGCTATTCTTTATTTATTGAGAGATCCGTTATGCCAAGATGAGGCGCAACGACAAATGACGTAGAATCATGTATGTAAAAAAAATGTATAGCTCCTTTTGTTTAAGCAGCAGTCTTTTATTTTTCACTCAAGAGAAAAGGTTTCAAAGTACTTTTATAGAAACAGGAACTTTTGTAGAGTAGTCTATTTATATATACTTAAAGTAGAAATAATGCATGCGGTAACTGACAAGGCAAAAAGGAGAGAAACGCTAAATACGCCAAAAGAACAACGTTTGCTATTAACAAGGAAAGGATAAACTACATATGCTTTATTTGTGATTTATAAATGCTGTACAAAAAGAAATAAAATGACGGGATTGTTGTTTAAAAAGACCATTTATCTCGGATGGCAGAGACCCATTCAGGTGCACCTTCGAATCCATTTTGACCAAATTGATAATCAGCAAAAGCTTGACGGATTTCTTTTTGGGAGTTCATAACAAAAGGACCATATTGTACAACAGGTTCACCAATAGGTTGACCAGCAATGACTACAAAGTGGCAGTCATCAGAAAGAGACTCTACTGGGATATAGGTACCACCATTATTATCAAGAACAAGTGTATGGTGAGCATTTGACTTGTGTTGATCAGCGCCATAGAGAGCAGTGCCAGAGATAGTATAGATAAAGCCAGAATAGTTTTCAGGAATAACTTGTTCCATCTTTTTACCCTTCTTTAATTTCACATCGATAAACATGGTAGGTGTTCTTGTCATGACGGGACTCTTGACACCATATGATTCACCTGCGATCACCTTGATTGTAATACCTTCTTCAGGAGTGACTGAGGTTACCTTCTCGCTTGGATATTCTTGGTAATTGGGTTCAGACATCTTATCTTTACTGGCCAAATTGACCCAAAGTTGAAGGCCATGTGCTCTTTGATTGTTGGCAGGAATCTCGGCATGAACGATACCCTTGGCAGCAGACATCCATTGAAGATCACCAGCTCGTAAATGACCTTTGTGACCCTTAAAGTCTTCGTGAAGGAATTCACCTTCAAGCATATAGGTAACTGTTTCAAAACCACGATGAGGATGATCAGGGAAACCACCGGGAGCACGGACGTCAAATTCGTCAAGCATTAAGAAGGGATCGAGGTTCTTCAAAGCAGGACTACCAATGGATCGATAAACACGAGCACCAACACCATCCATTTGTTCTCTTGAAAGAACTGATTTTGTTATTTTTCTAGCGACCTTGGTAATAGTAGAAGACATTGTATTGTTTGTTTGATTGACAATAAAATGCAAAAACTTAAAAAAATTCCGCTTTTTATATGAACTGGGAAGATTCAATCTCCGTCATGAGTAAAGTAGGTATTACTAAGAATTGACAAATTCAGCCTAAAAACTTTGATTTACAAATAAAATTCTGTAGGCTTACAAAGAGATGACTGACTTTTTGAAATGAACTACAAAATCATTATTACATATTGTCATCCTAAATTAATAAGCTACTAGTTAAGCAATGTCTCCTTTTGATATCAAATATAAAGCATATCAACGACAATGAAGCAAAGCAAGGATTTACAATAATTCTGATCAAGATGATCCTTTAGAAATTGAAAAAACTCAATTTATCCCTACATGACTTATCTATTCAGGCTTAAAAAGGCGATAAACAAGTGCAGCATGGTAGCTCAGTATCAGTACATTCTTGGAAGGTACAATCTACAAGCTGAAGAGCTCAATCGTCGGGTATCCGCACACTAATTCTTCAAGAGCCTTTGATAAAGAAAAATATTGTCGTCTACAGTAACTCCACCATTAAATAGTGAATATCAAGTTTTGCATACGCATATTTCAGGCAATTTGGTTGTTATTCTCATCCATTGCTTCCTGCACACTACATTTACCAGTTCTTTATACAATTTGGTCTGAGTATGTCACACATTGCAGTGAGTACTTCTCGATGGTTGGAGACTATTTACTACTGCTGACAGTAAGTTGTACAACAATTGATCACTGCATTGTAGAGTATAATGACAACGGTTTCAATTAATTCTATATGGGTTTACACCACTGTATGAGAGCGATATGGTTAAGTTGATAATGCTCAAAGATCTAGAGAAATAAAACTGAAATAAAGCGTGGCACGCAGGAACCTTCATCGCCTCATCTTCACTTTCCACTTTGGCAACTATGTATTTAGTTCTTTTTGTTTGCTTTTGTTTAATTCTACGCATATGTAGTCATTATAACAAGTTTATTTGAAAAATGAATGAATAGCTATCTTGTTTGAATATATGTGAGGTAAAATAATAAAAAACTCATACCAATCAAAGAAGTTAATCACTCTCTGGTAAGCTTACGAAGGATTGTCTTTCAAACGCTTTCCCTTGCAAATGATACGAAAGACGGAAAACTTCAGGGCAAATGATGCCATACAGTAACATTTCTTGACTACTGCTTTCTCCTTTGACCTTTTTGGCTGCTTCATCTTCAACTTTCAATTCTTCTATTGTTTTTGCTGCTTCGCCCAGCGAAACTTAAACAACTATTCATATTCAGTATTGTTGTCTGTAGTTGATTACTAAAAGTGTCTACCCTCAAATCATAAAAGAAATCAAGCAACAGAGGAATCATATGCTGAACTTGATGTGTCTCCTCTGTTACTGTGCCTTTATTTTCTCTATTGAAATTAAAAATGCCATTGCCGGCGTACTGTATAGACCAGAGACGGATATGCTCATCTATTGACAGGTTAGCTTTTCTCTTTTTGTGTAAGATGTGATTGCTTACCGCTGGCTTGGACAAAATATAATTTCAGTTTTTGAAATGTCTCAACAGAAGCATACGCAAACTTACCAGCAACGGCTTTGATCATAGTGGCTCAACGCTAATCCAACTACTTGTAACATAAAGAAAATTGATCGTAAAGAAACAGAAGCAGAATACGATGACAGCAATGAAAATCTTATTAATGTCTAAGAAATATTTGATCCCATACGCTCCATTTCTGATCCTGAGCATCTTTTAGCATTAGAACAATTGAACATTACTTAATTTGAGCATATTGAAGTGGATAACGAGAATAATAAGGTGCAGATTGAATTTATATCAACTATTCCTCACTGTTCAATGACAACTTTAATCAGTTTATGTATCAGAGTAATCTTGCTGTGTATTTTGCACGATCGTTTCAAGTTAAAACACACAAACACACACAAACACACGCAAACACAAACATATAAACACACACACACACATATATATATATACCTGACATGTTTTGAATTAAATTAACTATAAGATGATATTAAAGTGCATAAAGAAACTCATCAATCTGAAGGAGTAGTGAATAAGAAATTGAATGATAAGGAAAGAGTAGCAGCTGTACTGGAAATTACCATTGATTGGAAGTTGTCAATCAATGCTTGTCAACTGCAAATCTCCATAGCGTGGAAAATCAAAACCAACTAGATATAATCAATAATAGACGCCTTTGATATTCTTAGGGGCCACCATCTGCTTCACTGGCTTATAGTAAATGAAAACGGTTTTATACCGCCTTATTTTTATATTAATGGAATTGCCTTAACTTTTACAAGATTATACAGTAAAGATAGAAAAATACGCACTACTCAGTGAATAGTCTTGGTTGTCGTATTTACCCTATAAGCACTTGATAGTAAGAGATTTCCCCAAGAGTGAACAATACAAAGAGACTGACAACAAAGTATATTATGCGTTATGATCAATTCTTATTGGTTATAAACTTTCTCTTTCTCTCTTGTTCTTAATAAAGAGATTATATTTCTCTTTAAGGGTATCCTAAAATGTCAGTGATCAGTTCCCTAATTTAGAAATATTTTCCATTCGATAGAACGCATTTTTTTTTTTTAGTTTTGCAATGAAGTATGATGAACAGATAGTGTTTATTTAAAATAGACGAAAGGAAAATGATAAAACAAGTACATGCAATCTAATGTTTAAGCAGCATTCTTGCCCTTGACGTAGGTGGAAAGAATCTTGCCAAAGTTTTCACCTTGGGTTTGTGCAATTTCCTTTTCCTTTTGGGTAACTTGTCTGCTGCCATCACCATTAGCAATAGTACCAGCACCATAGGCAGAACCACCAACGACTTCGGAGTTGTCAAACAAGTGAGGGTTAGCGAAACCAAGAGGGACGTAGATGATACCGTGATGAGCAAAGTAAGTGACAGTGGTGAAAGCAGTGGTTTCTTGACCACCGTGTTGAGAGGCAGTAGAGAAGAAAGTACCAGCAAACTTACCAGCCAAAGCACCAGAGGCCCAGAGACCACCAGTGGCATCGAAGAAGGCCTTGAGTTGAGCAGGCATGGTACCAAAACGAGTAGGAATACCAAACAAGAAACCATCAGCATCCTTTAAGTCGTTGACAGTAATGACGGGAACATCAGGCTTGGGGGGAGCATGCATCTTTGTCAAGATTTCTTCAGTAAGGGTTTCGGGGACTAACAATTACGTCAATTATTATTTTCTTTTATGCATAGATAAGCAAATGTCCTACCTTGGAAAATCTTGGCTTCAACACCAGTAGATTCGAGACCCTTTTGGACTTCTTGGGCAAGAGTATAGATGTGGTGGTAGAGAGAGTAGATGATGATGTAAACCTTGGGAGCCATTTTAATTTGTATTTTTCTTTGATAGAAATAAATTAAAAAAGGGAGATCAAAATGTTGAACCGCGCTTTTATATGAAAAATTCAGCTCTTCTTCTGAATAAACAAGGCATTTTTGATTACTGAAATCTGAGTAATCTGCAGTCACGCTTATAAGGCAACTTTTTTTTAAAGCAGCAAATATTTTCTTGCTTCTTATTGGCTAATGGCTTTTTTTTTTTGTTGAAGGCTAATCATGAAATGAAAAAGTAAAGGTAATGATTAGCTTATTAACAAAGAGAAGAGTCGTTAACGAAGTATATACAGTAGTGCTTAGAGTCTAGTTATTGAGAACAAGCATCGAGTTACACAACAAACTGTAAAACATACGATTTCTAATTCATTTATAATATAAATTGCGGGATTGAACAGAGGTCACTTTATGACTTTGTTTTAAATGATGATGAAAGCAAGGAATCAATTGGTTGAATGTGATTTAATGGTATAATCGTTTACTTTATGAGCCAACCTGAGGACACTAACCTCTCCTTTGGGGATGTCTTTCTGGATATAAATGTCTATTCAATAAAGATCAATTAGTGTATTATCATGAGTTGACTTTATCCTTGTTACTTTTGGTTTGGAGTATGTGCTTGACATATATCCAACACCCTTTAAGAGAGTTAATCCTATTCTTTTTGTTTTAATAATGCACTTACCATGTCTTCAGTTGTATGTCCATACCAGAACTCTAATCCTATATGAACCCTATTTAGTACTAGTCAAATAAAACCAAGCATTAAGCAATACGTTTATCGTTTTCTAATGTCTGCACGCGTAACATGATGATGCCAACCGATTTGGTGTCATAAATATCCAAGAAAGGGGAGTCTAAAAAAATTATAAGAGAGCGTAAATACAATTCCCACTGCTTCAAAGTTACCCAGAAAATCATTTTTCAAACAATCTGACACGGCCTTTTGAATATCATCATCAGTTTGGAGACGTGATGCGCATTTATAAGTAAGCATAGTCCTCATTATTTGCTCTCCCGTTCCTAGATTACAGCTTTAGCTGACTACCAAGCCCCAAAATCCAGAACGCAAACCTGTTGTACTACAAGCAACTCCTGGTATGCCGTTTCTTTCATTTTGTGCCCAACAACCACATCCGTACATAGCAGCCTTTTTTTGCAATTGTTTAGCCCAGGTGCAATGTTGACATGCTTTGATTTTTACCTCTCCCACTCTACCTGGGAATTTTAAAGATATACCACCACTGCTAACACCTGCTGCAATATTCCCAGTTTGATCAATACAAACTGCGCCCACGGTATCATGTCCCAAATCCGGTTGCTTCGTTTGTTCTTGATATTCGATTAATCTGCTCATATGTTCTGCAAAGGTAGCAAGCGAACTTTCTAACATTCAAGGATGTTAGCATAATATTCATGCACATATGCATAGAGCGATCAAAAAATTACGCTCTATCAACTCTTCATTTTCAACAGTAGTATTGTTTCTTGCTTTTGCCCATTCCTTGGCTCCTTGTCCAACCAGTAACCTAAGGTCCATAAATTAATAATATGAAGATGGGTTTCATTGTTCTTTAATCTTACATCGGAGGCACTCTGCCTAAAGGTAAAAGACCATCTTTGCCTTCGAACACTAGCTGTTTTGCTGTCATGATTGGATTCTTGATTCCACTGACAGCCCCGACAGCACCAAACGTGCCTCTGGCTCCTTCCATTATACTAGCATCACACTCAACGGTACCTTTTATAGTTAGATTAGAACCATAGCCTGCATTTGTTATAGGATCATCCTGTGGACTGTGTTATAATCTCTCTCTTTTCTGATCATAACTTTGATGGCTTACTTCTAGAATTTTGATAGCCATTGCCACTGCATCTATAGCCGATCCATTCTCTGATTTTAATATCTCCATACCAGCCTTACATGCTCTAATAAATCCATGAGTGCCTGCAACCTGGTATTTGTTTATATGATGTTACTTTGCACATAAGGCTCTATATGCAGGCTCTTTGGTTTTGGATAAATTTCCTTTTTCAGAATTAATATTATATGAACAGAGACAAACAAAACCATTCCTTCATTCTCTTTTCTTTATTTCCATACCTGCACCAATATGAACTGCAATGAAGACGGAATCTGTCATAATTACAAAATGAATAAAAATAGTTTTTGCAAGAAAGCACTTATTCCCCTAGCCAATAAAAGTAAGCGGAACTTGCAATGTACAAAATAGTCTAGCGATGATCTCGCTTTCCATATAAAGTGGGTTATTTGACAAACAGAATACACACACAGATGTGCCACTATTTTGCGCTGAGGCCTAGTTTTACAAAAGCAGCTGTATTTAACTAAATATAGTGCGACAACAACATATCCTATTAGCATTTATGACGACTATATTGATACGTGTAATTTTATTAGATAAAAGAGAGAATAAACATTGCACGATGATAATACTAAATTAGTTAAAAGTAAATAGTTTCCCAAAAAAATACATTATTTCTAAAGAGTAAAGAAAAAGATTACATACAGAAGCACTTGGATGACTTCTTTTCTTTCTTTGATTTCGTCTTTGAAGCCGATTTGGGTACGTTCTTGTTTTCATTATTATTACTTGTAGTAGGATTCTCATCGACTTGACGTGTTGTTTCACTAACAGGTGCGATGGGTTCATCAGAACTCTTTTGAGGCTTTTCTGTTGTTGGAGCAGCTGTTTCTTCCTTTCCTGCAGATGATGATTGGACAGGTGCTGGATTAGTTGAAGGCTCTGTGGCATTGGCAACTGCAGAATCAGCTATCGACTTTGAGTTCTCCTTCTTTACGATTTCCAAGCCGCGGTGATACGTGTTGAGAAGCTTGGCAAAGAGTTCGCCTTGTGTCTTTGCAATATCCTTTTCCTTATCAGTGGGCAATCTTGAGCCGTCTCCATTGGCTACAAGTAATGGCTATTTAGAACTTTTCTGTTTCTTTTTACGTGTGTGTGTGATTGCTTACCAATTGTACCCGCACCATAAGGTGAACCACCAACGACTTCATCATTGTCAAACATGTGACTGTTAGGATAGCCCAAAGGAATGTAATTTAATCCATGATGTGCAAAGTATGTCAATAAAGTATAAGCCGTGGTTTCCTGTCCTCCGTGCTGAGAAGCAGTCGAGAAGAAAGTTCCCACAAACTTTCCAGAAAGCGCGCCGGTAGCCCAAAGAGCACCGGTTGCATCCAAGAATGACTTCATCTGGGAAGGCAAAGTGCCAAAACGAGTTGGGATACCTGAAAAAGAATGTATACAGATTGAGTATAATTTATTCTAGATCCCCCATCAAAAAAAATTATCCTTACCAAAAAGGAATGCATCAGCTTCGGCAAGCGCGCCTACAGAGATGACAGGAATATCAGGCTTAGGTGGCGCGTTCAGCTTGCTTAAGACTTCATCTGATAAAGTTTCGGGCACCTTCATATAATGAAGGGTGTCATTAATGCAGTAATAGACGCATGCATGTATATCTTACCTGAAATAGCTTGACAGTAATGCCTTCGGATTCTAGTCCTTTTTGAACTTCCTTGGCTAAAGTGTAAATGTGATGATAGACAGAATAAATGATGATATAAACAGTAGGCATGGTTTAGAGTATGAAACAACAAGAATAAGAGGAAAGAAATGGAAACCCTTAAAAAGAAAAAGGTTTTTTAAAGACCGTATTAGAAATCCAAAGAAGATTATTGGCCGGCTTGCATTACTTCATTAATAAATCATTAGTCAACAGTTTGTAAGGGAAAGGAGTAAAAAGCGACAGCAATGAATTATTTCTATAAAAGATATAATTAATAAAGTCCTCATTCCTTATGATCTTCTTTTTGAAGATCGCCCTTTAATATCTTGATTGTTAAAATAAAAAAGCAGTGCCATGATGTGACAATAAAAAAAAGGGTGTTTGTCAGCAATTACAAATTATTAAATGAATCTCCGCAATAAGCCATGTTGATTGATGCTTATTGATAAACAAGTGATAAAAGAAGCTTGTCTTTATATAAAAGTGTATACATAATCAGTCTACAAGGGGGTAGCATTGAGTATTTCTTTTGTTTTGGTGATATATAAAAAGAAGGGTTGATTAGTCATTCTTCTTGATAGATCAATCATTAATCAAAACTCGTATACAGTGATCAGATCACAAAAGCATTTTTCGTCTTAAAAATTAAATTGACAAGCGAATTGTGATAATGATTGGTTCTACTAACAAGCTTATTGTTTACTTATCGTCAGAATGAGGATATTTATTGAGGTACTGCAAGTAGTAAGAATAGTGAGTTTATTGTATTCTTCAGATGCTTTTATTGTTCTTTATCAAAAACTGAAAACGTATATCAATGATTCAATTGAGGCATAAAATATGACACCTTTTTACATTACCTAAAGTATATGTCACATTTTCTACAACAATACATATATGACTGATGAAGGAAGGTTACACATTCTGGAAATAATCAGTCCGTTCATTCAATAACCTCATAATCAGTCTCCTAAAAGTAATACAAAATCAGCTATTAAGAAGCAAAAGTGTGTAAATAAAAGTACATGATATTAACAGACTAAGGGAACGTATAAACGTTAGATAGATCAGATTTACTATAGCAATTTCTTAAAAATAGAGTAACTATGACTAAAAAGAGTGTAAAAGCTACTTACAACATAGGCCATAGTTTAAGAAAGAGAAAAGTGGTCCATAAAAATTAAATTCAACTGGTATCAATAGAACCTGTTTATTCTACACTAACGTTTTAAAAAATAACTTAGGGACAGAAAGTGATAGTATAACCACTGCTGGAGGCACAGGTGTAGGTAGAGGAGGTGTCATCATAAGCATAGCTGTAGACATCAGGACAAGCTTGTTTAACAGAGTTAGCGTATTGGCTAGCCTGGCACTTTTGAGGAGAGTTATAGTCGCCTGTGCAGCAGTATTGAGGAGTGCCATATGCACGGCAAGCAGAGTTACAAGCAATAACGTTACCAGAGCCATCCTTGACTTGGAATTGAGCAGGGCATGAAGGAAGGTTGGCGCAGGTGGGAGTACCACAGTCATATTTGTTAGTATGGGTAGTGCCACCATTAGGAGCAACAGAGATAGGCAAGTTGAAGCCATCGACAAAGGAGACATCATAAAAGTCCTTGCCGCCTGCGCCATTCAAGGTAAACTCAGCAAGAGAAGAAGGAGCGCTTGGTTGACAATCACTTGAGCCGGTGCATCCCTTACGACCCCAGATGCGGCCTCCCCAGTTGGAAGCAACGTCAAAGGTTGTGGATTGACCAGGAGAGAGGACAACAGCCTTGGGGTTACCAACAACGTTTGTAAGTTGGTTTGCTTGAACTGAGTAGCTACACTTGTTCTTGACGATCATAGGGACAGCGCTGCTAGGAACAGCCATAGCACCAAGAACAACAAGGACAATGGAAGAAGTAAGAGTGTTGAAAGCGACCATGATGAGAGAAGAATAGGAGAGATAAACTTGTTAAAAAAGAAGATGAATTAAAACAAAACTTCCAGTATCCAGAGGGTTATATATATATACATGTCTTTCCAAATTGAAGTGCCGAGATGACGATGGATACTGTCCTTTGTGCTCTCCTTCAAGAGGGTCATCATGCGAAATATCGAGATTTCCATGAAAAGTTAATCTCTTTTTCATTTCTTTTTTTTTTTCCTTTGTCCCTTCCCTGCATGATCCAGTACCTGAATGTTACATCCATTAATTTGTGACTTGGAAGGACGGGCAACCTTCCTGATATGGTCTTTATATCTAAGCAAAAGGGAAAGTAAAGGGAAAAAAAGGGAATAAGGGCGCATAGCGCACGACCAAATGTTGTACAATCGGAAAGTATAAGGTTAATTAATCATTACAGATACAGTGTATTAAGTAATGCATTCAGCACCAATCCAGGTTGTTTCTAGACATTACCAGTCGCGGTGTAAGGGTGGTTTAAGAAATTAGTGAACACGGGTAATTTTTGTCATATTGTGACTTTTGGCTACTAGTACATCATTACAATACTATGAGCCTTATAAGCCATAGAATGGTTTAAAAATAACTCAAGTAAGACAGGACTCAGCTGCAACGCATATGGTCAGCAATGACACTGATCTAGTTTATTGTTCTTAGAGTTTTCTATTACACTTTCGAACTTAATCAGCATAATATGTCGTAATGCCACCTGACCAATGATTCAATGGCTGTAACCGATCCTAGTGTTACCGAAGTTAACACATATGAAATATTTGCAGGTTGAACGTCTTATTACGATTGCATCCTACTTTACAAAACTTCAAAGGGAATTTATCTAGAATTTGATGACCAGGCCTTTAATGGTCTGTCCTTGGAATCATCTTTGTGACTCTCATTCAAGTAAATACAAGTCTTTCAGTTGCACCATTTCTTAGCTTGAGCAGCTTTATCAAATTACAGTCTGTAATACTGATTTATCGATTTTCTTTGCAGATTATTCTCACCAATACATCGGTTAAAAGAAACCATGCCAGCTGTATGTATCACCATAGTGCTATTCTGCAACCTCCCATTTACCATCGCCTTTACACCGCGACTGGTAATGTCTAGAAACAACCTGGATTGGTGCTGAATGCATTACTTAATACACTGTATCTGTAATGATTAATTAATCTTATACTTTCCGATTGTACAACATTTGGTCGTGCGCTATGCGCCCTTATTCCCTTTTTTTCCCTTTTACAGTCGGTCTCAGTACACAAGAGACGCCGAAGTTTCTTTCTAGTGGCTCACAGAGCTGTTTATTTAAAGAGTCATTAGCTGAATCTTAGCACAAGCTCAACCATTCTTTGTCAAACCTCACTAGTGGTATATCAGTAGAAACTAAAGCCAGATAAACCAACTTGTTGATATTTAGTATGGCAATGACGCATCTAATGGCTTTTTTTTTCTACAAGCTATGTTGAAATCGGGAACTATGGCAAGTCTGATCGGCAGAAAGGCAAGGACAAAATAAAATTTCAGGCACACATTTATCCGCAATTTTCTACAATGGTTCCAGCCAAGCTAGCGGTATCAGATGAGAATAATTCAGAAACCATAAGCTTTCAATAAAGAAAAGAGGGATATGTCCCGGAGATATCGACGATTTACACTTAGTTTTTGCAAGTGGTGCTTTGTCTTTGAATATATTCAAATAAAACAGGTTTGACAACCATATTTTCTGCTGAGAAAATGCATGTGATTAACCAGCTACTTCTTCAGCTGCTGTAAAGACTTCTCCAGACACTGATGTTTGCAATTTTGGTAAAGCGTACGAAAACAGAAGGAAATACTCATCTCATTCATGGCCCACTTCAGTGTTATTGAAAACCATTAGGTGTCATCAGCCATTTATAAAAATGGCCTCAGGTTTAGCGTCTTCTAACGTGTGTGGTGCCACATTACTGCGCTTAATCTCGCTGATCGTAGTGTCACCTTAATTTTAAAAAGTTGTTGTTCAGTGGTTCTTGTAATAAACATCTATTGCAAAACCCCATTAAAAAGTAACATATCAAATTAAAGGAGAAGAGAAGTGAGCAGACATCTTTGTTTTCAGCTAATTTTTGGCCTATTCAGCTACATATATATGCGTATTTAGGATCTGAGACTCGGAAAAGATTTTTTGTCACAGCTGCTGAATGATGTACACGTTAGGGCATTTTACTCTTGGTGATAAATATAAGTGTTAGCGACTGGAACACTTGACTCATAACGATAAATGAATTTATTTAATAAGATATTACATTTCTTCTAGTATTCTTAACCGTTTGCATAATGTCTTCATCTACCCTAATTTGATATTTTATCCTTATGCTAACCATCACTAGTATTTTCTGAGCTTACCGCAAATGAATTATCATTAGCACTTGCTGTAGAGGTTGCTATATATACTAGATTCATGGTCATTGGCATCGATTGTGGATGCATCAGATCTATTAACACTACCGCTTTGAACACGTAACCATCCATGAGAAAACGACAGCAGATGGTATTTTATGCATGCATGGCAACGTTCCATCAAATTTCATAAAGATTTGCCATATATCAGCTTAGAAAGGTGTGTTTCTGATTCCCTGAATGATAAACTAAAGATAATAGATTGTATAGGAGCAAGTATACACCCAGTCAATTGGAAAGTTTGCTATTTGGAAGGCCAGCGCCAAGGTTACTTTACAAATTATACCAATCTCATCAACCTCAAAAATGCATACCAGCGTTGGAAAACAACAAAAAGCAGCAATATACACAATTATTTTCTAAATGTCTGCGTCAACCATTTTCGCTACCAAGTTTAATGACAAAATTGAGAAATGCTCTGCATAAACTATGGCCTTTGTTTCCGATAACGATAGTAAAAGAACGGATTACTAGACTTATTTTCAAAATAAATACGACAATGAATGTGAGACGGTGAATTAATGCGCTATGGGCGTCTTTAATTTATACAAGTGTTTATATCCTTTACTCTACAGCCATATATGCCTAAATTTCGTACCCTTTTAGTATTTTATACTGAGTTTGAATAAAACACTTGTATATATCTAAACCCTGTTGGAGGGAACCGTGTTCTCGACGGCAATTTCTCTAAGGAAAACCGAGGGTCTTTCTTCGCCTCTCCAAATGGCGCAAGAAATATCAAGCGTGTTTTTACTTGCGTTTACATCTCTGTTCCACAGTATATTACAGATTTTGTAATCTAATACTGTGGGACTTTTTACCAATCGAGAGCTTCTTTTGTTCCAGCCCCTTCTGCTTACAACTGTTGCATATTTAAATAGTTGATAGAACAAAACTGCCATTAAATAACATTGGCTTTATCACTCTGATTTCATTAGAATACCTTCGACGTTCGAAATTCATTTATGCCAACCAGGACATTCTTGAACTGCCTTGATCTCTGAAGGAGCCCCTTCTGCAGAATCCCCGTGGCGTCACTAACATGACCCCTGATAGCAACAGTGTCTTTGTTTTTCATGTCATTTCCAAAAACCACCAGAGGAATTGAATCAGAATATTGGAACTTGCTTTTCCGAGCTACTCTTTCCTTTTCTTCAGCAGATGGCCTAATTATTTCACTGTCAATAGCCTTTAAACATTAAACACTATTGCCATAATTACATTTGACTATTTTCTTGCTTCTTCTTTCTTTCCTTTTTGCGCTGCTTTCGATTCTGCTTTGTTTTTTTCCGCTTTGTCTTGTTGTATTTTTTCCTCCGTTAATCAGCATGTTGGCCATTTCTGCATTTGGCCTTTGCCTGCCTTGGTAATCGTAGAAACGAAATGGTGCAGATCTTTCATCGTAAAAACAGAATAAACGAGGTATACACCATTTCCAGAAAGATATGTGCGCTGACTTGACGTTTTTTCGTATATATTGAATTATAAGAACTGCAAAAATGCGACTTTACTTTCTAAAAAGATTGTATTGATTAGAGCATATGTGACATATGCATTTGTCTTCTTCACATCGACTGTTTTTGCCGAAGGGAAGCCTGTCTCTATTGTTTTTATGTCAGCCCTTAGTTTGAACTTCTCTATTTGGCATGCTCTTCTTTTTGCACCATTGTAGCATTGCCTCTCTTGAAAATACGAAGCATGCATCAAAGCCATCTGTTTGAATAAAGTGGATAAATTTATTTTGACTCTCAAGAACTTTGCCCAGGCTGTCGTAGCCAAACTTCTTGAAGTTAAAAATCGAATAAAACAAGTTTACGCTGCCTTCATAAGTGCCATCGCTCTTGTGTTTTGTAATTGCTTGCAACGCCTTTGCATTTATAGAAATATATCGCCAATGCATAGACGGCGTGGACATTAACGAAAAGCGTCTAGGCATTTTTGCTTTATCGTCTTTGCTCTCGTTACAAAGTTCTTCAAGTTCAGATATTATAACAGCCAAACCAGGCACGAATTTTGCTGGAGAAGCGGCAAGGTACTTGACAGTAGGCGGTATGGAAAGCTTAGCTTGTAAACCATTGCATATATGAAGTATCTGTGCTATATTTTGGATTGAAACAAGATCAAAGTACTGGATAGGTCACTTGGATTCTCCATTTATTAAAATTTGCCAACAAAAGTCGTCAGCCAACTTGTACAGAAGTCCTTTGGGCTTATCCTAACTATATACATAATGAACATCGATGTCGCATCTAAGTATATAAATATATAACTAAAAACTTACCTGATAAATGATAGCAAGTCTGACAGTCAAGTAATATAAAACTCTTCTTTGAGAGTTTTCTACAATGTGGTTCAAATAAGCAGTAGCAAGAACAACATAAGCAGCAAACAAAGCATCACTGTAGCCCTTTATAGGATTGTCTTTAAGAGAAAAGACGATAGACGGGTGCTCTGCTTTAAAATCCTCGAAACCAAGCGCGACATTGTTGGAAATGTAGGCCTTGTTTGTAATCTTTTGGCCCATAATGAGCTGTGTGATAGCATACCAAAAGCTCTGTTGGGTTATAACGACCAAATCAGTTGAATCTTTGTTATTAACAATATATGCATTGACAAACAGTTACGCCCGAAAAAGGACATTTCTAATGAATGCGCTTAATTTGATGATTTTCTCCGTAAATGATTCCTTGTATTCTGGTCTTATAACAGCTTCAAGGTAGACTTTGCGTGTAAAGCGCTCATAATTGCTTTCAAGTTCATTTTTCAGCCATTCATCTAGTGTTGCCTTGTAATTACTACATTCTTTGGACCTTGCACTTTTATGGTCCGTTTGGCCGTATGATTTGCATATTTAGGCCCGATCATTACTTTTACTGTTACTGGCCTCTTCAAGACGCTGTTTTTCTCCTTTCCTTTCTCTATCTTTGTTCCGACATCATATTTTGAGCCAATCTTTCTTTTCTCTGTCATTTTGAATAACGTTATATTGAAATATTTTGAAATGCGTGTATGTATGTATATAGCTACTGCTTACGTAGAGCGAGCATTTATAGCTGCCTTTGCTCTTATGTCCAGGCAGGCCACAATCTTCACAATTTTCAATATCTGCTATCAGGTTAAAAATAAAGGTGTTATGTGAGACAAAGTATATATTATACATAGAATAAAAACAAGCTATTCTCTACTTCCAGTCGTTTTAATCTGTATGTCTCTTTGAGATGATATGTCACTGTTAGAGAAGGCATAGCGTATACACAAGACGATAAGTCAAACAAAAGAAAAAGAAGAGAAAAAGTTAAAGAAAGGGAAATACATTCAATGACTTATATGATATACCCAAATGACGACTATGTTTGGCAACTATTGTTAAATGAGAACACAATCAATCATTTATTTCCGAAAACACTCTAGAACGCATGTTGTCAAAAGCGTATTCACTCGAGAGAATCAATTTATTATTACAACTCAATTAAACTAGAAAACATACTCACTTCATTAAACAGATCGCTTGTATGTGTCTTTGTCCTTTTTTTAAAATAACGTTTACAAGCACGAGGGACAAACCAAAAAGATTTGTCTTTGCTACAAGTGCCAATTTATCAGCTCAGGTACTAAGGATTTGTTCGCAATTATCAGCACCATGTAGGGTATACTTTTTTTTTTTTTGCCGCTTGGAGTGATTGCAAAAGCCATACGGATCACTAGCTAGTATATTGGAAGACTTTCAAAACTCTTTGTAGTTGTATTTTTTTTTTATAAGGGAGCACTGGTGAGCCAGTAGTCCGGATTTTATTTAAAGTCAACTTGACCAATACAATTTATAAAGGAAGTGAGACTGATGCTAAAATGAAGATTTTTTTTTGAAATATGCAAATGGTGAGTAGTGTTTAGTGAGAATTAAAGTTCCTTAATCAAAAGTGTAGCTGTTTTCATGGCGTAAGCGGAATACCATTTGTTCAAGAGAAGCGGGCATCGTTTGACAAGTGAAATGTGTATCGTAAAATACCTTTTGCCAATGTGATTGCCATATGACTTGAAGAGTGCAGCCGAACAGCGATAAAAGCGAGATACTTGAGACAATTGAGCTGAGAGTATCGGGTGTAGTGTTTATATGAGATACTGCAATGGTTAGCATTGACTGTTCAATTTGAGTAAGCGAGCAGGATAACTCAGGAAAAAACTTATGGAGAGCCATTGTCCACAGCGCGGCTTTGTGATAACAACTGAAGAAAAAATGAGACGCAGTTTCATCAGCGGAACCACAGAATGAACACGACGTGGAAGGGCGTTGATTCGGAATAAGGACATGTAGGCGTTGTTTACAAGGGGTTGTTCGATGTAGCAAACGATACCACGTATTTCGTGCTGTTGGAGGGAGCGGTAGTCACCAAAAAGATGTCCACGACGCAGAAGACACGGCAGGTTCGTATTGTTTCTGCTTCAAGCTTCTTTGCGACAGCAAATGCTTACGGTAAGACTGATAACGGACAGGAGGACCAAAATCGTTCACTCTAGAAACACTAGCCGACTAAAGGGTGTCAAATCTAATGTAGGGTATATTTGTGGATTATAGTGAGTAAAGCTGAGAAAACTCAGTCAACCAATCGCAAGATCAAGCTGCGAATGATTTGGTGTATGCAGCGCCAATTTATTTTAGCAATAGTGTAACAACAAGCAGCCAACCACTACTGTGGTTTTTGATTTTGATCTCATAAAGATGCAGACCAGACAAACCAATCAGAAAGCCATATTCAAATATGTCAGAGTTGATACACCAGTACTGCTATTTAGATTTGACACTTGCTTTAAGTTTTATAAAGCGTCTTTTTCCCTCTTCTTTTTTTTTTCCCCTCCCCACTCTTAATAAACAAATGGCTTCAAAAATTCTTTCAAGAACAGCCCCTTTAAGTCAACGTGCATTGTAAGTATTCCTTGTTTAATAAGTGTCAACGCGCTAAAGCTAGACTAGACGTAACGTTGTAACAAAGACCATGCCAGTTGGCCTTCGACACTATGCTTCTGATAACAAAAAGTTAAACAAATACAGTTCTATTATTACACAACCCAAGAGTCAAGGAGCTTCACAAGCTATGTGTAAGTTTATCATAACATAAGGATAACTCGTTTTGACATTTTTAATAGTATATGCTACTGGGTTGACTGAAGAGGATATGAACAAGGCACAAGTTGGTATCTCTAGTGTGTAAGTATTGTAATATACAAGTGTTATGTGAGGCTAATGCATTCATCAAAGCTGGTATGAAGGAAATCCCTGCAATATGCATCTTTTGGATTTAGCTACTGAGGTTAAGAAAGGTGTCCAAGAGGCTGGTCTTATTGGTTATCGTTTTAATACAATTGGTGTAAGCGATGGCATTTCAATGGGTACTCGTGGTATGAGCTACTCTCTTCAATCTAGAGATTTGATTGCGGACAGTATAGAAACCGTAAGTAGAGCTGAAGAAATTCCTTATGAGTCACTGACAGCTAGTTTCTGTATAGGTCATGGGCGGTCAGTGGTATGATGCCAATATTTCTATTCCTGGCTGTGATAAGAATATGCCTGGTGTTTTGATGGCTATGGGTCGCGTTAACCGACCTTCATTGATGGTATACGGTGGTACCATTAAGCCTGGTCAAGGATGTGGAGGAGAAAAGCTTGATCTTGTGTCAGCTTTCCAAGCATATGGTGAATACGTAGCTGGTTCTATTGATGAAAACAAGCGTTTTGATATCATCCGTCATGCCTGTCCTGGTCCTGGTGCTTGTGGTGGAAGTAAGTACAAGGATGAGATTCGAGATATAAGAAGTATTTATATATGCATTCATAGTGTACACTGCCAACACCATGGCTTCTGCAGCTGAAGCTATGGGTATGACTTTACCCTATTCTTCTTCTACACCCGCATCTTATCCAGAAAAGCTTGAAGAATGCCGTAATGCTGGTAAAGCCATTCTCAATCTTTTGGAAAAGGACATCAAGCCTCGCGATATCATGACTCGTGCTGCCTTTGAAAATGCTATGGTGCTCACAATGGCTCTTGGCGGCTCCACTAACGTTGTGCTTCACTTGATTGCTATTGCTAAGAGTGTTGGTGTCAAATTAACCTTGGATGACTTCCAAGCTGCAAGCGATAAAACTCCTTTGTTAGCTGATTTGAAACCAAGTGGCAAGTATGTCATGGAAGATATTCACGGTATTGGTGGTATCCCTGCTATTCTTAAATACCTTATGCAAGAGAAATTGATCGATGGTGGCGTCTTGACAGTGACTGGTAAAACACTAGAAGAAAACCTTCATTCACTCCCTGGTCTTCCTCACGGCCAAGACATCATTCGCCCCCTTTCAAACCCTATCAAATCTAGCGGTCACTTGCAAATATTGCGCGGTAACTTAGCACCTGAAGGATCTGTTGCCAAGATCACAGGTAAAGAAGGCCTCCAATTCACCGGTAAGGCTCGTGTCTTTGATGGTGAGGAAGGCTTTATTACTGCCCTTGAAAATAATGAACTGAAGAAAGGAGAAAAGACTGTGGTTGTCATCAAAAATGAAGGACCCAAGGGAGGTCCCGGTATGCGTGAAATGTTGAAGCCATCTTCAGCCATTATGGGTGCGGGCCTCGGTAAAGATGTTGCTCTCTTAACAGACGGTCGATTCTCTGGTGGCTCACACGGTTTCATCATTGGCCACGTCTGTCCCGAAGCACATGTAGGTGGACCTATCGGCTTGATCAAGGATGGTGACGTGATCACTATTGATGTAGAGTCTCGCGAAATGAATGTGGATCTGTCTGACGCTGAGCTTGCCGAACGTAAAAAGAATTTCGTCCCTCCTCCACCAAAATACACAAGAGGTACCTTGGCTCGTTATATTCTGACTGTCAAGAGTGCAAGCGAAGGCGCAGTGACTGACGAAGCATAGATATCTTTCCCCTTTTGTACCATATATAAATAAATAAAAAGCACGTGCTCAGTTCCTATAAATGACGTCAATAGGGGTTTCGTTTTTCTCTTTTTCTTTCCTTCTTTTATCGCATAATGAGTGATGACTTTGAAAACATCGTTCAGTGGGATGTACACACAGACACAATAACACCGCAATTAGAAGTTAAAGATCCTCTATCCCAGTTTAGTGAAGAGACGGTAAAGTAGATTAATATACAAAGTTTATCTGTGCTTAATTATCATTACAGCTATTGCCTCCTTCTTCACCTCACAACGATACTAGTAATATTAATGTCACCTTGACTGAGTCACCTACTTCGCCTCACTTTCCCAAGTCACCTTTGACGAGTCATTCTAAGGCGCAGTTACCTAACAACAATCAGAATGGACACACATTTATGCATAATCAAAGTGATAATATGCCCGAACTTTCCACCATGACTATAATTATTGACGACCCAAAAAAGCACCAAGATCCTACAGCAGGAACCTATGTTACATATCTTATTACCACTACAGTAAAGCTGAAATTGTTCGTAATATAGATGATGTCAACTGAAAATATATGTGGTAGACTACCTTAGAAACCTTCAGGAATAGTGGCCAACCTTGTTCAGTAAGACGTAGGTTTCAAGATTTCGTATGGTTGCATAATACCTTGACTATGGAATACCCGGCTTGCATTGTGCCGCCCCTTCCAGACAAGCATCGACTGGGTAACAAAGTAGATAACTCCTTTATTATTATTATTATTCATAGCGGGTCAACTAGAATACATTAAGGGAGATAGATTTAGCTTTGAGTTTATAACAAAACGAAAATTGAGGTTGGTTAAATGATGTGCCTTTTTTGCAGTATAACTTATATTTGTTAGTTTGCAATGGTTTATGAACAGAATATCAAGGCATCCTATACTTCAGTGTTCTCAGAGTACAAGGCTATTTCTCGAATCCAATGATTTTGTAAGTTTATCGCATATAAAATAAGTTATTGGCTTAGTAAATAACCTTGTGAAATAGAGAAATGATAAACGAGCTCAATCGACATATGTTCCTCCGACTACTTCGTTAATTAATTCTATAGGCGATACTTTAGTTAATGCATTTGTTAAACTAAAGAAACCAGACGAAAAGTTTGAAGAGATGAAAGACATTGTAAATAGATTGGAAGACAACCTGAATACTATTGAAAGGCTTTATTTGAGAATCAATAAGAGACAACGAGGCAAGTGAATATATATATATATATATATATTTGTGTGTGAGGAAAGAAGCTAATGTCTATACAGACTTACAAAGAGATTATACAAATTTTGCCAATAGTGTGCAAGGGTTATCAGCATTAGAGACGAATATAAGAAATTCACTGCACCAATTTGCAGAAACTTGCAAAGCGTATTCAAAAGTGATGAAGGAAATGTCAGAAAAGGAAGAGCTCTTGTTCTTGAATGAAATACATGAGCTTATTGCTTATTGTCATGCAGCAAAAGTAAGGGATGCAGTGCTTTGCATTTATACTAGATACTTATATCGTATATAAGGATGTTTTAAAAGCAAGAGATCAAAAGCAGCTCGATTTTGAAGAGTTATCACGATATTTGGATCAGGCGGTTCTAGAGAAGGAAAGGACGCTACATCCTAGGTTCAGTGATCGCGGAAATATTACAGAATATGTAGCAGACAAGATAAATGAAGTGAGAGGAATTAGCATGCAACAAGCAAAACGAGAAAAGCTTGCAAGACTAGAAAGAAAGATAGACGAGGTTTTTTTTTAATTAGCCTTTTTGTTGAAATTGCCTTGCTGATATCTTTATCATTAGCTTCAAAATGAAGTATTAAGGACTAGTGATGAATCAGCAGAGTTCTCAAGCCAGGTTGTAGAAGAATTTAGCTTATTTCAAAAGACAAAGCTACTTGAATTGAAGCAAGGTTTATTAGCTTATGCAGATTGTCATATTGATTTTTTCCAAAAGGTAAAAAAAAAAACATAATCATATTTATATACGAGCAAAGCTTTATTAAGCATGGACAAAATAGGGAATGGATATCTGGGAGAGGATATTACCTGTCCTAGAGAGTATAGATAGTGAAAAAGGAGACGGCGAGGTCACTATGTAAAATACCCCTTTAGTACCTAATAAATCACTGTAAATACTATTTGATTGGACGGCACTTAGTACGTCATGGCGTGGTCCATATAAACCATTCGTTGTCCGCAACTGTTTTCTCTTCTCCAAAGATCAGCTATAACTTGCTGGAAAGCTACTTTCTTGGATTTATCTTATTGCGTGTTTGTGTGTGTTATCGTGTATCTTTCGCGCTTGTGCATGTATGTTTGCCTTATAAATCAGCCTCGATAAAGCAAACAATTGAATAATGTCACTTGGACCTCATCGCACACCGTATGGTTTCTCAGCAATGTCATCAACGTCCAACTCCTTACCTCGTCAGCACGTGATGAATGCACCTACCTTTCAGCAAGTAATGACAATTGTGCCCGCACCTAATCCTCCTACTTTACCAACACATCATAATAGCAATAACAGCAATAATAATAATAATAATAATAATAATAGTAACAACAACAATAACAATGGTACTGCTAATAACAATGCATCAATCACACGGCATGCCACAGCAGGTACGACGCCACAAAATCTATATTGTGACAATTGCCAAACGTTTAGACATGTCGCATTCTTTCAAGAAAAAGAATACAAGTATAAAGTGTGTAAGATGTGCAGTGAGAGGGAACTGCAAAAAAGATTATACAACAAGGAAAGATACGAACAATATGAAGAACAACAAAAAAACTTGAAGCATAACCGATATTCCATACATCAGCATCAGCAGCGCCAGCAGCAGACATACAGCGTTCAAACAGCGACTTCAGTCTATGCGCAACAAGCTCAAATATCTCCACACTATGCAAATAATAATAATACAGCTGCTAATCCAACTCCAGCGCCTTCAACCTCTTCACAAATACCCATACAGTTACCCCAAATGCCTATTGGCTTAGGAGGAGGTAATGGGTCAGCTAATCTACCTCCACCACCCAATCTCGCAACACCAACCAACAGCAACAACGCATCACCACAGATAAGCACACCTTCTTCATCCATGATGCTTGGTATTAATATGAAGGGCAATAGCAGTAGCAATAAGCAGCATGCATTCCCAACAGTAGCAATATTGCCTAATTCTAACAACACTAGTACTACTAATAATAATAACAGCAGTAATAATGGTCGTCATGATCAGCAACAACTCCATATGCATCAAGTCATTCAACCTTCACTACCTTTACCAAATCCATCCATAGCAACACAGAGAAATAGGACAAGCAACAGAGCAGCGAGCAATGCGAGTATAGCAACTAATGTGAATTTGATCTCATTAGATGAATTTGTTGAGGAGTTAAAAAGACACATAGACTTTGACAGAAAGCTGTATCATATTGATATTCAATCCCTTATTGAATCAATGGGACCATCTGCAGGATTCACACAGCTGGGAAGAAAGATTTGTGAGAAAGTGCTAGAAGGAACAAAGTTTAACTTTAGGTATACATATATAGATAACTAACAAGAGCAATGGTGCTAATCATCAAACACGCAATAGTTTAAAAGATAGACGTCGATCTACAAAGAGTCCTGATACATTATCCACATTAAGATATTACTGTTCACAAAGAATTGACACAGCCAAGCCGAGGAAAGCAGAGCATCCAAAAGCACAGCTTAAATATGATTGCGCTGGCGCATTAACCATTATTATCGATCTATTGAAAAAGTCTGCGCATGTTACAGTGATACATAAGCACGCCCATCCTCCGTTTGTCTCTCATCATCATCAAATCAAGCATCAGCAACAACAAAAAAGACAAACTCAACCGCTGCAACAACAACAACAACAAAAGCATCAGCAACAAGAAGATGATCAACAGCAAAGGCTACTAAAGTTGACTAAACAAAAGCAGCATCAAATAAGTAAGCAGTTTGAGCAGTTGAAGCAAACAGTAAATGAGATTGGACTATTACTAGATTCACAAACACCTTATGCGAACGAAGGTTTTCTAAAGGTGGCAACTGAAGCTCTGACAGAAGCGAGCGAGATGGTGAGAGCCTGTAAAGCTGTCGAAGAAAATTCAGACGTTATTTATCCACCTAATAAATATACCCTGCATTACAAAAAGAGAGGTGATTATGGTAATCTCTTTTAATATGACATTAGTAAATAAAAGATGGTTTTATTCATGTGATATATGGTATAATCATGATGACAATGATGATGTTTTAGCTTATTTTGAAGCTGTGTTTGTGTTATTAGGCAAAGAAGACGAAATGGACTTCATATCAAATGTATCGTAATCTTCATCACTTCCTTCGTCTTGTTCGTCTTCATCATCATATTCGCTTTCTAAAAATATGTCATCATAAGGTTCATCTTCATATTTCCATTGTCTGTTAGGCATTGGCTGATGATATTCATTGTCTTCAGGATGGTCATCATCTGCATAAACATAGACCTCACAGTTATTTGCTTCATCATCGTCATCATCATGGCGGTTTAACTGGTTTAAATCCCTATATTGCTTGTTTCTGTCGGGCAATGCTGGTGCTGTGTTTGATGTTTGCTGTTCTTTAGGCTGGCTTAAATCAGCACATGGACTCATCAAGGGTCTCAGATAATTGATATATGACTCTCTGACGGTTGGGTGAGGGCATTGTATTAGTATCTATTTATAGCGATTTCACTTAGTCTGTCATTCCACATCTGCGTGATGGTTTCAAAGGCTTACCTTGGAGATTTTATCAAATCCCGACAGCATCAATTCCAGTCTTATCTTTTCCTGCTCGCGTTCGTCATAGCAACCAACATAGCTTGTTGGTGGCGTAGTGACTACAGTACGGATGAGGCGTAGATGTGTAACCTGTGAAACATGTTTTATAAGAATGTATTCCTGAAACTAAAGCGAGAGTTAACTTACAATGTAGTCCACAACGCCTTCCTCCGTCATGACTGTACCAGAACTGTCTTCTTCGTTTTGACTATTTGCTCCTTCGGACGAGTATGTATCATTTACACCTTGCTTTGCCTTGATTTGTCGGTAAGCACTCTTAAAGTCATAGTTGAGCACTTGGGCCAAAAACGTGATTGTCTCAATATGTCGCTCAACTGTGTACTGTAGTTCTCTCATCCAGGCGGTGTACCTTGGCTTTAATTCGTCACGATCCCACTCGTATTCTCTACCAATAATCTGACCATTCGGATCATTTTCCATAATCATCTGCAGAATTTCCTGTGGGTCGGTCTTGAGAGTCATGGGGAATGGAGCACTGTGTTTCTGTTGACTCTTCTTTTCTTCGTCATCCACTAATCGATCTGTGGGTCTATCAAGCAATAAGCGACGGAGGACATCATAACCATGGACGTACTCGACGTTTGGTGAGCAGTTAGTCTGGAGTGTAGCTAATGTGCATAGCAGATTCAACAGCAGACTGCGGGTACTAATTTCAAGCCCATAGACTTGTTTTTGTTTCTTACTGGCGGGTCCAAAGAGGATGTCACGAACATGCAAAAGGGCTACCGGGTTCAAAAGGACGATCTGTGTGCCCATCGGTTGATGCGTCATGATTGTCTTTAGACATTTACCGAGATGCTGCAAAATCCTATTATCGTTCGGATGTCGCTTGGGTGCCTCTTTCATCTGCTTGAATAGGTTTGCAATGGCGTCATAACCTCCAAGGGCCAAGAATTCACTTGTCCAGCTGACGACAACACTTCTCAGAAACACACGAAGGTCAAGCACTTCTGCATCATCCAGATCACGCACATGAGTCATCTGAAGCAAATGGACAAAGTATTCAGGAGTTGACTTTAGTTTGCTTCGGCGACTAGTGCTTCTGATGCCTCCGTTCTCGCTAGGTCCAATTCCGGTACCATTGTACAAAGATGCTCTTGTACGACGGTATCGTGCAGTAGGTGCCGTCTTTGCCTTACCAGCTGCTGTTGCTGTTGTTGGGTTCATGCTACTGTCTGTGTGAAAGAGACGATTGAGGTCTGCGTCTGACGAAAAGTGATGCATGTTCAATTTAGATTTGTTTTTAAGACCAAAAGTTGCTTTTAAAGAAAATGTAGGCATGACATTTGAGAAGGAAGAGTTCTTCTTGAGTAAGGCAGGAGACTTTGAAGAGCGAAGGAGCATTTCTTTTTGTTCAAAGGTCAGGTTATTGACGCTGCTCAAATGATCTGCCGAAGGAGCATATTCTCTCTAAATAAACAAAGAAATTATTAATATTTGTTTGATTTTTTTTTTGTTCGTATGCTTTATTACCAGTAATAACTTGAACTGCTCTTCAATGTCTTCTACTTTCTTTTGAGATGAAGAAACGGCGGGAGGTGTCACTGTCTTTCGAGACTCGGTGGATACCGTCTGTATTGGCTTCTCATTGCTATTAGGCGGAGGCGTTGGCGGTGTACTGGGTAAATGAACAATCGGATTCTCAAGTTGAACGGTCCGAAGCGGAGCAGGTGCATTTGAAGTGGATGCTGGTGGACGATAGTTGGAACGACGAGACTGAAGAGAAGAGTACATCGAATCCACCCTCGAAGACGCTCGGTCATCATTGAATAAAGAGTCTGCATTTGACTCATTCTCTTCTTCTTGAGGTGATAATTCTCCTGATGGACTATTGGATGTCTTGTTCTTTTTCGGATTGAATAGAGTTGACACTCTATTTAAAATTTTGTGCTGCGAGGAAGAAGAGGGCCCAGGAGTAGGTAGTTGAATATCGACGACAGTAGTTGATGAAGATTGTATTTGAGCCATTACGGGATGATAGAGACAAAAAAAAAAAAGAAAGAGATAAAGAAAGGGACCTTTTGTTATTTAAAAGAGCTGTTTTTAATCTTTTTCCCATATTTGGTTTTTACCAACATCAATTGCTCTTTATAGTAATTTTGTTACACATGTTGTCAAAAGGACTGATAATAAAAGCTTTTATTTATATGAATGAAGTTATTGTTTACAGAAATATGCAGATTGAATTAAATATTATTATTATTATTAGTAATGGGTACAGTTTATCCATGCATTCATGGTATTCACGGGAGTTGTTATGGGCGATTCGTTGCTAGGTGATGAGGAACTGTCAGAGCCATCAGTTTCAGTTTCAGGACAAAGTTCAAGTGATTGGACGAGTGGGTTTTTTTTATGTTTATATAGACTATTGGATAACAAGGGACTACTACTATTGCTGCTTTCGTTTAACTCGGTCATAAGTGATGAACTATTTGTAGCGCTTAATTTTGCCTCGATCCTAGCTTTGAAATCCATAAAACTGTCTGAGGTCATTGCCTGTTTTGCTCTCCCTGGCCATCCATCATCAAAAAGGCATGTGCTTTTAATTTCTGGTAGAGCATCATACTCTGGTTCATATTCATGGACCGTAGGTGGATCTAGTGAAAATGATACTTTTCTTTTGGCGATAGTTTCCTCTTGTGGGCTGTCTATGGGCAAGGACACCTTGTTGGTATTGTGCTGTAGCTTGACCAGTTTATGATTATGTAACGGAGTCATTTAAAAATAAATAAAAAAATAGAAAGAAAAAAAAGATAAACTATTTCTATTATTGCCATGACTATTAAATAAAATAAGAACCAAGCAAAATGGATCAGGATATGGCATGAACTATTAACTATATTCTGATTCGCTCGATTTTCGTGTTACCATGGAGATTGTATTTTTCATGCTTTAAAAATTAAGTGCAAAAAGAGTTTCAAATGGACAAAACTAATTGGTCAATGAGTGGGTAACATGTTCTGTAGTGCGCTCCAACTCGAAAAGTTTACCCCAATTACATCTACAAGGAAAGTTAATTGGACAGATAATGAAAGATGTTCAACCACAACCAATGGACCCGTTATTAGCCTGTTTTTTTACAAGATGAGTGTGGAACAGGAAACGCCTGTGCTCTTTACTTCATTAGCACAAAAAGCTTTGACGCTCTTATGTCAAACGTGAAGTCTTGGCATTTCAGAAACCGGCGATCCTTATTCCAGTTATCCTAACACTAATCAAGTGACCACTGTTCTTTTTGAAGGTATTTTCTTCATCAAGGTTTCCTAAACTCAATGCTAATGGTATGAGATATCATAACAAGGTTTAGAAGGCCCACAAAAAGTGAGTCATCAACTGTAAAAAAAACTACAGTCTTTGAATTACTGCTCATCGGCTAATGCAAGATAGCCCTGCTTTTAGTTGTGCATAGTGGTGTCTTTTATTTCTTTTATCTAGAACATACACACACACAAGCATATATACAGGGCTGTCTTTTCTTACTAAATGACAAAGCAAGTGTCTTTGCAAATATGTATAAAAATAAGTAAAGCAAGATATAGAAAATAAAAAATAGAACAAGAAGTGATTTGGGGTTTGAAATAGGAAGGGAATTTGTTTTTAGTTTATTGAAATGGAATCGTTTGCATATATCATCAATATTTAGCGCGTTTAAGAGCTCTCTTTTCGTCATCCTCGTCTCTTTCGATTTGTCTCAGCCATTGTCTGTCTGTCATACTATCTGAATAAACAACTGTTTCTTTCACTCGTTGTCCTCTGCCAAACACTGAATCTAATGGATCAGCTTCGTACATGTCCAACATGGCATCATTTCGATATATCTCTGGTAATTCCCATTCCTGTATCAGCCTTTCTGGTTTCTTGCCACTGTTCTCTCCATATTTCCTCTTCCAGTCTTCCAAGTCTGTTCGTTGTCTTTCAAGATCAATCTTTGTGAATATTGCGTATTCCTGGTCCGAACGCTTTAATATCGTGTTTAATTCCTCGTCATCTAATTCGTCACTCTGTTCTTCGTCTCTTGCATTACTTTTGTCTTCCAATAAGGATCTCAGGAAGGCCTCACGATCCTCTTCTGTGCTGCGGTGATCAAATTTACCCGCCTGAATCACTTTTCCGTCAATGTCTAGCTTGTACTGCGCTCTTGCCAGAATATTCTCTTCAACCGAATCTTCTGTGATCAATCTAAAGATACGGACTTCCTTTGTCTGACCAATACGATGAGCACGATCCTGTGCTTGTAAATCTTGGTGCGGGTTCCAGTCAGAGTCAAAGATGATGACTGTGTCTGCCGTTTGTAAATTAAGTCCGAGGCCACCAGCACGAGTGGATAATAAAAATATAAAATAAGGTGAATTAGGTGCATTAAATAGTTTAAGCATGTTGGATCGGTCGTCAGCCTTAGTTGAGCCATCTAATCTCAAATGTCGATAGCCTCTATAGATACAAAAGTCTTCCATAATATCCATAATCTGAGTCATCTGGAAAAATACCAATACCTAAAAATATATACATTAATATCATCCTATAAATACTCATATATTACTTACTCTATGGCCAGTTGCTCTCAGCTTTGGCAGAATGCGGTCTAATAGGTCAAATTTGCCTGATACACGGTAAAGCAACTCATTGCTCACTTTGTATGGGTTGACTACTCGTTCAACTTCTTCAAATACAAAAGGATGATTACATATCTTTCGCAATTGCATAATTGTGTTATTTAAACCCTTGATACTTGTTTTGCTATTTAAAGACAGTATTACTATATGTTGAATACTATCAAAGAAATATATTTACCCATTATTCGAATTCGAGCCAAACAGAATACCGTATTTCTTCATTTGGGTGTACAGTTTAGCTTGAAGGGCTGACAGTTTACATTTGATCACTGTTTCAATTTTATCAGGTAACTCTGATTCTACATCTTTCTTCAATCTTCTAAGCAAGAAAGGTCGAAGCACCTATAAACGAGTCAGCGTCTCCTTTTTTCATTTTCATTTTTTTTTTTTTTTTTACCTTGTGTAAACGCTTAATGATCAGCAGCTGTTCTTCTTCGTTTAACTCTACTTTATCTTGTACGCCTTGGTTATTAAACGGTGTATTAAACCATTCTTCAAAACTTTTAACAGAATTAAATATCTTGGGTAATATAAAGTTTAACAGCGCCCACAGTTCGGGTAGATTGTTTTGTAAAGGTGTACCCGTCAAGATGAGTCGATAATTTGATGTGTAGTATTGTCTGAGTACGATCGTCAGTTTGGATTGTGTATTTTTCATACGATGACCTTCATCAATAATCATATATTTCCACTTTATCTTTGACAGCGCAGGCTTATCTTTGATGATGTAGTCAAACGTTGTAATCAACACTTGAAAATCTCTGTGTCGAATAGACTTTTTTTGTATCTCTTTACGCACCTCAGGCGGTCCCTTATAGATGACAGTGGTTACTGAAGGCGCCCATTTTTCAAATTCAAGGGCCCAGTTGGTTAATGTCCTACACATGTGGTTAAATACACATCCCCAATCTATATACTTTTTCACTTACGATAGTGGTACAATGATAAGGAAAGGTCCATTTTGCTGCTTTTTCTCGATCAAATAGGTGATTAAGCTAATGGTTTGGATTGTTTTACCCAAGCCCATTTCATCTGCCAATATACCATTCAATCGATTATTATAAAGAGATACCATCCATTGGAGGCCTTTGATCTATTGAATATAATATTTTAGCTTAATTTAAAAATAGCATATCTTATATTACCTGATATTCCTTCAACTTGCCACCCACTAAAATATTAGGCTGTGAAACCTCTTCTTGAACACGGTGTGCCATCTTGTAATAATCTATCCTCTTTCCATTTTTATCCTTTAAAATAGTGTCAATAAACATACACATTTCGTTTGAATTGGAATTTACCGTCAACATCATTTCTTCATCTATCGGTTCATCGTCATTCAAGCCACTATCTTCAAACTGCATGTTTTCATTCTGCTGCTCTACCACAGCTTTCGTCAGCGATTCTAAATAGGCGCCTGTTTGTTGTAGTAACAGTGTCAATCGTGTATCCTTGGCTTCATCAATCAATTTAAGATAGGCCTCTTCATCGTCATTACGAAGTGCTCGAATACGGTCCTTGGATCGTTTATCTGCCTTTCTTTGTTCTTCCTTTTCAATATGGGCGTGGTATTGTAGAATGGCTTTACCCAGCTTACCCATCTTGGCCTGGTGCGCTTTATGCCAAGCAATCAAATCTCTACCTTGATTACAAACTGTCTGTAGATAATCCAAGTGTCGCTGTTTCTCCTTCTTTTCTCTGTCAATTCGTTGTTGTCTTTCGAGCTTTTCAGTCAATTTGGCATCACGCAGTGTTCGCTTCATTATCTTGCGATAAGAAGTGCGATCAACTGAATTTGCCAATCGACTTGCCTCCTCCAGATTTTGAACCACCTCCTCACGTAGCTATAAAGAATTGAGTTTATTGCACATCCAATAGCGTATCATTGTTACCTTTTGTTGCTTATCTCTTAATTGCAACGAGCGAAGTTGGACTATATGCTTCAATCGTTCAGGAGAAGCTGTCCTGACTGTTTCATCATAATACTCCGTCAACAAATAGCCCAGTGGTAACTTTTGTTCGTCGGTTAATGTTTCCAGTTCCTTCAAGCGATCTGCAGCTCTTTTCTCTATTCTTCTCTCACGTTCAGATAAGACCGTCAAAGGATCAAGCCCTGCTGGTAATCGCTCAGGTAAGAGTAATCGTTGCTGTCTTGATGAGTGAGCATGAGATCTATCATGTCCGTATAAGAGATCATATGCTGTAATCTTGAGGCCCTCATTTAATTCATCAGTAACCGTCATCTCTTTTTTATCTTGTTTGATTCTATTATATTCTACAGCTTGCAGATAAATGACATCCACCAATCGCTCAGCCATCGTCTTGGGTGGTGCTGAAGGTTGTTCTGATACCGTAGATCCTGCTGTATTCATTATTTGATCTTGACCAATGATGCCTGCAGGGTCGTTCGGTGTCTGTATGGCTTGAGTAGGTGCTGTCATTCCTTCTGACTTGGCTGGCACTGAAGATATGGGCGCATTATTGTTTGCCAAATTTTGTGATAAAAGATTATAAGCAAGCATTTGATACTGGAATGCATTGTTCATAGCTCCATCGTTATTGGCAGCTATATCAATAGATAAGGTCAACCAAACACATTTTCAACATTACAAACACTTACTATTGATATTATTAGATAATTGCTGTTGCATCAAGTGTTGTTGAAGCAATTGAATCTGCATTTGCTGCATTTGTAACTGAGTGGGGGTTTGACTACCGTTTGACATCATTGGATTTTGCATAGGTGGCGGCGTTGTCGAGAACTGTTGCTGTTGCTGTTGTTGCTGCTGTTGTACGGGTAGTCGTGCTGGTTGTGGAGGTAGTTGCATTGGTTGATTTGGAATTGTCTGTTGAAGATGTTGAAAAGCAATACTTTGTTGACGGTGAAGAGTTCTCAAAAAGTTCATTAACTGAGAAAATTCATTTTTACCGTCTTCTTTTTCTCCAGCTGCCTGTAGTTGCTTTGCTCTCTGCATATAACAAAGTTAATAATGGTAAAATATTTTGTTGTTTATTTTACCTGAAGCGCAAGGTTTAACTTTTCTTTGGTTAAAGAAGCCAAGTCTAAATCGACATTATTATTGACAGCGGTGGTAGAAGTTGACGGTAAGTTGTTGTTATTGTTCATGATCAAACGTCGATTTTGCTACTTTTTTTTATTCTTTCTAAGGAATCAAGAATAAGTTTACATTTCCTTTTAGAATAAAAACAAGAGAAACAAAAGAGAGAAAACTTTATTTTGTTTCTCTTTACTTTTTTATTTTTTACCCGCTTTGCCCTTTCAAAATTTTTTTGGCACACCTTACTTTTTTCAATAAACGGAAAAAAAAAATGAAAAATAATGAGTTTGAAAACATCTTGTTGGCTTATGACGACACATTGCGGGAATTGAAAAAGATGATCTTTTTTCTTTCTTTCTTTCATTATGCTTAGACCAACATATACCCGTCGTCCTTTTCATATACTAGTAATTAATGATTATAATATAGTGAGATAAACATTAAGAACCTCAAGTTAATAGGATCACCTGCGTCAGGGAAACGTTCATTAGCTAAAGAGCTATTGAAATCACGTCATGTGTTCTATTCAATGTAAGCAATCCTATATTATTCAACCAAACAGCAATCAACCTCATGTTTAGGAATATTGCAGAGAGTTTACCAAAGAGAAATCTTGATCGAATAGATTATATTCTTATATTTGTTGATATGACAAATACAAATAGCCTACTTTTAATGAATCAATTACTTGAAAATATCTCACCAAAATATCTATCAACCAAGGTGATCATTATTGTGACAAAAGGTTCTTTTTTTATTGTTATAATAATCATACATGCATCACTAATTTATTTTTTCTGTACAGTCGATTTAACAGCAAGTTGGGCATTTGAATACTCTGAACTTGATTCTATCGCTCAATTGTTTCACGACTTGCAGATATTTCGTGTCAACTTAACAGTAAAAATACATGATGGTCATCTATTCATATTTCTTACTATTTTATTAGAATGATTTACAACGCAAGCTGACATGTGAACAAATCACTCGACTGATAAAGATCAGCACACTACAATATGAAAACTTGAATTCATACATATTAAAGACATTGGATGACAGCTAATATCACAATTTAGCCATTGCATTTCTATCATCAGCTATGGTTCCTTTAAATGTCTCTATGGCTTCTTTTCTCTTTTCAAATTTACGAGTCCAGGTCGATAATTTGGGAGCTATTTCTATAAAGATCGATGCCTCAGGAAGAGCAAAGATGACCGCCAAAGCAGGATAGACAAAAAGATCTGCCCACGTGAGTTGCTGGCCACACAAGTAGTCACCGTCATCTGGCGTCATCGCTTCTAATTCAGCCATGATAGGCTTTGCCCTTTTGATAGGTCTCACTAGAAGCTTTGTAATTTCATCTTGACTCTTACCAGCTGCCTCACTGAGTAATCGACGCCTACATACATCTTCGACAATATAATGAAATACATAGTCATTTAATGCACTGATCCACTGAGCCATCTTTACTCTTGTTTCCAAGTCCTTGGGTGTTAGTTGTGACGAAAAGACGGTATCAATATATTCGCGTATAGCCATCGTCTCAAACACACGATGGGTTCCATGTATTAATGTTGGAATGCGACCAAAGGGATGATGAGCATAGGCAAGCTTACTATGAGGGTATGCATGTTGAAGCTTGAAGGGGACACCTAGATAAATCAAAGCCATACAGATTGTTCGTGTATATGAAGACCAGCTGGCACCTATAATTGTAGGCATAGTATTGTGCATTTTCTACCGAGAAACAAGAAGAAAAAGCGAATAGTTGTATATTCTGCTTTCCCAGGGGGGCAAATAGGGTTTTCAATGTATTGTCATACATTTATTCCAAACATGGCAGCATATTTCGTTTGTTCAATATACAGTGCTTCCAACAAGCAACGTAGCAACCAATCAAAATCGATGTCTCTGGGTGCATTAGACGAGTCGTGACAGTGGAGTTTAATGTAACCGCGGAGTGAAATAGGTGACTAGGCTGTACCCCTTTTTTTATATATACCCTTCATGCTCTGCTGCTTTCTTTTTTGTTTGTGTGTTCACAGAAAACTAGAAAAAGTATGAGCATTTATATGCATTTATTATATTTAACTAACAATAAAACAAAGTTTCTGGAAACTACTACTTTCTATGGTTTAGGTTATCTGCCCTGGTAGAGTTTATCAACCAACATTACAACCCAAATATGCTTAAATCAATAAGACATTTTTTATATGCTCAAGTTGATTACGGCCCCTTCCAACAAAAGAAATTGAATTAATTGGCGCAGTAAGTTCATTTTGATGGATCAAGATAGAATCTCTTATGCTGTTCGCGACTCTTCCTTGTAAAAGTAGTTATATTAATAATACTTGACCTCCTTTGATAGTTTGATAACTTGTAAATAGTATAAAAGGATTAAAATTCAATAAGGAGAGCAACAACGTTTGAACAAATTTAAAAAAGAAAACTCTCAGATTTCTACTTAGCAATTTTATCGCGATACTTCTCGCTGGAGTTACCGATACTTACACTCGACAGTTTAAGTGCTTGTTTAAACTTAAACCACCATACAGTATATCGTCGACAAACAAAGTTTGCAAGTCTAAAAGAACTTCAACATCCTGATCAGTTTTTTTTTTTTT